CGTAATACTTAAAACGGCTTACTTTAATATTTGTTTGCAGATTTATTTAAGAACTTAGGATTATTTAAAACCTTAGTAATTCGAAAAGCTAAAATAAATTCAATCTAAATTCTAAACCATTGCTAGCTTCATTGGGATGATACATAGTCCCTGCTCGGGCGCCATGCTCTTCAAGACTTGAAAATATTTAAAAAGTTAATATTTTTTTTAATCTTTAATATACCAATGAGTCTTACATTCTGCACGCTGCCATCGCTAGCTCCATTGAAATGGAAACTGGCCTGGCTAACTGACTAACTGACCAACTGACTGACTGACTGACAGCCACACATCGTCTTTAGAAATGGCGCACAAAAGACAAGCTGCTGCTGTTCAGCATAGGAGTTGCTTCGTTTTAGACTGCTTTTTTTGTTGCTGTTTCGGTTTTGTGTTTTGTTTGACGAAATTGACTTTCTCCATTCAATATAATTAATAGTAATATTCCGATGCCCTGGCTACACACACGTCTCCAGAATGGTAACAAACACTTGGAACTTGGAATGTGGACAGGAAGTAATTTGTTATTGCAGGCGTGCATCGAAAGATCGAAAGGCGTTCGAAAATCCATCACATCACAGCGAGATCCGCTGCACGTGCACGGCATCGCAGTGGGGAATTCTTCAGGAATTCGCACCGCACCACGGGGCGTATGGGTAACAAGTGAAAAGCCAGGAATGCCAGCCACTCACCCGGCGGATGAGTGATGCGGCCCGGTATTTACGACCATTCTTCCTATACCTCTTTCAAGATCTGCCACATTTTGTTGTTTTGTTTATGCAAATTGTCTTCATTCGAGGGCGCTCGCTACTCACTTTCAAAACACGAGAGACAGAAAGCATATTTAGCTAATATTTTAGGACGGCTTCTGCGCGGCTTTTACTTTTCTCCTTAACATTCCGCTGGCTGAAATTAAAAGTAGTTAACCTGACGCTTCTGTTTTGGGTTTAATTTTCTGCCATCTGTTTACATAACGAGGGAAAAAATGAAACAAAAAAAAAGAAATAGTTTAACAATGCCAACTAACAAATAAGGCAGTGCGGGCACGCACATATCTGCCATCCGATGTGTGAATGATGTGCCTGGGCAAGAGCAAGTGGCCAAGTGGCAACCAGTGGCCATTTCACGTTCATTGACATGGCTAATGGCTAATGGGTAATGGCTAGTGAAGTGGTGCAGGGCAGAAACCAAGCCGACACGTCTAAGCCGAGGTTTTCGCCGGCACGCGTTTGTTTTACCTGAGAGGACGGGCCGACCGAATCCGAATATGTTATTTAATGCATTGGCATGCACAAATTAAGACTCGTTATAATTGGGGGTTATATAACATAAGCATAAGCGGCGCTTATCTAATGCCACACGGCAAAAGCAAAGAAAGCGTCGCAATTAGACGAGTTTTTCTAGCCAGTTTGTGTCAAATAATAGGCCCAAGATCGAGTGATTTTCATGCGTGTTCGTTCGGTTGTCGCCGCATTTGATGTTTTCCAACCATCTAGCGATGGATGAAAATGCTCAACGGGTCCGGACGATGATAAGATGGGTAAATGGGCACGGAAAACTAAATGTATAATATTAAGGTATTAGAATAATCGCCTTCAAATATTAATGAGCATTTCGATTTTTCTGGCTTAATGTAACAATATAATAAATAATACAAAAAATTTGACATTCTAACCCTTTTTTTTTATAATTTTTTTCGACAACTAATGTATGTTCAAATAAAAACAAAATCATTCTCAAATTTCAAATTATATTTTTTCGGTTAAATAATAATTGTTTAAATGAGATATTTTTATTTTAATGGATTCAAAACCCTAAAACTTAGATCTTTTGTAACTTAGTAACCAATACAACGTTAAGATACAATATAACTTAGTTTAATTTTTTAAATTCATATTAATTTTAGCGGCTGATTATATATTAAATGGAACTTAAGTTAAAATCTTTTTTCTCTGTTTCTACCACTGTTCCTGCCAGTCGTTTTGAGAATGTAGGGCATCTATGTTGTTCACATTTATTGATTAGATATTGCCTGATTTGCCTGTGCGGAGCTGATCACGGGTGGTCAACCTCTACGGAAGAACGTAGCATTCGGGTCTTAATGGCAGCACACTTTCGCACATTAAAAGCGGCCATGGCACCGGATTGCAGTTTTTTTATTTGCATATTTAAGGCCAGCTGAAGAGCTCGGCCAACATTTCACTTTTGGAGCACATTTTATGGATTTTCTTTTAGCGCCATAAAAGCAAACGGACGGTCTCACGCTGCTCTTACAACCTAGCCAACTCCCCGGGGGTTTAAATTCCAAGTTTGGCGGTTCGTTAGTACGATCCGAAGCTGACCATCGCGAAACTCAAAACTAAAGCTTAAAGTTCGAGAAAAGCTTTTCGAAAACAGCTACGGATTTATTTGACTGTGACAACAGATTTCTGTTGGGCGTTTTTTTAATTAGAATATTTTAGACATCTTTTTATATTAATTTGCCGAGTTCTAAAAACGTACATATAAATAAATTCAGTTACTTAAAATTTTAAACATAATATTATTTTTTAGATACTTCTAGCTTTTTTTATTGAATTCGCATTTTTTAGTGCTAGTGTAAATACCCCCTAAAGTTCGAAAGAAGCTTTTCAAAATCAGCTGGTCGACCAAACATGTTTTTATCTACGGAATTCGAAATAAAGATAATTTTCGAAGCTCTCCCACATCAGGCCACATATTGTTGTCCCCTCAAATCATTTATTCGGTGCGTTTGGTTGGGAGTGGTTCGCCATTTTTCGGTCTGCAAATACACTAGTCTGTGTTCTTACATTCTAAATCCGGCATTTTAAATATTCTGAAAGGTAAGTGGATCACTCGGTGGTTATATAAAGCGGTTTTAAAGTCACGCCTCCCACCCACTTTTATCTCATTTTGCTCCGAGTATTAAGTGCACTTTTAACGCTGACTTGCAATTTATCTGAGCAAATAAAAAATGGATGATTTTTAATTAGGTTTCGATATGTAAATTGCAAAAATTCGAGCCTTGTTTATGCGAAAAATATGCGTTGTTTAAGTTTATGCATAACCCCTGGCCCAACCTATTTACACCCGAACTTTCCCCACCGGTCTGTTTTTATATGCAATTTTATCTGTCTGCCGCTGTGTTTGTTTTTTCTTTGCACCGGTTTGTCTCCTCGAAAGAGAGATACATGATAAAGAGGAAAAAAGAGATGAAAGAGAGGGGTATACACAGCGAGACAGAGACAAAAGACACGTAGCCCATTCGACAGGCATTTCTCTTCCACCTGATTCTCCAGGTGCTGTCCAAAGTTTAATCTTGAATTCGTGTCGACAGTTTTAATTAAACCTATACAATTACTATGCATATCTACGAATAGATTGTTCGGGAACATCTCCAGATAGCCAAAAGAGGGCTTGCATTTCTTTAGGACTTATGTGATAAAACAGTTATTTTTATCTTTCTTATCGGGACATTTTATTCAAAATTTCATTTTTTTTAAATGTATGTTTACATTATACAAAAATTTCTAGCTAATAAATTTGTGCTAAAATGCGGCTTATCACAATTTCTAACTTAAAGTTAAAACTTTATTTTTGACAACTATTTATAGGGTACGGTGAACGATGTTAAATAACTGGAAAAATTAAAGCAGGTGCAAGTTTCGTAGTTTTTTAATTTTTATTTCCCTTACGTGAGGTAGTGTCGTTACTACCAATATTTTTTTTATGTAAGGTACTTAAAAACGGTTAAAAGATTTCAAAATGTTTGGCTAAACACATTTTCTAATTTAATTTTTTATAAGCTTCTGAATTTTTTTGTGAGAATTTCACCTTACCCATTGTAATACCTAATATTAATTAAAAAATTTTACTCAAAGTCCAAAGGTCAAAGGTTAATACTTGTTTTGGCATTCAAAATGTAACTTTAACTTTATGCCTAGTACTCACTTCAATCGAAAAGCCTACGAAATGAAAATCTCCATACAAATGTTTGATCACGAAATTTTTGTATAGAAATTTTCGTTTCGTTGCCTTTTTGATTGAAGTGAGAACTAGGCTTTATGTATAAATATTCAAGTAAAATTCAAGTAAAAAATGTATCTTAAATCACTCTAACTTAAATTAGAAGACGAGAAAATTCCAAATTGATTAAATCTAGAGAACTTTTGCGCCCCGTCACTTCATGTTTATTTACCAATGCCAAATCTTATCAGGGGTTAGAGTTTGATATGGTACTCAGTGTTCGAAGTCTGCCAGATGGGCCAGAAAACCCGCTTGTGAAATTCATTTGGTGAAAGCATAAATATTGTTTTTTCGGCCTCCAGCCCCCTTTTTCACCTAATTGTGGGCGTGTCCTAAGCTTATGGCGTGTTTAGCGATCGCGCCACATCGGCATGCTAATTAGGTTGTGGAAGATACAAGTAGAGATTTAAATAGCTCTTTATAAAAGCTATACTCTGACGTTAATAAAATTGAAAAGAAAACCCAAAAAAAGAATCACGCAATCGTTAGTGTATTATACAAGTGAACGGCATTGACTGAGCAGATAAGAAACGTAGACGTTTCGAGATAATCAGAGCGAGCCTCCCTCGCAACAATAAAAGACATTGGCGCCCAAGTTCAAAAATTATCTAAGCTCTGACATGTCATTACCCATCACTGCTGAGTATCGTTATCGATATCAAAGAACTGCCAGCTGATGGAAAATTTAAATGACAAGAAGTATTAAATATTCTTGAGTGCCACGCGCTTTATTTTATTATATACATACGTATGTAGAATTATTATCTCTTCAAGTCGGCCCTGAACTTAAAATAAAAGTGGTTCGCCCCTAATAGTGGAAAAGTTTTTTGCCAGCTGATAGAAGCAACAGTTGGCAGTGGGGGAAAGAGAGAGCGCGATGCCACCCGCAATGCAAAACCGATTGACAAGTCAGCCGGCGATAACGATTACATGTTTACGCGTTCGCCGAGTGTTTATTGTTTTCGCTCTTGTTACATTATTAATTAAAACTACGGCTTTTAAGTGCGCCGAGTGCTGTGAGAGCAGCTTATCAAAGTCCGCGGGCTAAATCTTATCAGCGCGGCCATTTAGCTCGTTGTGATTACGCCGATTGCGCAACAATTTGATTATACATACGCGGTCTGAGTCGAAACTGCAGTGAATAACGGCACTCTACAGCTATCAGTTACAGTTAGACGCGGGTGACGCCTACAGCTTTTTGTCCGGAGATTTCTCGTCTTCCCGGGGCTCCAGTGTCAGTCGTATTGCTCCAGATTGGTGACAAACACTTTCGTCTCTCGTTTCCAGTCGGTTCATTCATAATAATTACCCAGTTGTAAAATGTTTGCCCTGCGCCGCACAGCCGCAATGATGACGTCGGTCCGCCGGCAGCCGCAGTTCACCCAGGCCGTTTTCCGGGCCAATTTCGCCGTCAGCGCAGCGGTAGGTTCTCCTTGTATCCTCCTCCTCCTCCTCTGCTGCTCTAGATCTCTCTGCTTTCCAAAATCCGGAATAGGGTGGGTCGATATTTTGGACAAAGTTCACAAAATTAGTAGTTATTTGTTTATATTTTTTTTTAATTTATTATGATTAATATGCACATGAACCTAAGACCCTGGTTTTAATGTTACTTATTTTTGATTCCAAAATAATTATTAAAAAACAAAATTTTATAATTTCATAAATTTATTCACACCTAAAAAAAAATTATAATCAAAATATAATCCTATTTTATTTTTTATTTGCTTAATGTTACTTATTTTTAAGTCTAAAAAAAATATTGAAAAACAATATATTATGATTTAATAAATTTATTCACACCTACAAAAAAATTCTAATCAAAAAATAATCATATTTTACCAAATTCAACTGAACTAAGGAAAAATATTTTTTTTATATTAAATTTTATACCATAAATATTAGTATTATTATAAATTTTACAAGATTTACAAGACTATGGGGACTAACTTCTAAATTAATTATATGACAAAATATGTAGCTATATTTTGGTACCTGGTGAGAATAAAATGATTAGATCAGGGAATAGGTGAAGACAAAATTTCCTCCCTTATTTAAATATACAAAGATCGACCCACCCTATCTGAGCCAGATCAAAGTTCACTTTGCTCTGACCGACTGTCAATCTATCATCATCATTTGTACATTTGTATGCATAAGTTTCGCCTGTATCGCCTTTATCGCCTGTGTCTAGGAACCGAGTACCCCCAAGATATCCATGGATAATCAGAGGATTGCCGCCGTGAGCGAGGTGAATGCCCCCACACGCCAGCTTCTCAGACACAAATCCATTTTTCACATAGCTAATAAGATCACCCCACCCTGCCCACCTTCAAGCACTCATTCGTGGTCTGCTCTCCCGAACAGATGGCCCAGAAGATCCCAGCCGGACCCGTGGTGGATGTCCTCGGTGACGAGATGACCCGCATCATCTGGGACTCGATCAAGAACAAGCTGATCCTGCCCTTCCTGGACATCGAGCTGCACACCTACGATCTGGGCATCGAGTACCGTGACCAGACCGAGGATCAGGTGACCATCGACTGCGCCGAGGCCATCAAGAAGTACAACGTGGGCATTAAGTGCGCCACCATCACGCCGGACGAGAAGCGCGTGGAGGAGTTCAAGCTGAAGAAGATGTGGAAGTCGCCAAACGGCACCATCCGCAACATTCTGGGCGGCACCGTCTTCCGCGAGGCCATCATCTGCAAGAATGTGCCCCGCCTGGTCACCGGCTGGCAGAAGCCCATCGTGATTGGCCGTCACGCCCACGCCGATCAGTACAAGGCCGTCGACTATGTGGTTCCCGGTCCCGGCAAGCTGACCCTCACCTGGAAGGGTGCCGATGGCCAGGTCATCGATGAGGTAATCAACGACTTCAAGGGTGCGGGTGTTGCCCTGGGAATGTTCAACACAGACGACTCCATCGTGGACTTTGCCCACGCCTCGTTCAAGTTCGCCTTGGACCGCCAGCTGCCGCTGTACATGAGCACCAAGAACACCATTCTGAAGAAGTACGACGGTCGCTTCAAGGACATCTTCGAGGACCTGTACAACAAGGAGTACAAGAAGCAGTACGAGGCGGCGGGCATCTGGTATGAGCACCGCCTCATCGACGACATGGTCGCCTATGCCATGAAGTCCGAGGGTGGCTTCGTGTGGGCCTGCAAGAACTACGATGGAGATGTCCAGTCCGATTCCGTTGCCCAGGGCTACGGTTCGCTGGGTCTGATGACCTCCGTGCTGCTCTGTCCCGATGGAAAGACTGTGGAGGCTGAGGCTGCTCACGGAACTGTGACCCGTCACTTCCGTTTCTACCAGCAGGGCAAGGAGACGTCCACCAACCCGATTGCCTCGATCTTCGCCTGGACCCGCGGCCTGCTGCACCGCGCCAAGCTGGACGACAATGAGGCGCTGAAGCAGTTCGCCGAGACCCTCGAGCAGGTCTGCATCGACACCATCGAGGGCGGCGCGATGACCAAGGATCTGGCCATCTGCATCAAGGGCAGCATTAGCGCCGTGGAGCGCAAGGACTATCAGGAGACGTTCGAGTTCATGGACACGCTGGCCAAGAACCTGGAGGCCGCCCTGGCCAAGAACGCCGCCGCCGCCGCCAAGTGACTATCCGGCTCGCATCTCTAGGGAACCACTCAGCGAAGCCTCGTCCTCGTCAACGCATTCAAAACAATATTTCCATTTCGTCTATGTAGATGTGCAAGTCCTAGGCTAACTATCCGTGTCCTCGATGTTTCATTGTCTCTGCGAGACGCAAAAGAACCCCCGATTTCCCCTTAACGTTTTACGGAAAAGAAATTTCAAATAAATGTATTTTTACACTGGACTCGAGATTTGTTCACTTAAATGTCAAAAACTCATTGTGTTAAAAACACGCTGTGTAAAAAACACGTCGGGTTAATAACGCGTCGTATAAATAACACAATTGTGTTGTGTTGTTAACAAGTTCAAAAAAAGTTATTGACATGTGTGTTAAAAATTGTAGTTTACATAAACATAAATAACACACATGTCAATTGTGTTATTTACACGACGTGTTTTTTACACAGAGTGTTTTTAACACAATTGACATGTGTGTGTTATTTATGTTTATATAGGCTACAATTTTTAACACAAGTTATTTACAGTGTGTGTTATTTTCCGAACCCTGCTCGAGAGGTCTTTAACCCACTGGGGGCGAGGGTGGGCTCGTTACGAGGAGGCCCGGTCCACTTGTGCGGCTTCTAGTGGGTCCGGGCTTATTGGATTTGGCAGCGATGTGGCCACAGTCGTGTTTCAACACTTGGCGGCACCACATCATTCCAGCGGAAGGGGATCAGGATCCTATCAGGGAGGAGGAGAAACTATCGATGCTGGCCAAACTGCTGGGCTATGGCTACCTGCTGGCCTACGTGATCTGCCTGCTCTGCTGGCCAGGAGAGGCGTATCCGGCCAGCAATAGCTACCGGGATCTGGACATTTGCAACCACTGGGACGGGCGGAGGCACTTCCTCGAGCTGGGCAGTCCAGCGGGAGAGCTACATGCCCGGAATGTGACCACCACAGCCTATCGGGTGAGTGTTTCCGCCTGCATATCTCGCAGGGATTGGGTCATAAAAAGGTTGATTACGAAACAGAGCTCGCCGCTGGGCTTCAAGAGCGATGCAGTGGCGGGGGATGTGTGGTACCAGTGCAGCCTGGAGCTGGTCACCTGTGCCGAGTGCGTCATCCGGGTGGCCTTCACCTATGCGAATTTCTCCCGGAGCTGCGGCAATACGGGCGGCAAGTCCATCATGTGTCCCTGCGAGCACATCCAGTTCTCGGAGCCGCCCTACGATTCCACCATCTCGGGTCAGGAGTTTTGCGGGGATGGTAAAGTGTTCCGGAGCAAAACCAGAACCCTCCAATTGAAGTTCTTCTACAGGGTGAATAATGCCCATGTCTTTTCGCTGCAATACTTCTCGGAACGTAAGATTTAGGAAATACTTAATTGCATTTAAAGATTATTATATCTAGATTTCCTTTGGAACAGGCAACGTACGGATAGTCAGTGGTTCCCCCAAGCAGTCCATTGTGGGAAATGGGAGTTCTAAGTACCAACCCCAGGTGATCTCCACGCCGTACTTTCCCATGCCATATCCCCGCGACTACGGCATCGAGCACATCCTCACCTGCGAGGCGGACAACTGCCAGGTGCGTTTGGACTTCACCGACTTCCAGCTGGGCCTCGCCTCCACTCTGGAGATCTTCGACTCCAATGGCCAGATGTTGGACTCCTACACGGGCGAGCACTTCCGTCCGCCCATCACGGTGAGCAGCGGGAAGTCCCTGCTCCTCCAGTTCCGCGGAAATTCAGCCACAGGAGTTGGCTTCCGCGCCGAGGTCAACTTCGTATCGTCCAAGCAGCTGAAGGACGAACGACTGGTGCCCTATACAGGTGAGTGTGAGAGTCAATACACTGTACATAATACTAGAATACTAAAAAGATAATGGATTACTTTAACTGAACTTAAGGACCTATTCATTATTATTATTAAACACTGAAAGTTTTTCAAAAATTCTAGTAATTTCAATTTCTATATCTCTTTAATGAGCTACGATATTTTTATAAGGATAGGAGTTCTATAAAAGTTTATTAAGTAAATCTAGTTTCATCCCAGTATTAATGCTACAACAATCTTCAGAACTCCATATAAAAAGTTTTTTCTTTACAAAAAATATTGTATGGACTTTTTTAACGGTTTTTAAGAAAGTTCTATAAAAGTAAATCTAGTTTAATCCCAGTATTATTGTATTATAATCTAAAAAACTCTATATAAAAAAATTTTACTTTACAAATGGAATATTTTTTATACAATTTTGTTAGCTTGAGTACTGAACATCTACGATTAAAAAAGTTCTCTCTGTAAAACGTTTTTACTTGTCAAAATATTCTATGGAACTTTTAGATGATATTTTGGTTTAGCCCTAACAATTAAAATAGTTCTCTCTGTATGAATAGGGACATCTGAATAATTGCCGGATTAGCCGGGCACTTGAAGGTCTGCAGGCAATTGTCATATTGATTTTGGCAGAGCAAGTGGGCGGTGGGCTCTCGACGAATATCAATGTCAATGCAAGGCGATGAAGTGGAAACTGGGTGACACTCTGGTTGGGTCTGGTTTGGTAAGACAATCGATTTCTTGGATCATTGCTCAAAGGTTGGTGGTGGGGCCACCACTCATATATAAGCTGGAAAGGGAATAGGATTGGTTATGCATTGTTGGGGCAGGTTGGTCCGTACATAACACAAACTATTTAAATTCTATATGGGAAATGTGACGCAATAGAAACAGAAATAAATATACCTACATAAGAATGGATTAATAGAGAAATATGTTATGATCATAACTCGTAATCCCTTTAGATTGCGGGGGAATGGTTACCGGACCCGGTGGCGCCATCACCATGATGAACATGATCGAAAACGCCACGGACGTGCGGCTCTTCGACTGCATCTGGATCATCAAGCCCGGCAACAATTACATGATGATGAAGACCCACATCTCCCTGCGGGTGGATGACTTTTACGGAATGGCCGCCCGTTCGGAACTGACCATCCGGCAGGGCACCACCTCGGATGCCGCGGAGATCGAGAACGTGATGTGGCCGAACAACGGACTGAGCAAGGAGAGCCATGTGGCGCCCATCCTCAATGGCTATTACATTCGACTGCGCGGTGTCTTCGGAATGTCCTCTAAACTTGCGATTGTCTACAGCGTTTTCAACTATTTGAGTGAGTACGATCGTAAAAAAATTTAATTTTATTAATAGAATTTTATGGTAGAAATTATTGAATAATAAATTAAGGACTTCTCTTAAAGTTTCTTAAAAAATTACTCATACGACATGAATGCCAGTTAGAATTTGGTGTACAAAAATCTTTCTTCCATTTCTAACCATGTTAAATTAATGATTTAGTTATTATATTTTATTTTAAAAAGAGAGAAAAATAGTTAAAAATTATTAAAATTAATTAAAATAAAATATTGATCCAGGGCAACTGTGCGTATGAGTGATAAATTTTGAGCCCCCTGTTTCTAAACATTTCTATAGGTATCTCTTAAGTTTATCACTTTATCTTTGGATCATAACAAGATTATATTCCCTGGTTTAGATTGCTACATTGGCTCGGAGTTTCTGTGCGGAAACAACCACTGCATCTCCATTCGCCTCCACTGCGATGGCTTCGACCACTGTGGCGATGGCAGCGATGAGCCCGATTCCTGCGAGGAGGACTGGGCCCACCTGCACCACGATCGTCGCTGGTACTCCCACAAGCCCAACTACTACTTCCCCAAGATAGACCAGTATCCGGATCTCAAGACGGCCACGGGCATCTTCATCATCAGCACACTGGGCATTTTCGGTGTGCTTTCCGGCTGGATGGTGATCCTGTACAGGATGGGCGTTAGAGCACGCCACCAGCGGGAGCTGCAGAGTCACCTGCAGACGATCAGCGAACTGCTGGATCGCCAGGACGAAGATCGCACGCCCGACGAGCCGCCCAGCTACGAGGCGCCGCCGGATTACGAGGAGGTGATCAAGGTGGGCATGCAGCAGGAGTTGCGGGAGCCACGCCGCCAGCGGAGGGCACGTCGTCCTCCGCCTCGAGATCGGAGCTGCAGTCGGGCAGCCAGCAATTGCACCATGCAATCGGTGCTCCCTCTGCACCGCAGCTGCAGCCTGGACAGGGATCAGGAGCAGCCCAGCACCTCGGCGGCGGCCATGACGCATGCGGTGGCCGCCACGGATACCACGGAGGATGCGGAGCATGTCCAGACGATGGCCCAGCGGATGCTTCTGGCCACGGCTATTTGTGGTAGGTTCTTCCCCCATTCCCCACCCTGCAGTCGCTAACTTACCCCCACAGAGTCCCATTTGCAGGCACTGCAGGCACGTCTCTCGCGGCAGCAAGTGAGCCTTCGAGCCGGATCAAATCCGTGGGGATTTCAGCGGGCCCGCCATCGCTATCCGCTGGGGGTGAACTACCCCCAGCCGGTGGGTCAGCCACGACGCCCGGTAGCACGGCGGATGAGTGCACCCAGGGAGGCGACTCCCTCAGCATTTCACTCACTCTAGGCCTGCCCACCACGACGGCGGAGAGTGCGGTGACCTCCGATCAGAATCAGCACCAGAATCAGGAGCAGAGTACGGAGCACACGTACCTGAAGAGATCGTGGCTGGTGGTGCAACAGGTGCCGCCGGGCAGGAGCTACAGGGTCCAGCGACTCCGGCACACCTTCTCCTCGCCCGAAGCCTTCACGGGCGGCGGGCTGCAGCTGCCGTATCCGGATTTCCTCAGCTACGGCACTAATCTTCCCCATGAACGGAGCAGCAGTAACTTTGGCTCCGAGCTGTCCAGGGATCCATCCAGTTATAGTATGGGAAAGCGAGCTCGTCTCGCTGGTGAATCAGAGACGCTTACCGGGGAGATGGAGCACTCCAACCAGACCCTTCAATCCCAGGTAGCAGAGGAAAGCGAGAGCGAGGGAGAGCAGCAGGTTTCCTGCTTCGGAGCCGTAGCCCAGCGGCCCAAGAGGCGTCATCGTGGTCACGTGAGGAGCCGATCCTTTAGCAATGCCCGCGGTGGCAGTGCCGGCAGGAGGCGTCTCATCCAGCGCAGTTCCTCAGCTGATCTGCTGATGAACTATGCCACAATGGCGGTATCAACGCCACAGAAAAGAGCCGAGGGAATGCAGAGATTGTTCTTCATTTGAGCGAAAAGCGGCGAGTTTAGAGAAGTGGAACGATAGTATTAAAGCCTGGTGTGATTCTGGTCGGGATCTGGTCACAGTTAAATAAACCTGTTCCTTACTCGAATGTTATTAGTAGACATCGGATTTTAGGTAAAATATTTTTTTTAAATATAACCTCAATTAAATTTGGTCTAAATCGTATTATAACTTAATAAATAAAATTTGTAACCAAACAAATGTGGCTTTAAATCGTATTTACAAAAAACGATTTCACCTAAAATCCGATGTCTAGTTATTAGCTTGTTGAAATTGGAATTTTAAGTAATATTGGCTGTTATCATATCATTCTTAGAGATTTTTTCAAATATTTAATTCCAATTACATCAAGTTTCATCAACCTTTTATTCTATATTATATATATTACACCACCCCTTAATAATAAATAAATATTTACATTAATAGTTCGCTTTTTACTGGTTCCTTTATTCATTTATAGCGTTATACGTGTAGCAATCGCCAGTGCATGTCAAACTGTAACCCCCAATCAAGTCACAAAACAACAAAGATAAAGATTCACTCCAACATACCGATTAATCAACGGCTACAGTTCGACAAGCACTGGCTTTTGGGTGCCTCAAAGGTGCAAAATAATACAAATCTATTACTTGCGTATATATGGAAATCAAAATGCACACTTGTATATATGTATATATAGACGAATATGATAAATAATACCAAGGCGTAGTCAATGCCGTAGGCCTGCCTGCTATCCAGATCCACCTACGTTGTATCTGTATCTTCTTACTGCTGCAGCTGCTGTTTGAGATTCTCGGCTAGGGATTTCCCGGTGTCCAGGGGCACCACTATATTCCGCAGGCTGTCGATGCTGTTGCGCAGCTTGGTGGCCTGAAATTTAGTGGGCAACTTGGGTGACCCACCCACCGAGGCGAAGGCAAAGGTCTTGTACTCCTGGGCAGCCATTCGGGGGTAGTAACAACATTAGATTTAATATACATATCATATAGGTACTTGGGGTTTTATTTGCAACGCAAAATATCAATAAAATCAAAAGCAAACCGAATTCAGGGAGCTAACAGGTGGGTTCAATGCCTGTGTAAAATCAACTAAATAAAGATTCTTCATACAAATGTGTCATGGTAAGCGAGTGTTTAAATTATACAATGATAAGTAATGCTTGGGTATTCGCAGACAGAGAGAGCCTTAAAGTATTTCTCGGGCTGATTACCCATATCTTAGTTATAGAAATTATACATACAAAAAACTTAAGATAATAAACCGAAAGGATTTCAGATAATTGGCCGGTTCACTGGTCCCTAGGTTACCTGGTTGCCGCTGGGCGAGCTCGCCTCGCTGAGGGTCGTGGGCGCCTGGCCCATGTAGGATTGGAATGTGGGCGTCGGTCCGCCACTGCCATTATCCCGCTGGTTACCACGAGTGGTGACCTTCTCCTGCAGCGAGTTGAAGGTCTTCGATAGCCAGGGCTGCCAGCTATTCCTGTTCGTCTGCAGTTCACTCAGCGTATTGCTGAGTTGATGGTTGAGGTCCTGGTTCTTGCACTCCGCCTCCACCTGGGCCAGTTTGGCCTGAGCTAGCTCCAATTCTAATTCGCGGATGCGCTGGGCGGCGGCATTCAAAGGATCAAGTGGCCCCAGTGGATGTTCATTGGCATTCCGCATGGCACTTGTTTGTCGCCTGTTGCTGCCGCCAGCTGACGTGGCATTGTCGTTGCCGGCATCGATCTGCTGCTGGCAGTCCTGGCAGTTGGACACCATGTGCTTAAAATAAAAGAATATATAAGTACTCGGAAGTCTAAAATATTTGCGTTAATCATTCAATTTTTGTTTGATCATACTATGCCATGAAATTTCAGATTTGTTTAATTCAATTCTAGGTGAAAGAAATTGCATGTTTTTTTAATTTCTTGCTTTCTTTTAAGAACAAAGAGTCGGCAATTTTTAACAAATCAATGTTAACTGCTTAGAAAATAAAATTCAGGCAGATTTAATCACAAAATTATACCTTTCTTCTTCAAAAGAAATTGTCGTTTGAATTAGTTCGAAATTCATTCAATTCTATAAAACTCAAAATTCAAATTCTAATTAATTCATTCATATAAAACAAAAAATTCAAAATAATTCATTGAATCCCTTCAAGCAGGACCCAATTGCCCACTAACCATCACTTTGCCCAGCGTCTCGCTAAGCGTATTCATGTCCTGCTCCTGCCGCTGGATGATCTGTTTGTATTCCTGTATTATTCCCGTGTGCTTGCGCTCCTTCTCCACAGCACGCTCCTTGGCGGAGGCGAGCTGCTTGTTCAGCGCATCAATATCCGCCTGCATCTTTCGCCTCTCCTCGCCGAAGCGGTTCTCATAGATCTGCGCCTCCTTCTCCAGCCGCTCCTTGTGCTGTTTCTTCAGCAGGAACTCCTCCTCGTACTGCTTCAGCTTCTTGATCTTGCGCTCGCAGGCCTGCTTCATCACCTTGCGTGCCTGGCTGGAGCTGCGGCACTTCTTGGGCAGCGTTACCCGGAAATACTTGAGAATGCCCTCGAAATCGAGCTGACGCAAATCGGATTCGCAGATTGACAGCAGGGTCACGGCCACCTGGAAGAGCACAGGCAGTCCGTCCAGCAGGAAAACATCCAGCACGTGGAACACAAAGCACAAGGGAAATCGAGCTGTGTACAAGGTGAGGAACCACTGGGAGGCGTACATGTGCGTCTCAATGCCGCAAGCCGTGAAGTGCTCGTGCAGCTTGGGCAGCTGGTCCTTGATCAAACGCTCCAGCTGGTAGAGACGCAGGTAGAGGACTTCGAAGCCAGCCTTGTAGAGATCGCGGAGCCCGTAGTCGTACATGAGGGCCACCAGAACGCAGAAAGCATCCTCTTCGGGCATCTGGAAAAGGGGTTTTTAAAGGAGTTAGTTTATTTGATAATACTTTATATCAGTGGACTCATAGGAAGTATTTGAAAATAGTGCGATTAAAAAGAAAGTAGAAGAAAGACTGCGCCGAAAAAATCGAAAAATCACGCGATTTTTTCTTAAATTTATTTAAATTGCACTATTTTTAAATAATTCCTATTCGGGAATACTTCAGCAAAGAGATTTCTAGCCCATAATAAGTAATTCAAAATAACTTAAAACTTTACCCAAATGGTGGTTCGGAAAAATGTTCATTAAAACTATTTAAATAGCAAAATTTAAAAAAATCCTACATTTTTTATAGGAACTCATTTAAGCAATTAAATAATTTTATAGGAACTCATTTAAACATTTAATTAATTTTATAGGAACTCATTAAACGTAATTACTTTGATTGAAAATATGGGAAAATCACCCATTGAATTAATTAATTAAATTAAATTAAATTCTTAAGAAAGCGCGGTCCATCGAGGATAATTTTTTCGCGAATTTCGGGTGTGAGTCCGCTAATATAAAGTATTACCGTTTATTTTTTAGAAAGTTATTCGCTTTTTAAAGTCACTCACATGGAGCAGCAGACTGGCCGCAATGAAACTCAGACCCTGGCAATAGCCGACCTCGCTGTCGTGCACCGCATACGCCTTGGACACCTTGAAAAGAGCATCCTGACCAGAGCCGCCGGTCTCCTTGAAGCATTTGTGCGCCGGGAAAGTGCGATGAATGTCCCGCTGAATGACGGTCTCACATTTGGTTTCCTGCAATTTAATAAATTTAATTAATTTCCTTTATAGAGGCTTCTCCAAACCACTCACTTTGGTGATTAGGATCTTGTACATGTCGTTCATCTCCAGCCGGCCCTCAACATTGGCCAACTTCTGCCAGATCTTCTCACGCAGCGCCTCGGGAACTCCAAGGCGAACCAGGGGCGCCAGGTTCTTGGGCCTCTTCTCGCCGTCCCACTCCCGCAGAATGGGATCCCACTCGTCCAGCGTGTCCTGCGAGCAATCCTTGGACACCTCCCCGGTGCCACTGAGCAGCGGCTCATCCCCATCGCTGCTGTAATCTGAGGGGCAATCATCCTCAATAGAGGCTATGGACGAACTGCGCACAATGCGCGATAGATTATTCATGCCCATCTTGAGCAGCGAGGAGGAGGAGCTCTGCTGGTGGCCCGGCTGCTCCGTGATCTCCTCGGAGGGATCAATGCTGTTCACCTTCCAGTTGGACTCGTCGGTGCGCTTGAGGTGCAAATAGAACCGCAGCGTCATCGGTCGCTTCGACATGAAGTGGTCCATGATGCGCATTTCACTGGCCGACTGAATGGTCACCGGCGTCTCGATGACAAATCGCACTGGTTCCTGGATGCGTCGCATCACAATGTCCACGGCCACGGTGAGATTGGTCTTGGTGGATTCCAGGTTCAGCTGCTCGAAGGCCTTCTCCTGGGCCTTCCACTCGGCCCGAATGGTGTAGGGCAAGGCGGAGTTTTGCTGGGCGCTGCTCTCTGATGATGATTCACTGGTTACGGCGGCCGTTCCTCCTGGCGGCAGGTAGCCCATGCTGTGCATGTCGATCAGATGCATATCCTTTTGGACCACCAGTTTGCCAGGGGCCACCAAAACCCCAAAACATCGTTCGATATGCAGCGGTTGAAGAATATTCGAGGGCGTCTGCTTGACTGTGATGCACACCTCCTTATCTGTGTTCGCCCTCAGCTTGAAGCATCCCCTGTCCCGCGGAACAGCGGCATACGAATTCTTGGCCACCCGCTCGCGAATCTCCAGCGAGACTATGAACTCATAGCCGGCCGTATTCAAGGGATTGCCGCTCACATCCGAGGTCACCGAGTTAACCATCTCGACGGCCGAATTGAGGCTGCAACTCATGCTGGGCGGATACGTTTGGAATGCCTTCTGGAAGCAGGCTGCGTGGGGATTTGAAACATAAGTCACCAGATGAAATCACTCTATGATAATCTGACTCACCGCTGACTTGGTTGACCGCCTCGGGAATATGGCACCGAAATACATGGCACTGGAACAACGCATCGCCGTGCAGCCAAGTGAAGGCGAAGCAGCCGTTCTCCACCGTGTCGACTGGTCCGCGATAGTAAAGGATTATGCTGGATATCTCGTAGGTGGCTATGATCGTATTGCTCTCCGCATCGTGGAGGCTGTAAAAGAAGGAGCGCGATGAGAGTGAATCACTCCTTGCGGCGTACAGAAAACATTACTCACACCACCAGGCCATCGGAGCAGTTGGGAATGCTCACGGTGATCTTGAGGCCCACCGACTTGGAGCCGCTGTTCAATTCGCCCATTATGCGATAGACCTCTGTCTCCGATTTGGGCGCATTGATGTTGGCGGCTCCTAAATAGGTGACTCCGGAGAATATGGTGCAGCCCTGATCGATCTCGGAAACTGAAAGGTCAATGGGGTTGTTAGAATAAAGAGCTTTTGAGTTGGCAGTTCTTAAAGGTAAGGAAAAACAAGAAGTTTAAATACCCTTTAAATTGTCATAAGGCCTACTTCCTACAAAGTTACACTGTTTTTTTTTCTATCATATTTTTTTATTATTGCTATGGGAGGCATAAGATATAGTGGTCCAGTCCGACATATGTCTACCTGCAATAGAAATAAGACTTTTGGGAAAGTTTCATAGCGATAGCTTTAAAACTAAGAGACTAGTTCGCATAGAAACGGACAAACGGACAGGCATTTATTGGTGCTGATTAAGAATATATATACTTTATGTTATTTTTAAATTGTCAGAACGCCTACTTCCTACAAAGTTTTAATGTTTTTTTCAGGGACCGTAAATAATCATTATTTGAGATTTTTATTTTAAAAAGACTACTGTGATATTTTGTTTTAAACGTCAAAAATAACGTTATTTTTACTCTTGTCCACAAAGTATATGCATTTCAACAAATCTGGAAAGCAAATTAACTGTTTTGATTTTTTGTGGATTAAAACTTGTAAAAACCTGAGTAGGCCTTTTAAAATAAAAATCTCAAATAATGATTATTTACGGTCCCTGGTTTTTATACCCTTGTAGAGGGTATTATAATTTCAGTCAGATGTTTGCAACGCAGTGAAGGAGACGTTTCCGACCACATAAAGTATATATATTCTTGATCAGCACCAATAGCCGAGTCTATCTAGCCATGTCCGTCTGTCCGTCTGTCCGTCTGTCCGTTTCTATGCGAACTAGTCTCTCAGTTTTAGAGCTATCGCGATGAAACTTTCCCGAAGGTCTTCTTTCTATTGCAGGTAGTACATATGTCGGAGCGAGCCGGATCGGACCACTATATCTTAAGGCTCCCAAACAAATATAAGAAAATTCATTGTAACTTTGTAGGAAGTAGGCGTTTTGATTCTTGACTACTTAAAAACAAAATTGAAATAAATCGAAACGCTGAATCTGGAATCCCTGGAACTGCACCGAGTGAGTATTCTTTTATCTACAAGGGTATATAAGCTTCGGCTGGCCGAAGGTAGCTTCCTTTCTTGTTTTTTATTATTTTTTTGAATGTTCCTATGGGAGCCATAAAATATAGTAGTCCGATCCAATAGAAAGAATAGTTTTTGAAAAGTTTAATCGCATTAGCTTTAAAACTAAGAGACTAGTTCGCATAGAAACGGACAGATGGACAAACGGACCAACGGACAGACGTTTATTGGTGCTGATCAAAAATATATAAACTTAAAACTCTCCTTAATTTTACTAAATTCTAATACCCTCTGCAAGGGTATAAAAGCATTGTAGCCAAGAGAACCTCCCCCACTCACCCTCCTCGTCGGTGGTGTCGCCCTTCTCCGGCTTCATGGCATCCTGCTTCTCCTCCACGCAGGCGGGACTGGCGTCTATGCAGTCGTAGAACACCGAGTGGCCCACGCGGTTCGAGCTGGAGGCGTCGTCCAGGGTCTCCTCGCTCTTGGGCGAGAACAGGGTGCAGGGGAACCGCATCTCGGGTTCGGCAGCTCTGCCACCGCTGCCCACTAGCGGCAAAGTAAGCGACTTCTGCTGATGATTCGGAGCTGTTAAAAATATATCTATGTTAATTTCTCAATTACGCGACGTTCAATAACTAGCAGCAACTTATGTATGCGGTTTTCGGTTTTCGGTATTTAGGAAAGTATTATTATTATTCGGTCGTTTGTGTGTCGACTGTTTCCATGACAGCGGAGCTCCGATAAGATTGCAGCTGGCTTAGCAATCGCTTGGTGTTTTTTTAATTTTGGAGCAACTGCGACGATGTGTGTGCACAGCTGGCGGGTTGAATAGCAACTGAGCTGCCAGTTGTGCTTCTACTCTACTCACCTACGCCGCGTTCCAGCTCCAGATCCCTTTTAGAGCGTCCGTCATCTCGTGCTGCATGTCGCTCAGGTTGCGATTGTGCGAGATGTCCAGGGTGGGTGAGCGATCTCCTCCTGCCTCGGGGGAGGAGAGGGCCAGGGCACTCAGGGAAGTGGGTGGTTGGCCTCCTATTTCCTGCTCCTTCTCCTCCTTGATCCTGCTCTCCACCTGCTTCACCTGCTCCATGGGACTGGCCACATTGCTGTCCGTGACTATTTCGTACTCCCCACTGGTGGTTATCGAGGATTCCGAGGACTTGGTGCTCAGATTATCATCCATTCCGAATCCCTCAAGGTTTTTCCTTCGCTCTTTGTTGTTTTAAGTGCGTGAGTAGTTGAGATTTTCTTCTTTATTCAGTAAGCCCTATGAATTGCGCATTTTCAGGGCAGGTAAACAAATCAATTTATGGCCCCAAGGCCGCGCACTCGCTTTTTATAGATTTCGGGCTGTCGGTTTTAATTTGTCCAATTTTCAGCGGAGTCGCATTGTTTGGCTGGGCTCCGCCGTAAATCGATGACGAATCGGTACGGTTTGCTTTTCCTGGCTTCTTTGGGGGCGTATGTATGCGCATGTATGTCACACAGCGCCCACTTTGCGGAGGGGGTGGTGGGCGGTGGGGTCGACGGGGTCAACAGTTTGCTGCCGTTCTCTTTGCGATCGCAATTCTATGGATTTTCGGTTGAGTAAAGTAACTCTGGGTAATGTTTTGCTTTCTTTATTATGGGTTAGCACTCTGCCGGTACGCTATTACTTTGCTTTGACCCCGTTTTTGTGTCTCTTTCATGGGATTTTCCGCAATTTTCTTGCAATTTTCCCTCTGTTTTGTTTACATATTTTTCAGCTAGTGGTGGTCGATAGGCCGCCGTAAGTATCGATAGAGAACAGCTGTTTTGCGTTACACAGTACTACTTGTTTGCATAATCGAAAAGATCGATTATTTTTGGAATTTTTAGTAGGGGGATTCTAGATACTCAAATACATATTAATTATTTCCTAAATACTTATTTCGCATCAATTAAAAATGTTATTTATTTTTTGGAAAAATACTATTCTGAATTGTATGGTTATTAGTGTATCTCTTTTGTGACAAAATTAAGTTGAGAACCTTTATTATAACCTTACATAATGGTGGGGATCCCTAAATTGTTTTTTTTTTTTTTTTTTTTTTTTTTTTTTTTAAAAAAAAAAAAATTTTAAATTTATTAAATTATTAAACTCTGGGCTGAAATTTTTTTTTTTTTTTTTTTAAAAATTTTTTTTTTTTTTTAAAATTTTTTTTTTTTTTTTTTTTTCACAATTATTTTTTTTTTTTTAAAAAAAATTTTAAAAAATTTTTTTTTTTTTTTTTTTTTTTTTTTAAATTTTTTAAATAATTATAATAATAAATTATTTTTTTTTTTTTTTTTTTTTTATAATTTTTTTTAAAAAAAAAATTTTTTTAAAAAAAAAAAAAAATTTTTTTTTTTTTCCTTTTTTTTTTAAATTTTTTTTTTTATTTTTTAAAAATTTAATTTTAAATTTGGACCCCTGATGTATCCAATGATTTTTATTAACACATGATGTAATAAACAAATATATTCGCTAAAAATTAAAAAAAAAGTTGGTGCCTAGTTTTGAACTCGGTTCTGTCTTGTCTATCGATATAGTATCATCTCTAACAACGCCAGTGTTGGTAAATCAACACTACAACACTACCGCGCGTGCTGGGAAAAACGTGCGCGTTAAATCGTCGCATTTTTCGTAGATAATTCTTAATTCCCGCCTCTGAATCCGACTCCCCCAACATGTGGCCGCGATTTGGCATCAAGATTGGCAACAGCACGCTCTGCATCGCCCACGTGCGCGCGGACGGCAAGGCGGAGGTGATCGCCAACAAGCAGGGCGACCGGGTGTCCCAGGCGTGCCTCCTCTGGGACGGCGTCTCGGAGATCGAGTGCGGGCTCACCGCAAAGCAGAAGATGGCCACGCGACCGCGCCAGGCGGTGGCCCACAGCTTCCAGCTGCTGCAGCCCAGGGAGCAGATCACCGAGGAGAAGTTGGCCAGTGCGCTGCGCGAGATTCCCTGCGCGTTTGACAAGGAGGAGCTGGTGTTCCGCATGGAGCACACGGTGCCCTCCGAGAAGGAGGACCAAGACGATAGGGTGGTCACCAAGGACCTCAGTGCCTACCAGGTGACGGTGGAGCTGCTGCGGGCCGAACTGGAGCTGGCCCATCAGTACCACACGGACGGGGAGCAGGCGCCCATTGCGGTGCTCTCCATACCCAGCTACTATCCCGCCCCGGCCTACAAACTGCTAGCGGAAGCGGCCCAAGCAGCCGGCTTCCACGTGGCCCAGATCATCGCCGAGCCCACGGCCGCCGTTCTGGGCTATGGGATTGGTGAGGCGGAGGATCAGGCGGAGCAGCGCCGCCATGTGCTGACCATCAAGTGCGGCGGCCTGTACAGCGACATTGCCTTCTATGCCGTCCAGAATGGTCTGCTCGTCCAGCTGGCCACCTTTGGGCCCTTCGCCATCGGTGGCCGCCAGTTTACCGAGGCCCTGGTACAGTTCATCTGCGACGAGTTCCGCCGCAAGTACAAGCTGGATCCGCACGAGTCGCGTCGCTCGCTGGCCAAAATCCGCACCGCCGCCGCCAATTGCAAACACATCCTGACCACGATGCCCTCCACGCAGCTGTATATCGACTCGCTGATGGACGGCGTGGACTTCAATGCCCAGATGTCGCGCGCCCGCTTCGAGAGTCTCATCCAGCCGGTGATTAATAGCCTCATCCAGCAGCTGGGCGAGTGCGTGGAGCAGGCGAAGCGGGAGCATCCCTCCCTGAGCAGCATCGATGACATTGTGCTGCTGGGCGCCACCATGCAGATACCCAAACTTCAGGCGGCCGTGGGCGCACGCTTTCCGGACGCCAAGCTGCACAACAGCCATTCGGCGGATGAGGTGGTGTCCATTGGTTGCGCACGCCAAGCCGTCTGCCTGATTGATCCCCTCGAGCAGCAGCTGAACAAGGAGGATGATTGTGTGGTCTCGGAGGACGATCTGTACATCTGGCACGGCAACGATGAGGCCAACGCCAAGTTGGTTCTGGGCAGGGGCAGTGTGCTGCCCGCCAAGATCAGGATATCCCTGCCGCAGTCGGAGGAGGAGGGAAAAGCAGAGGCTTCCTTTAAGCTGCGCACCGGGGAGAGCGAGATACTGGCCCGCCTGCCCGACGACAGCACGACGCCGGAGGATGGGCTCTATCAGCTGGAGGTCGAGGTGGACCTCGACGATAAGGAAGGCAACTTGGTGCCGCTGGTGCGACTGCGCTGCATGTGAGAGGCCGGATTTTTGAGCCGGAACCGGTGCGCCGTCGCCTAGTCTATTTATTGTTGCTAGCCTAATGATATACCGATAACAAAAACAATACAAAAATAAAGATAAATACGAAAGCGGCAAACGAAAAAGCATGGGTTCATATTGTAAACCATTTATATCAGGGACCGAAAATCATTTATTTCTTCAAACCAAAAAGTCGGCCACTTATAATAAAAAAAAATTATTTTCGCCAAAATAATTAACTTTGTCCAATCTATGCATTCCAGCCATGATTTTTAAATTTACAAATTATTTTAACCACTTTAAAAAAAAGTGGCTTATCCCAAACAAAAGCCGTTTTAAAAAGTGCTTTAAAAAATTTTTTTAAAAATCGTGTAGGTAGTTTTAATAGCCTCAGATTGGCGAAAAGTTTTAAAGGACGCCCGCGAGGCTCTAATGAGTTTTATTTTGAGCAAACAAATAAAAATCATCAAAAATCATTATTTTTGATCAAAAATAATTATTGTGCTCTAAGAAATATATAGAAATTGAATTTTAATTATTAAAAAGTTATTTTTTTCATTTATTTTATAATGATTACGGTCCCTGATTTATATGCTCTTATCCTAGCTACCTAAATTACGTGTAAAATTCAAAACTGCAGGCTTATATATTTATACTTCTTTATATTCTCTTATCTTAGCTACTTAAATTATGTATATAAATCAAAACTGCAGGCTGGAGGACTTCTGGCTGCGCTCCAGCTTGCGCAGAAACTCCTCGAAGACGACGACACCCTTGAACATGCTGGTCTTCTTGTGATCCTTGATGCGGCTCTTGTCCTCCGGCGCCTCCATGTGGCTCTTGTTCTTGTCATCGAAGGCGTTGATCTCGTGGAGAAGCTGGGTGATCGTAGGCACCGTGGTGGGATCGAATTTGGCCACAGCACTTACACTAAACGGAACACAAACCTTTCCGGTGGCTGGATGAATGCAAAAGGGTGCTTTGAGTAAATGATTGAATCCCCTGGTGACGTTGATGTCCAGACGCGGGTAGAGCAGCCCCAGCTGCACTTCCTGTACTATGTTCTTGAGTTTCCGACTCCAAGCGTTCGCCGTGGAGGTTCTCATCGAGTTGGCATACTTGATGAAGCTCTCCCAAACGAGTCGCGAGTGGGCTCCATCCTCCAGGTTCTTTTGCAGATAAGATTCTAGTTCGTTCCTTGCCGGATCATCGTGAACCATATTAACAAGCTTGGTGACTCCTTTGGGAGTGCCAAATAGATTCTGATCCTCCAGGATGATCTCCTCGAACATGGGCTCCGCTATTTTCAAGGCTCTTTTCAGACTATGATGCGGCCGATCGCCCATGGGACATCTGGGTGAGTTGTTGCCCGAGAAGTTGACATACGAAATGATATTTAGGTATTCAGCCACCGCAAAACGACCTCGACCATCTAAATGACGAGCCTGATGGTCGCAAACCCAGCAATGGATGCCTCGTCGGCCGGAGAAAATCCAGATAATATGCTCGAAACCAAAATCCTCCCGCAGGGCAACATCCAATATCCTGGCGGCCAGCACCATGAACTTCCAGCACTTCAAACACACACCTGCTCCCGAGCAACAGGTGCGCACATCGTCGTAATCCGTCATGTCAATATCAAAGACCAGCTCTCGCTGCACAGGGGTTAGTCCACCAGGAACAGTGCGATGGTTCTTGGGTCTCGTATGCATCACGGGGCCAATATCTATCTTCACGGGATTCCTCGAGCAGATCTCCTTCTCCAACTCGGCCTGGCTTTCGAAGCACAGGTAACGTATGTATATGTCGTCTTGTAGAGTAAATGAAATCTCACGATTGCAGAAGATGCCTTCTTCAGCTGGAAAAAATAAATATTCATGAGTATTTATAGAGAGTTTATTTAGAGCCAAGTATAAGCAATAGTGCCTTAGCTAAGAAGAAAATGGTGCAACCAATCTGAAGATCCTCCAGTTCTTAAGAATTCGCGGGTTGAAAGAATTAATATAAAATCTATAGAAGTTCTTTAAATTAATCGATTATTTCAAAAACCGCGAGTTCTTAGGATAAAGAAGATATATTTGTGTGGATCATACATAACTTAACTAAGAAACCTAATGATATATTCTATATTGATTTTTCAAAGACCGCGAGTTCTTAGGAACAAGAGGATTTATTAAATATAATATAGACTATACTCACTCAATCCATAGGAAAGCCAGCGGTAGAAGGGCTGGTGGGGAAAGAGGCGTCTGTAGTACACGGGCAGCATGTCCTGCAGGACCTCGGGATTATAGGCAGGCACAGCTGTCGCCTGGTTCTCCTGATCTGCGATTTGTTCCGGCATTTTAAGCTACTGAAAACAAAGCATTCGATGTCAAGTTAACTCAAAAACTCTAATTTAAACCCTAAAAAATAATAACCATAAAACATCTTGTCGAAACCTTAGATTTATATATTTTTTTGTTGATTTTTTTTTTCTTTTTCAAAGAGAGATACACGATTGGAGCTTAGAGTACTGAAATATATTAACGACATGCAATTGTTAAAAGTACGAGGCTAATTAATTGTCAGTTATGGGTCGAATGGAATACCGATTGATGATTGGCTTAGCTTACGATGGAAATCTATATAATATATATATTACTATATAATATATGTGTCTACTTTACGGCTAGGTTAGATCATTGTTGTAGCTTAAAGATTAGAGCACGACAGGCGGGCGTGATCCCTTTTTTCAGCATCATGGAGCAGCAAAGGGAACCCAAACTTCCACACCTCTTTTCTAAGCCACCGTTAAGCGGATGTCCTGCATCTTGTGCTGCTGCCACGAGTGCGCGGGCTGCCTGGGCGGCGCCGTGTTGTAGAGCGTCACCGAGGCAATGTGGCTATTCGGCATCACCTCGAAGATCAGGTCCTGGTAGCCGTAGCAGAAGGTCGATCCAAACGGATTCGCCGTGTTCGTCGAGCTAGCGCGATGCAGCACCACCGGCCGCTCGGAGGTGGCCAGTGCGCTGCTGATCTCGTCCCATTTCGTGTAGGCGCTAATATTAACATGCTCCTGCTTCGTGGGCGTCACCAAATCATGGCCACTGTCGCTCATCGAGGGATGATCGGCCTGCAGCAGGAACTGGAACTCGCAGCGATGGTACATATTGAAGTTGAAGTGCCCCGGATAATTGGTGTGCAGTATGAACTTCTTGCAGGTCTGCGTTCGCGCATCGAACAGCACATCGATGCCGAGGGTAAAGTAGTTGAAGAAGATGTCGCTGCGCTTGCTCTGCGCCTGTCGATTCACACTCGAGCTGTGTATCTTCATCTTGTCCTCGCTCTTGAAGAAGATGCGATTCGGAGCACCCAAACTGGTGGCCACATCCTCGCAGCTGTCGCCGAAGAGCAGTTCCCGCGTGAAGCACTGGCGGCGGGGCTCCAAGGCGCGTCCCGAACCCTCTGTAAAGAGCTTCAGCTTCAAGCCCTTCGTGTGGCCAAAGGAGGTGCGCAGAACGGTGGCCGATTCCAGGTACATCTGGCGGTGATAGCAGGCCAAAGGCAGCGAGGGAGCCCTGTTCTCCGCCACATTGCTGCCCGCATAGAGGGACATTTTGGAGACAACAGGCGAGGCGCCGTTCAGGAAGACCAGCGAGCCCAATCCATGGGCGTAACCCGAATGCAGTTTGCTGTCCACGGGAAAATAGAAGCTCAGGCCGCGGAAATGCAAAGCAAAGAGCTGCTTGGCTGCATCATAAACCCCAGGATGGGTGGCCCCAAAGGAGTGCTCGATCTGCTCGATGCTGGGCAGCACCTCCGGCGAGTTGAAGTAGACGCCGCCGTAGCGCAGCTTCACCAGCTTCATGTTGAACACCTCGATGGTTTTCAGGCGCTGAATGACTGGATCGAAGATCAGGCGAACGCCATCCTGCGGCAGATTGATGATGATATCCACGCCCAAAGGATTCGTATCGGAGTAGAGCACCTGGACACCCTTGATGATGCCCACCTGCGACTGGATGATGGCGATGGCCTGCGAGAAGTGCATGCCCAGCACGAATTCCCAGGCGTCGCAGCCCAAGGAGTTCTCCGGCAGGATCTCCAGATCGAGCATTTTGCCTGGTTTTTTTGAGATAGGATCTCTGCTTATTTGATTTATTCGCTGCGTTTCTTCAACCTACTGACCTTGATGTGCGAAATCAGCTGCGGATTGCGAATATATTTAAACGAATATATGCGCAATTTGTTGGTCAAACTTTCTGTTTTTCAATTGTTTGCTCTTGGGTTCTTGAGTTCTTGGGATTTCGCTCTCGATGCTAACGCCTTTGTTTATTTTTATGAAATTACGCAACGTCTGGGAAATTGTTTAATTTTTCGCCTCTCAACTACTTGTCGTGCCCTTTGGCGCAGCGTTAAATTGTATTGTTTTCTTCTAATATTTCGGACAAAGGCGAAATGCGCAGCAGAAAAAATGAGATAATAACAAATGCGCGGCGTTGCCAGACCGCCGCGGGCAGCTGTTTCGCGAAATTGCAAAACCATTTGGGGTGTGGTTTTATCGAAGTAATAATATTATCAACCTAAATACTACTTATAAACAAGTGTTTTAGTTGATAGCATAAATATTAAAGCTACTTAAAAATAATTTAATGTTATTGCTTAATTTAATCCAACCATCTGGCAACTCTATTTGAGCACGCAACAGCTGTTGCTATATTTTCGCGCGCTTTTTTTAGGACAGCCAAAGTGAATTTTTAAACTTACTTTTTGCTTTTAACTGGAATGTTTATATCAAGTCCGCAGGTGTTTTGGGTTCCACAGATGGTTAATGCTTCACTCAAACCACTTTCAGCTCTTTAATCGCGTTTAATTTATCACAAATTTATGTTTTTAACAGACAACTGCGAGCAGTCTGCCTGTAAATAACAACTGATTTCTGACGAATACCAACACTACTGCGTTTACCAACCCTAAATTTAAAGCAATTCAACGGAATATGGAAAATTTGTTTTATTTTACAGCCCACTTTTCACTTAAATCTATAAAAGACATATAAAACCATCACTTCAACAATATATCCTATCTATCAGACACTTTGGATTCCACCTTCAGGACACTTAGAGTCACATTTTGGGCAGCAAAAACTGGCGTCCGTTAAAACATTGGCGCTCAGACAGTAATAACAAAAGATATGACCACAGCCCATGTGGTGGGGCAGAGTGGGTCGCTCCCCACAGAAGGTGCAGGTGGTGCTCAGGGTCATCTGCGGGGCCAGGAACACCACGCCATCTCCGCCAGCCTCCAACCGCCGTCCGGAAATCGCCTGTCCAATGGCCGAGGACTTGAGAACTCTCTGCAGCTTGCGGAAGTTGATGATGGGCAGTACAAGGCCAAGGATCTCCTGTAAAAATCAGCCATATATAGAGAGATATAACTGGTAAACAGCGTTATAAACCCACCATAAATCCTCCCCAGAGCAACTCCCTCGTCAGGTACTTGTAGCCTATGTCTCTCCTTTGATTATTCCTCAAACTAATGTAGTCCAATCCCAGCAGGTAGTCCACCAGCGTGGGTTTCCTCCCGGTTTTCAAGAACCGAAAGTAGTTGAGGATATTGAGCACCAAAGCACTATTTTCCGCCCACGTGATCGCCTGGCTGAGCCACTCCACCCGCCTGGTCAGACGCCTCTCCTCCCAGCTCTTCACATAGCCCGGCAGGACGGTCAGGACGAAGTGGAGCACCAGCCGGGAAACAGTAAGCTTCTCGGCATCGTAGGCTAGGACTAGAAGCTGCTGGCCAAAAGTGGAGCACCGCTTGCCAACGGATCCAAACCAAATGGCCGATTGTATGAGCAAATCCAGCTCCGGTTGGATTTTTATGAACAGAACGGGCTGGGAGATATATCAATTAAATATAGATCAACTAAGGGTACTCTCTGTATACTCACCGATATCGCCTGCAGATTCTCCAGCAGATTATCCCGTATCAGGCGGGCTATGTCCTTGTTCAGATAGATGGCATCTATCTAGGAGGTAATTCTCTTAGTTTTAATTCATGACTATCTCCTTTTCCAGCTCACCTGATTTACACGTGGTACATATTTGTTTTTCTCCAGCATTTTGTTTATACTTCCTGCCGTCGGCTAGCTGATCATTGATATATTTTTTATTTATCTGTACTCTGCCCTTTCTTATCAACAACTTAGTAGAGATGGCATATATAACGGTTATTCACTAACTACTATCGATATTTTTTTCAGTGCTGGCTAACTAGCCACAAAAAACCGCTAAATTTAAACCAACCAACTAAATAAAGATATTTGTTTTCTAATTTATTTGTAATCAAAAACAGCTAATACATCAATTACACCGACAGCCAAGTGAAACTCCTGGTTTTTTGGACATTTAGGAAGCACTTTCGTCCGGCTCTTCAAATGCGACTTATGTAATTTCAATGAAAAACAAAGCAAAATGAGGCGAAGAACTCGTTTGGGAGCAGGAAAATCTGTCTAACGATGCCTGGTAATTCGTGGTAATATTGCCTTTTACGTCTGGAAACGCACAAACCAGTTGGTCAGTTGAGACATTTGGCCATTTGATTTGAGGAGCGCAAGTTCAATGATTGGCCCCCGCCTCAAAAACTATGGTCGGTGGTCGGGTGAGGTTTGATTTTATAAAAAGTACATAATTCACACTTTATTACACAATTTACAATTCGTTCGTTCGATCTCTGTAACAAGTTTTACGAGAAGACATAAGTATACATTACAGATTACAGATAATAGATTATAGATTAAAGATTACAGTTTACAGTTTACAGTTTACAGTCGAGTGATTGGTAAATTCGTCTGAGCAGGTAGTGACTAAGGATCAGTTGAAAGCGGAAGATGCACGTAGAAGTTATTCGCTATCACAGAATAAAATACAATATACAAAATGTTAATGAAATGGCCGTGGATCCTTTTGGTCCCTGGCCTGGATGTGTGCTGATGTCCTAATTACGAGATATGAAGCTGATTCCATGGTCGATCGATGTGGATATGCTTGTCCCTCCTCCCAATCCTCATAATCCTTCTCCTACTTCCGGCTGATGAGCAATTTGGCTAACTCTAGTCCCCAGCGAGTCCTGGCTTAGTAGTGGTGCTCGTGCAGCTCCTCGTGATGATGCACTGGAGCGGTCTTGTGGACCACGGCGTTGAAGCCATTGTGCTTGTCGGCGGTGTAGTCGACGGTGCGGATGGAACCATCGGGCTCCACCAGGGAGTACTGTCCCTTGACGGTGTCGCCATCGCGGGTCTCGTGCTGCGACTTGACATCTCCGGTGTGGAAGTCATTCACTCCGTACTTGAAGGCGTATTTGGGGGGAGCCTGTAAAAAAATATATTATATTATATGATAAAATAGTTGGATGATTTTTAAAAATTAACAGTAATGATCAACCAATTTTTAGTGGAATTTTATCATAAGAATAATCATTCAAATTTCATATCTTGTTTTTTTATATTTTTAGATAAACTGTATGATCTCAGTTATGAATATTAAAATTTGATGATTTTTAAAAATTAACAGTAATGATCAATCAATTTTCGAAGGAAAAGAATCATTGTATTTTAAATTTTATCATAAAAATAATCATACAAATTTCTTATCTAGTTTTTTATATTTATAGATAAACTGTATGATTTTAATAATCAATACTCTCCAAACTCAAACAAAATAAATCCATATAGTATACTCCATATAGTATATAAGAATTAAATGTTTAATAGTTCTGTATTTTAATGATTTTCAAAATAGTTAGCTTTTAAGTATTAAATCTAAATGTAATAAGCTATTTTTTGTCAAAGTGACAAAAGGATATTAATCAATTAAATTAAAAACTCACATAGTAATCCACATGTTCATCGTGTCCATGGGATTCGTGGGTCTCGTAGTGGGGTTCAGCATGCTCGTGGTGACCATGTTCCTCGCCCAGCGAGATGCGCTCGATCTGGTGGTGTCCGTACTCGTGGATGGGCTCCGGTTCGTGGTGGGCCAAGTGCTCGTAGCCGTGGCTCTCCTCGTAGTACTGGTGCTCCAGCGGATAGGCGAGGCTCAAGCACAAAGCCGAGGCGAAGATCAGATACTGCAAGATCAGATGGGTAGTTGTATATGTAATTAACATCGTCTAATTGTTTCCGTCGGCGGGCTGCGGAGTTGCAACTTGCAACTTGCAAGTGCTGCAATTAGCGGTGGCCACATTGAGTGGGCGGGAATGTGTGGGGATTTGGGGGACTTGCTGTCGCTATCCATGTAATGGCTGCTTTTAAGGCAAATTTCTGAGGTTTTTCCCTGCCTGGTCTTAATGAATTCACAGTCAAGTGTTTGCTGTGGTTGACTGCCGCTTTTGTTTGGATTTACGTTTAGTGGTTTCTTTTGTGGTTTAGTGGTTTCTTTGCGGGCTGTACAAATGTTGGTTAACTCAGAGGGAGTCTTATTAAAGTAACACAACTATTTAAGCTGTTTCTTGCTGTTTGCTAAAAAGATTAGCCTTACAAGGGGTAATTGTTTAAATTTTGATAGGCTTTAGGATTACAAAATTAGTTTTCGGATGGTTTCTGTTTTCTATTTCCTGAAACTGAGATCCGCAATATAAAAAACGCTGCTACTTAAGAAATCCTTCTTTTTTCTAACTAATATTTTGTTTTTATTGATTAAGAGCATAAGGATTTCAAATATCCCTGAGTCTTATAATACTAACTAGACATTTTGTCGTCTCATTTTTGTCCTTAAAAATTATAAATCATTGCAACTATAAAAAATAATATCACATCCTCAAACTAGTATCCTTTCAACGATCTCATCCTTTTTGATGATACACATTTTCAACTTCACCAATTCACTTGTTTTTCAGATATCACTTGATCCAGCGATCATTTTGGTATGTCCTTCAGGACATATTTATTGTACAGTCTATTGTTCACATTCGTTATCCTTAATCCTTGGCTGCTGCTGCTCACCTTGAAGGCCATTTTAGTTTGGTTTTTAGTTCGCGTTTTGTTTGATGATCACTGGATGACTGCACGCAACGACTTTTCACCACTGAATAATATGGTTGCAACGAAAATGCGCTGCTTTTATATGGTTAGGAAGAAAGTGAATCGGTTGGCAGCGGTGGTTCGGTGGATTGGTGGTTGGTATATCGGTGGTTCGAGCAGCGACGTCGCCGTCTTGGTGAGCGGAGCTTCTCTTGAGCCAAATGTAAAACAGTTCAAATGTGGTTGTTGTTTGCCATTGTTTGGGGTTTGATGTTTGCTGCCCCATTGCACTCAGAAAATTAGTATAAAATGCAGAAAAAAGGAATGTAAAATTAATAGCTCATTTATGATTGAGAATTTAATAATTACCAGAAGTTTAATTTATGAAAACAGTAAACTACAATAACTTTTCTTTTTAAATATAAATTGATACACTCTATGTTGTAAAATTCTATATACAATTAGGTCTTAAAGTTTTTTCATTATAATGCTCAAGTTTATAGAACTAGTATTTTCAGTCACATATTGGACACTTATAATTACCATTAGATGAAATAAATTATTATAGCCGTATAGAAAAATTCCCAAAAATTCTCTATAACAACAGTAATTAATCTTCCTAATGTAAAATAAAGCTCCTATAGAATTAGTGATTTTTTGTCGAGTGTTTTTGTTGTCCAGGACTCTTTGTGTGTCATTAGTGACGCATGCGATGGCGTTGATAAGTCGTCATCGCCGCTGCTGATCGACGGTTGCAAGTTGCAACATTGCAACAGCCTCGCTGACAGCCCCTCTCCGAAGTTTGTTAATAATATTTCGGTTTCGGATTTTTACCCAACTACCAGCCTATTTGCATTGCAGGTCTGCATTGTTGGCAGCTCGGCAAGTACGCTCATTAAACGCAGTTTGACCCAAATTTCGGCCTGATGATTTTCGTGGCTGCTGCTGGGCAACTTTTTTGGGGCAACCTTCTATTGCGGCTAGCCTCCGGTTAATCGTTTACTTTTAATGCGCTGATTTTCGTAAATCTTAAATGGTAAATCGTAAATTGTAAATTGAATTCGGGCTTCAGGCTGGCCCAATAAAAGGCCATTTTGTAATATTTAATTGTTCGACATAAAACAGAAGTTTCATTCGCAGCTCTCATGGGGGGAAAATAGGGGTTTCACATACTTGGGCCGGCCTGTACTTCAAATCAAAGTTAAGTGCCACAATTGCGTTAGGGGAAAATTAACCAACGCTTTTTTGGGTCTTTCGCCAATTTGCGATTGGTTGGCGCTAATTAGGCAGCGAAGCGTGGAATTTTGTGATTCGAGGGTTCTCACCTCGAAGGTTGAGACAATCGTTTTGTCAAATTCATTTAAGTGACACAAAGGTGTTTTGTTGTTTGCGTAGATTTGGATAGTAATTGATGTAAAGGCCTTAGATTTAGTTATAAAAAATATATTGGTCCTTTTTTCCATGAATTCTTAGTAATTAATTGACAAATTTAACAAACTGAAAATAAACTAAAGAGTATAATAATACCCCTTTTAAAATTTCTATTAAATACCCAATATTTTCTCACTGCTCTAAATAAATTCCTTGAAATTTTCCCATAAAATTCCTGCCCATCATCCACTCGTTCAACCTATTCCCATCTCAGTAATCTAGTTCATCGCCAAGTTGTTTGCCAATAACTCGAGAAATTACTTGAGTTTGGATTTCGTGCAGTTTTGCGGCAGGCACTTTGCATAGCCCCGATTCACAGGCTCTGTGGATCCAAACCAATCGAGTCAAAAACGAAACGAATGACATCGGGTTGATGTACTCTTAAATACAGGCACAGTTTTAATTGCTATATTATGGTCGACAACGTTTGACAAGATTGCAATTGCAAGACATGACAAACCGAAAAGCAGGGGATAAAAACAAACATTTTTTCACGATGATTACCAATCCAATCCGCAGCAAATCCCGAAGCAGCACAAGAAATATGGCAAATAAAATAAATGCTTAATTATGGCCCACGATTCGGGGTCTACGTCTCCTGTTTTTCTCGCGTAGGCAGGTGGAAAAAGTAACGCAAGTCAACATGCCGCACTCGACACACGGCTAAAGTCGCCTCTGTGGCATTCCAAATGTACATACAGTCACGTACCACAGTGTATCTGCCGCAGCATTTGGCAATTCGACGAAGCGCTGCAAATTGAACGCATTGCTGATACAATTTTCAGCTCCGATTTGGTGGATTTTCCAAGAAGGGTACATTGAATATGGCAGGAGGTTAAAGATGTACTGAATTGATGAACTTTAGGTCTTGTTTTCACAGTGGGAGAAAGCTATTACCCATGTAATTCTTTAATATATGCCACGCGAATTCTTTAGCACCCACAATTTTGATATTGGAGAAGAGAGCACTTGATAAAATACTTCAGCGATTATCGTAAGAAAGTTTATGAAAAATAAAAAAAGAATTTAGAAATTAAGAAAATAGTTTTTATTTATCTAAATGCAGACTAGTGTAAAACAGCAAAGCGAATTTATTATATGTTAAATTCGCTTTTATCTAAATTAGTATGCCTAAAATTTAAATTTAAAAAATTAATAGAGCATTGTGTATAGTTGATATATTTATAAAGTCATGCTCCCAATTTTTGTGTTGTGATATGCAACATTTTTCGGTTGATTTCGCTGCTAGTTATCGGCTAAAAAATTTTCATTTTTGCTCGTCGTCGTAATTGCACACAAAATGTTTATTTTGTTTGCTCTCTTGTCGCTCCCTCCCGCTCATAGTCGCTGGCCAGCAGGTGTTAATTTTTTGGCTAGCCGTAGTTTAGATTCGCTGCTTTTTTTTTAGTTTCGCCTGGCTAAAATGTGGCTTACTTTTACCCAGAGCGCTTGGCCACTCAATCAATTCCCACTCACAAAAGTGAAAAGTCAAAACGCGACTCGAACGCCGCGTTTTTGCTGCTTTTTAGCTTTTGTTGGTTATGCGCATGCGCGCATGTAACAGCTGCAGGTAAGCAGACCAAGCAATTACCTAGTAACTCATATTTACCGTTAGACATTTAGTACATGCATTAACTTGGCCAAAAGTAGTTGAAGTGCTCCTGCTGCTGCAAAAGCTATAGCTATTTCTGGTGTACATTTGCGACATCGGCCAAACAAAATAAAACAAAGCAATGGGAAAAATTTGGTACACGGGAAAAAATGTATCTTAAAAAAACATTTTTGTTTTTTATTTATTTAATATCTGCAACTTTTTAAGGGTATCGAATAAAATAAACAAAATAAAACAAAGCAATGGAAAAAGTTTGGTACACTGGAAAAAATGTATCTTAAAAAAACATTTTTGTTTTTTATTTATTTAATATCTGCAACTTTTTAAGGGTATCGAATAAATACTTTTCATTTTTTAAATATAATTATTCATTAATTAATTATTTATTTAAAATGTGTTATTTATAAAGACAAATATTTTTAAAATTTGTTGTTATGTCAGATAGTCTTATTCACTCTTTTAATATTAACTCAATATGTTAAATTTATTTTCCAAATCTTTATTTAATAAAATGAATGAAAAGTATTTTAAAATTTTATTTGTACAATAAGATATTTTTTTACGTGTACCCTATACGATCGTCTGGCAAACATACAACAACAATGGCTGGCAATCAGCTGCAAACTTTGACTTTTGTCTCATTGTTTCATATTTATTAGAGTCCCGACTGAAGCCTTACAACTCAACAAGCCAGCGACGCGTGCATCTTTCCAAAATTGTTGTGGGAATTGGCTTTAGTTTTTTGGCTACTGCGACTGCCGACGTTGCTCTTTTAATGGTTATCCTTTTATGCTGCCTGGGCTTACGCAACCAAAACGGCAGCGATTGCGGCTGCTGTAATTGAAAATTACATTCGGGTAGCTGCGCAGTGCCAACGCATCCCAATGCATTCAATTACCGGCAATTTATATTAATTTATTTGAAGGCAATGCGAATAAAACACGATTTTGCTGGGGACTGGCTGCCGCGATCCCCCCAGAGAAATGAGCGTGGTCAAAAGGAAAATCATAGAGAAATATATGCGGCTAATTGCCAGCGCACATTGAACTTAAAAGTGCATCGGCAAACGGACAGCAAGTTGGTGCAGTTTTCCTCATATTGATCGTTTGCATCGGTCACACACTGCGTATGAGCAATAAAAGATTTTAAAACCAGTTAAAGCACTGAAAATACCATCGTCACCTGTCCCGTTGACACTATGTCGGGAAATTATTAGGTGTAAAATGCATTGGTCATACATTGTCGAAGGTAAATATTTAGGAGCTGAGAGAAATTATGGACATTAGATGTGGTTAATCTATTGGGCAAATAGAAATGGTAAACAGTCTTTAAGCGCAGTTGAAGTTCCTCAAAAAAATAGGGAAGTTTTTTACTATTTTTAAAGTAATAAATATGGTGGTATACCCAGAAAAAAAAATGACCTAAAATGTCTAAAAATGGCCTAGAATTTAGGTAAAATTGGCCTAAAACTGGAGCTAAGTCCTTGAATGGCCTAAAATTTAGGATTGTATGACCTAAAATGTTAGGCCATTAATGGCCAAAATGGGGTAATTTTTGGCCTAGATTTTAGGTAATTGGCTGCCTTAAAAAAATTTTAGGCTTTATTTGGCCTAAAAATTTGTACTGAAAAATGTTTCATATTATAAAGTAAATACAGAGAAATTTATATCTAACTCGAGGTCAATGTCGGCTTAGTCTTCAAGAAGTCGTCATTATTCCAACACACAAAAACGAGCGAAGAGGCTTCACTGTTCAGCAGTGAAATCGCTGTTTATTCAACGATCGAAGTGGGTTACCATGCAAGCCGCGCTATAACTGGTTGGGAATTATAGCGTCGCTAGAACGGTATCAGAGTTCCGTGCAAATTTATTTAGGTAAAATGCATTAATTTTAAGGCCCTCGATGACCTAAAATATTAGGCTATACGGGACCTAAATAGTAGGGCAAATATACCAAAAATTTAAATTTTTAGGCTGTACATGACCTAAAAAGAAACTTTTAGTCCATTTAAAATGTTTTAGGCTATGCATGACCTAAAATGTTGTCCATCATTTTTCCGGGTGTATACAATTATTTTGGAATTTTTTAAATAATTAGACAAGCCATTAAATAAAGAAATTTTGGACATTAGATTTGGTCAGTCTACAAGGCAAATATAAATGGCAAATAGTTTTCACCTCCACTTTATGTTTCCATAAAAATTATAAGAACATCTTTAACTCTGTGCAAAGTGATAAATTTATGAGTATATATATATTTTGGAATTTTTTAATTAATTAGATAATCATAAAATACAGAAATTATTAATTTTCATGTTCACTCATTTGGTTAATATGTTGGGCAAATAGCTTTAACAAAAAATCGTAACCTTTAGTTTTTGCTTCTCAAAAAAAATAGGGACGTTTGTAAAAAATGATTTTATTTTTGAATTTTTAAATATTACTTAAAATTTAACTGTACAATTAAATTAACTAACTTCTTAAATGCTAAAATTGATTTAGAATTTTTGTATATATTACTACATTTTACATTTATTGATTTATTGATTGGTAATCGCATTTTGCTGTTTTTTTTTAGAATGCCTTGCTATCAGCTAGATCTGCCATCCTTCATTACTCAATCGCATCCAGCCGTCATCATCGCCGTCAGCTTTGATTATGCACTCCGTGATATAACTGCCGTCGAAGCATAATCTGAAAAGCCTTTCAACGGTAACAAATAATATTCACTTGGATTCGGTGCGGTAACAGCCGGGGCGGCAATTGCAGCCGCCCCTTCTGGCAGCCCCCACCCCGCGACTTCTGCCGCGGGTCTTAAGCCGCCGCCGCCGCTGGCTGGTTGACATAATAAATAGCTGAAGAAATTAATTAAATGCAAATTGCCAAATCACATAATCATATCATATGGCAGCTGGGACATTCGAGCGACACTCATTTTCGTTTTCATTTTCCAAGAGACTCAAACTCCCCACGAGTGTGGAGCAAGACGCGGAAAAGCCGAGAGTGCCAAGTCTTGTTGGCGGCCTGGCAATTTTCCAATTGATTTTCTTGCAGCTCTAATTGTATCATTGACTAATCAAAATATTTACGCTTTGCATTCACAGTCGCGCGGTAATTGTTAAATATTTTAATTTCTCCGCGAAGTGCCACTGCCATTTTCACACATCGCGTGGCGTCGAGGAAATCGGGGTGGCGCGCTTTTCCCATGACGACTTCCTTGGACTTTCGAGTGTCTCATTAATTAGGCGCCAATTGAAAGTGTCTCCCTCACGCTCTCTCTCTCCATTTCCTACAGTGAAAAGCGCTTTTCCCGAGAAGGGAGGAGAAGGGGGTGTAATGCCGCCACAAAGTAGGTTAAATACTTTTACCTTATTCCGTAGCCGGCTAATTGCTGTCATTTTTGGCGCAGCTTTGTTTTTCCTGCTGTTGAGATGCAGCAAATTAACAACTTTTCAAGCTCGCCCGAACCGGATATTATGAAATTTTCCAGTTTCGAGTGCCATATCGAGATTATAAAATGGTTAAATTTATGCAACGGCCTGGGGGTTTGGAAGACAGGACCTGAAAACTGCAAAACCGGCTGCAGATCCCCTAATCAAGTTGTCAGCCCGGCCAAACATATTTCCACGGCCCGCTCAAATATATTTCGTTTTATTAGCTTATTTATGAGCCTGGCGCTGCAGGGACAACGCCCGCGATCTCAATGTTAAGTTGAAGTGCAATTGCCACTGGTACGGGGCCCACTGTGCGGCTACGTAATGCAGACATTACGTATACGTCACGCCCTAGCCGAATGGGGGAGAAAATCATAAAGACTTTCACAGAGCCCCTCAATGGGGTGGTGGTGCTGCAAGCCGATTGCCTCAGCAATTAGTTAATGACCGAATATGTATGCCGAAAAGAAAGAAACCGAACGAAAGCAATGAATTGGAATGGAATGGACTGAAATTAGCATACAATAAAGCAGGCGAGTGCATATGAAAGTTACCAGAGTTGGTGTAATTAAAAAAGATCTGAGCCAACTAATGGATTGCAAACTAAAAAAATTAAGAGAACGCTATACCTCGACTATCAGCCAAATGAACTGCAAGAGAGATGGATATATGCATGCAACAAAGCAACTGCTTGCACTGCTTGCATTTTAATTATTTTAATTGCTCATAACTTTTTATTGAATGGTTAAATTTGAAAATTTTCTTCTACATTTTAATGGGTATTAATAATTTTACTTTACAAACCCTAAGAACCAAACCCAAAAACATTTCCTACTGTCTTCAGACCTTTCCCCATCGAACGAGATTTTATTTGCAGCCATCTCAGTGAAGCATAAAAGTGAATGTACAAGATACAAATTCGTGGGCAATAAATGCACACAGTAAATAAAAATCGGACTATACAAATGTAAAATGCTAAAAAATAACAAATACAATTTTAAGTGCTTGCAGTGCTTTTGGCAACAAAAAATTTCGCAATCTACGAAGAGTGTGCGTGCCACAAATTAAAGCTGCCGCAATAATGGAATAATAAATCAGCATAAATATGCATCGAACGAGAGTGAGAGAAATTGCGTGGAAAGCCGAAAGACGATAGCAGAAATCAAAATGCATTTCGCATTTCCTTCCGTTTTTTCGACTTCGCCCGAGCTTGGCATTTGCCATGGAAACGCATTTGGAAATTTGGAGCAATTAAGTGGCAAAACATTTACACTTGACTGCAACGTGATCCCAACGATGGCTTCCTGAATGGCGGGAATATCCATCCGAAAGCGGACCCAACCCAACTCAAACTAAAACCGATACGACCTGCTGTGGGCGACACATATTAACCTACAGAAAGTGACTTCAAAGGCGGCGATTTAGATTGGGATCAAGACTCTGCCACTCTGGCTGCTCCATTTTGGCACCCGGAAGATACATAAATATTTTAAAAATTCCCCAGATACCCGGCACCTTTTTTATTGCAGCCTCAATTATGCCGTTCGGTGTGTGGAATTCTTTTGTTGCTCTTTTTGTCTTTATGGCCAAATTGTGATCACTTTTTTATGGCCAAGGTATCGGCGAAAGACGTGGCGAATGAAAAGTGAAAGAAGCTTACCTAATCACTAGCGCAGGGTTTGCTCTTAACTAATAATGCTTACGTGCACAGAGACAAAATAATATAACTATCTTAAAACACTTAACTATAACAGGAGAATTAATTATTATTCGAAATAAAGTACCCATTAAAATTGATACTAAAATCATTAAGTAATGTGTTAAAAAGCAACACTAAATATTATGTGCTAGGTAATAATAATAACAAGAGAGAACGCTATAGTCGGATGCCCCGACTATCAGATACCCGTTACTCAGCTAAAGGGAGTGCGAAGGAGATGGAGAAAAACTTTGATCCGCCGTAACTTTTTAACGAATGGTCCGATTTAAAAAATTTCTTCTACATTTCGATAGGTATTGATAAACACAATAAAACTGCATTTTTACTTTTCCAAAATATTGAAATTTTAAAATCGTATATAAGCGATTGTGGGCGTTAGAGGGGGCGTGGCACCCTTTTGAAACAAACTTGCGCTGCGTAGGAACTCCTAGAATCTGCATGCAAAATGTCAATCTTCTAGCTTTTATAGTTTCCGAGATCTCAGCGTTCATACAGACAGACAGACGGACAGACAGACGGACAGACAGACAGACGGACAGACGGACAGACGGACATGGCTAGATCGACTCGGCTAGTGATCCCGATCAAGAATATATATAGTTTATAGGGTCGGAAACGCTTCCTTCTACCTGTTACATACTTTTGCACGAATCTAATATACCCTTTTACTCTACGAGTAACGGGTATAAAAATATAATAAAAATTCTTTAATAAATATTCTTTAAATCTTGGATTTTTATATTTAAAGAAAATAATCTAAGAAGTGGTGGATAATATCAATAAATTTAATAAATATGTTAGTACTTCATAAATAACAGAAACTAAAATCCCAAATATTTTAAGAATTTAAGATTAATTTGTATAAATATTACATCTTTATTATGCACTCAGAATACACACAATTGGTTGGATATTACTTATATTATATTTCTTTTTTAAAGTGATTTAAATATAATATATTTATTTATTTCTTTCTTATATGTAACATTTTTCTCTGTATAAATTTGGAAATTTTTTTATAAAAGAAATTCATATCTAATATTTTTCTCTGTATACTTTTGGGTAACAGGCCCTCCTCTTTAATATTTCTTTCTAAAAAAACCTCTTAAGCATTTACTTTGCCCTGATGAAACATTTTCAAACATTTACTCTGGCCTGGCCTCACTGAGGTTGGGTAAATTGACCAGGAATTCACGGCGATTTGCCTCAATGGCTCGCCGTTGCCAATTTGCATTGCTTGGACTGCTGTTGACCAGTGGCCTGGGCGGCGGTAAGAGTGCCTCCGTCTCCTCGACTTGGGGAGCCTTCTCGGCATTGTTGGTTTTGGCCCTGTTGTATTTGGAGCTTTCGCTTTTCTGGGGTTCTGCAGTGGTGGCCTTGGGGGTTTCTTGATCGGCTGGCAGTTGAAAGGGAACTATGGGAAATTGCTGGGGTATCAGATTCTGAACTGGCTGACCCTTGGCGGGGGCCTTGCCCTGCAGCACATCGAGCACCGCTGGCTTTAGCACATCCTTGGTCACGTCGATGTGGTTGAGGTCGAGACCATGCTGCTCCTTCAGCTGCTGGGCCACATGATCGGCCACATGGGAGACGCTCACGTTGAGATGACTCTTGGGATCCCAGGTGACATTCGCAGGTGACTCCGTTTTGCTTCTCTCCACGAGGATATCGGGTCTCTCGGTGGGCCAAACGGACTTCACCTTCTCATCACCTGCCTTAAAAATCTGAATCTGGGCGGAGTAACCCCCATCCTCGTCCGCTCTGTATTTGGTGACCTCTACGCGTCCATCGGGCCTGGCATATCCATAGCTTCCCTGAATGCTACCATTTGCAAAGCGTTTCTCTTCGCGGAACTTGGAGTTCTGCGTCTGCGGATCATCAACCTCATAGCCAAAGGCATATGTATTGGGGCCTATTAATAAAATAAAGCATTTATTAAAATATTTAATTTATACAGAATTTTTTTTATAGCCTACCGTACGGCTCGTGCAGAAAATAATTGCTCACTTTGGCCTTTCCACTTTCATTTTTATCTGCCGTCTTGTTATGTACTTCGATTTTTGCTGGCATCGGACTGGCCAACGCGGCGTATACTTTTGTGATTAATACCAAAATCTGCTAACGAAAAAAATTGTTTGGCATATATTAAGGCGTTAAGTTTGACGAAAAAAGTAGGAGCTTATTAAGCTTTTTTATATTAGTTAAAAATAAAGTTGCGGTTAAGGAAGTCAAAAGAAATATGATAGCAAGTAGGTGCATAATTAGTATCCTGTTAGTATTAAGTATTGTTTAGGTTTTTTTTTATAATGAGTTAAGCATTTATCCCAAAGTATTGTAAATCGTTAGTGTATGATAATAGATTTTTGACACAAATTTTTACTCTTAATTTCCATAAAGAAATAAGTATTTTGTCAAAATCAAAACAACACAGTGTCCAGATTGAATTCGTAATAATATTCCTAAAATATTGGATTTTAGATATATAAAATTTAATTTTCAAGATTTATTTCAAAAGATGTGATGTAACCCCTCATAAAAAAGTTAAGATTGCCAATATACGTAGGTTTTTTATACCCGTTACTCGTAGAGTAAAAGGGTATATTGTATTCGTGCAAAAGTATGTAACAGGTAGAAGGAAGCGTTTCCGACCCCATAAAGTATATATATTCTTGATCAGGATCACTAGCCGAGTCGATCTAGCCATGTCCGTCTGTCCGTCTGTCCGTCTGTCTGTCTGTCCGTCTGTCCGTATGAACGCTGAGATCTCGGAAACTATAGAAGCTAGAAGATTGGCATTTTGCATGCAGATTCTAGGAATTCCTACGCAGCGCAAGTTTGTTTCAAAATGGTGCCACGCCCCTCTAACGCCCACCATCGCTTATATACGATTTTAAAAATTTTAATATTTTGGAAAAGTAAAAATGCAGTTTTATTGTGTTTATCAATACCTATCGAAATGTAGAAGAAATTTTTCAAATCGGACCATTCGTTAAAAAGTTATGCGTGATCAACGTTTTCTATCTCTATCTCCATCTCCCTCGCACTCCCTTTACCTGAGTAACGGGTATCTGATAGTCGGGGCATCCGACTATAACGTTCCCTCTTGTTTTATACTGTCCTGGAGTAATGTGAATCAATTGCACATGTACGAAACAGACGTCCCTTTAGATGGATAACTTATTTTAGCAGAATTATAAATTTATGTTTTTTTAATGCACATACATATATAAATCATTTTAAATGAAATTAAAGTACTAATTAATATCATTGTTCTAAGATCACAAAAAAATGTGGCACCTAAAAAAACGCATGCTTATTTACTTTCACTTCCAGCACATTTAAAAATAATCGTACTCTCCATTTTCTTAATTTTTCCTTATTTACAACTTGAAAATTCCTGAGTAATGAACTAATGTGTACATAATTTATTTTTGAGCTCTCTGCTTCAACGCACTTACAAAGAACCAAAACAAATTTGACGAACATTCCATGCTGAATTTTAATGCTTTTTGCCAATATATCAATCACATTTATTTCGATTTCAATTTTGACCGGTGAGTTGCGCGTACTTTCGATGGCAAAGACAGACTGAAGAACCGAGAACTTAAAACTAAATGGAGATGCCCTCCAGGTGGTTGCGAATCCCAATTAGGAGTACTTCGCCGGAATGCTAATAATGCTAAGTAATTTTCTGTTTTTTTTTACTTGCCCCGAAATAAAAGTAATAATTTTTGCTCTTTCATGCTAATCCTCGCGACCTTCGCTGAGAATTGTAAAACCAACCCAAGAAAATAAAGAACAATTTAAAGGTTTTTTTTAAATATGATTTTTTATTTATTTTTTTTTACTTTTTTTCTTTCTATTTCCATAATAACGTTTTCGCATTTCGTTTGCTGTTTGCTGCTGTTGTTCTCGTTGTTTTTGCATACAAATGTTTATGGGGAATATATAGTACATAAGTGTAAGACTCAAATGTGAACTTTTGAGACGTGAGAGACATGTGAGAGTTTGTTTATTTTTCGTTTATCTTCCTAATTGAGTACAATGTTTATTTTTTTGTTTGTTTTTTTTTCGTATGTTTTTTCCATCGTTTTTTGTTTATAATTAAGCTGCATAATTGTTTATAAATACACAATAAATGTGAACAATACTAAATGCAAAAAATGAAACTAGATACAAGGGTGTCAGACTGAGAGTGAGTGAGTGGACAGAGAGATATATAAAGTGAGAGAGAGAGATAGTGAGTCGGTGAGTGAGTGAGACGGGTGAGAGTGGAAGAAAGAGGCGGAGAATCAGGTCACGAGGATAACAGCGGGTATTTTTAGAGTACTAGCTACTAATGCACAATGACCGGCCCATCACCGGCAATCTTTTGCCCTCCAAGGACATTTATCTTTATCGAAGAATCCTGTCAAACTGCCGGTAGCAATCCCGCAATGGCACACAATTTAGCCCGCCCACCGTTACTCTCAATAGGGCGTGGCAGTTTAAGGATGCTGCTTGACAGTTTGACAGTCACCACAAAAAGGCTTCTAAAGAAGATAGTAGAGTAAAGAATATTATAGCAAAGAAGTAGGACAGTCATATAAATATATTACAAAAGTATAGCTTGGAAAAAGTGAAGAAAGAACTAAGCGTATAAATAAAGTTCTATGAACAGAGTGAGGAGAAGTCCTAAAAGAAGCCTTTCGTTATCCTTGGAGTTTTTGGGATTTTTTTTTGGGGCACCTCGTGCAAATGTTTGCTCAGGGGAAATCGGTACATACATATATATACAAACAAATATAACATATATCCTGTGGATAAACTTGTCACTCCAATTCCGATTGTTATCCTTTTAAAGGGTGTTCATCATCCGCGATCAAGTCATTCCGAATGCCAAGTCGTTATGAATTTATGCTCTTGTTTTGTTTTCTGTTCGGTTTTTTTTCCTTCGTCCTTGTGCCATGCCAGGATCAGCCGGGTGCCGGGACACGCCCCCTAAGGCGGCCCGTGTCTACTAAACTCTTAGCTAAGCTTACTTACAAAAGAATTGTCGATTTCGTTGCTTGTTTGATTTTTTTTTGTAGTTTTTTGTTCGTTTTTCTGTTTGTTGTTCCTATGATGTTTCTGTTTGTTTGTGGCTGGATGAGAGCGAGAGGGAGAGCACCTTGGCGACTAAGTCGGGCTCCCGCCTTCCCTTAGTAGTGGTGCAGCAGGGGGGCGTGGGCCAGCACGGGGGCGGCATGCAGCACGGGCGCATGGGCGATGATCTTGGTGGGGGCGGTCTTGTGGACCACTGCGTTGAAGCCGTTGTGGTCGTCGGCGGTGTAGTCGACGGTGCGCACCGAACCATCGGGCTCAACCAGGGAGTACTGGCCTGTGAATGGGATGGATAAAATGGTAAGTGGGTTAATATAGGTTTTAATATATAAATTTAGCTTGTGTGGGAAAATAAATAGTCGGAGTACCTAGGATACAAGTAAATACTTTAAAAAGAGATGAACAAAGTTGTCCCAATAAATTAACAAAATATTCCTTTCCTATCTTTATACATAAGCCACTTTTTTGAATCAGAAGTTAAACATAATTAAATGGGCTACGCTTTTAAATGTCTTAATTATGTTTTTACTTAGACGGGCAAATCACTTATTTTGGAAAACTAAATTTTACATTTTTTTGAGGCTGTCTCTAAAACAACTTCAAAGAAATACTTATTTTCTGTTTTCATACCAGATTTTTATACGCAAATTGCAATTTAAATTAAGTGTTTTTTTTGGGGATACAAAAACATGCTTTAAAAAATGTAATAACTTGAAGCACTGGCATAAGGTCAATAAATTGAATTATTTTTGTAATTACTAACAAGAGAAATATATCTTAAGGCTCTCCAAAATTTCAAAACATTGTTCTTGAAGTCAAGTTTGTTGCCTAAGTCTTTTGATTGTGAGCAATAAAATGTGATATACATTTCATGATTAAAATGCAGTTAACAAGTAAATTTGAATTTAATAAAAGTCCAAGTTCGTTGCCTAAGTCTTTTGATTTCAGTGCGATTTCAAGTTCGTTGCTTCAGTCTTATGTAGTTTTTTAAGTTTGTTGATTAAGTCTTTGGTTTTGAAAGGATTTTAAAAATATGTTTCACGAATAGAGCCTCCTATTCAGATCCTCTACGGATAATCCACACCAACTGGACACTCACCCTTCACAACATCGCCGTCGCGCTCCTCGGCCTGCGACTTGATGTCGCCGGTGTGGGGATCCTTGATGCCGTAGTTGAAGGAGTACTTGGGATAGGCCACCGGCTCGGCGTGGACGGCATGGACGGCATGGGACAGGATGGGCGCGTGGTGGACCAGCGCAGGGGCGTAGTGGCCCAGCTCGATGGGGACGGCCTGAGCGGCGGCGAACAGCAGAGCAATGGCAACGAAGTACTAGAGAGGATTGGATAATTGTGAGCATCAGGATCGGGGGTTTCACTTGGGGGATTGGGTTTCGGATTAGGCCACACACCTTCATTTTCTTTAATATATCGAACGGCACGAACGGCTAGCAAACACGCGACGCGAACACGTAGCTACAAGACAAGGACGAAGGACGACGACTGGAGGCTGATTCCTGTGCAGGAGGCTGTGAGGAGAGCTCGACTGAGTGAGTGAGTGAGGACCGTTAAGAGCACGAAATCGTTAGCTGAACTGATGTCTGCAACGATGACCAAAAGTATTTATATACGCGTCGCAGGCCGACGACTGCAGCCGAACGAGTGGAACGAACGAACGATGGCGTTGCAGCTGCGCCACCGGTGGGTTGGGGTGGGTGGTTGAGGCATTGGTGGTGGGGGGGAGCCAGTCGGTAGTACCACGCATGTGCCACAACAATGATCCCCCGTTTTCCCCCTCCCGCTGCAAAGTTAGGTGCGGCATTTGTTTTTTTCAACCCGCGAAGGCGTTCGGTGACTTAGTTTCGCTGACTGTTTGTCTGTTTTTCTGATGACGGCGCTGCAATCGAAAGCGACACTTTTGCATTGGCTCTAATGATCTAAGCTCTTTATTTATTGATTTGCCGACATAATTACGATCGTTTCGTGGCCGAAAAATATTATTACCATATCTGTGGCAATCAAACGGGGCGTCGTTATAATTACCTCGCCAACACCAACAACTTGCGTAGCTTTTTCGTGCCACGCAATTTGTTGCCTGACATTTTTGCGCCCGATTTCAGTTTGTTATTTCCACGATCCGCAGAACTGCGAGCGGAATTTCGATGTTGGCAAATAGTTTGACTGGGCTAAGCAAATCAAACGCGGCTCAATCAATATAACCCAGAGGCAGGAGACAAATGTTTGTCGCCAAGATTGTCGAGAAATGATAAATATTTGTTGGAATTTCGGCTAAGAGATTGTTGGCAAATGCTTATAAAAATCTTAAAGAAAATGCACTGGATTTTTAAGGAATGCAGATAAATATTTTAAAGAAAATAAATAAATACTGTTTGGAATTTTTAAAGTATTTCTATTTTCATAAATTTTATGATATCCCAATTATTAAACCCCAAATTAACTAAAAATCATAGCTTAAAAAACTCCTCCTCCTCCGTTTGCTTGCTCAACTCCTAAAAAAAAACGTTTTTTGACACTTTTTCAGGCAACACCCACTACAAACTCTGGCATGACATATCAGAAAATTATGATTGTATCTTATAGCTAAAACACACAAGTGGCCATTAAATGCAGACAAACAGCCGAGGGATGGGGTGGCCAAAAGGGGGCGGCTGCCTGCAAACGATGGGAAAAAACAATGTTCATTTGGTAGGTGCAAAAAGAGCTGGTACAAAAACCGAAACAGAAAACAACAAACCAACAGATACTCAGATCGCACTATAAGCACTATAAGAGATCACTTTGGAATGGGCCTGGCCATTAGCATGGAAAGCGAAGACAAAGACACAGAATCGACTTACATAAAACGGCTTTAAAGGCGACACATTTACACGGCTGGCCGAAAATCGCTCGAAACAATTGCCACAAAAAGTAAAAACTGAAAAAAAAGAGTTTGGGCCAAACAAGTTGGCCACGTCACGATCGCACTTTGACAGAGCCAGGAGTTGCAGGGGATTTAGGGGCCTAGATGCTAGATGGTTAGATGGTTAGTTGGTTAGTTGGTTACTCGGTTTGTTGGTCACTCGACAAGACAGTTGGAAAATCGCAATGACTGCGACAAGCCGAATCCAAATCTTTGTCTCTGCCTGGATCGATGGTTGCGCAATCGCAAAGCCGCCAATATAAGAGACATGGCCTGATCGATCGAATTGTTTTGCATGCGTTAATTGCACTTGTCCACGCATATCCTAACCCCCACTAATCCCCTTTTAAAACCCCCTTCAAATCCATAAGATTTATTATATTTACGGCTACGTCTGTCGATAACTAGAACAAACATTTTATCTTGATTTATGCTCGCCTTTCTGGCAGTTTGTTTGCCTATGTTTGGACAATAGCTTTTATGTGGGAGGGCGGCAGTTAAGGCGGGGCAGTTGAGGGTAATGGGATCCAATGAACATTTAAACGCACTTTGCATGGCTTTTGGTAAGCATACCTTTGATTTGTGGGGTATAATAGGTTTTCTGAGATGAGAAAATAACAGAAAAATTAAATGCAAACTTAAGAAAATAACCTTTTAAGGGGCCTGTTCTTACCCGCTTGTCAAAGTTAAAGTAGGCTTTAAAATCTTAATTTGTCTGTTATTTTCTTTTTATTGTTTATTATTTTGTTATTTTTACTATTTTATTTTTTAATCAAAAGACCGTTTTTCTTAATATATGAGTTATATTTAATTAATTTCTGTATTTATTCTCTGAATTATATTTAAAACATGTACTTTGCTGTACAGATTTTCATCCTAAGTAGTAAGAAATCTCCAAGTCGACCCTTTTCCCATAAACACCTTTTTCTAAACTTTACCCATTGGCCTAAGTGACTTGACAGTTATAGATTTGTGGCTTGATTTATGCAGTAGGCAAAGCGATTTCGATTTTGTTTCTTTCGTGATTGAGACCTGAAGGTCTTTCGACTGTATAGTATAGTATGAATTATCTTAGGACTGGACAATAGCCCGAGGTGGGTTCAATTAGAAAGTAAGTGTGTGCAGTCAGCATTCCATGCAATGTGATCTGATCCCAGGTGTTGCACAACGCTGCGTATGCGTAACGTCCCATATCCGGAGATCACATCCGGTGGATATTACATAATATACTTCCGAGCGACCCTTTGGGCGTCCAATTACAACCTATGAAGAGCTTTGCTAATTAAAACATTTCCAAACGGGGAGATTCTTGCACGTCTGCAACAGACGCATGCTAGCCATGTTCAGAGGTTTTCCAGTCTTTCATTCTACATCACTATGGACGGCAGTCCATGTAGTGACGAAGCGCACCAGGAGAGTGTGCGAAGGCGACTACTATATATACACGAAGAAATGAAAATCTACTGTGATGGTCCGATCATAATGAATGATACACCTATCGAAAGGTATTGCAAAACTAACAGGATTGCATACCAAGACTCTAAGAAAATCAATTGGCTTGGGAGAGAGAGCGGTGAAAGTGAAAAAGTGAAAATTTCGAAATTTGGAGCTGTTGGGGCCGGTGGGGATAAATGCCCCTCGCAATGTTTTATTTGTATTCCTTTTAAAAATACCCGTCGAATGAGGGGTCACTTGTCAAAATCCGACGCTCCGTTCAAAAGTTATAGCCAAAATAAGATTTTCTTCATCTTCCCAAAATGAAAATTTAATTCTGTTTGTCAGTTTGTCAGTTTGTCAGTTTGTCAGTTTGTCAGTTTGTCAGTTTGTCCAAAACATGTTTTTTAAGTTTTGAAAATTTGATATGATGTTCATCACATCGATATAAAAAACTTTCTTCTACCACTTTTGGAAAAACTCGCTAGTTAAGCGAAAACAGCTATAAATAGCTAAAATTCGGAAAGCCGTAACTTCTATACTACTAAAGCTACAGACTTGTGCTGCATCTCGTTTGAAAGGTACTTTGAAATTCTATAAACGCCTTCTATATGCAATTTGTGTAAATGTAATAGTTAAAAAAATATAAACAAAAGAGAATTTTTAAAACTTTTTTTAGCTTTTTTATTTTTCTCAAAAACGGCTCTAACGATTTTCTTTAAAACCTTAAACTGTATAGCCCTTGAGATTCCTTAAATTTTGGTATATAACACATTACTGTAAAAAGTCACGTTTAAAAGTTATTTTTATACGAAAATAGCCACTGTTGCCAGCTCGAACAATTAACGCCCGAGTATTGAATTTTGTGGGAGGGCATCCGAACTGTATTTTAGGGTCATGGAATCAGTAAATTTGCACTTAAGAGTTCCATATAGGAATCTTTGTTCTACGACTTTGGAAAAAGCCGCTACTTTAGCGGGAAAAAGCTAAAAATAGCTAAATTTCGTTAGTTTGTAAGTTCTACACTACTAAAGGTACCGACATGTGCCATACCTCGTTTAAAAGGTATTTTGAAATACTTAAACGCCTTTTTAACTTAATTTGTTTAAATACAATGGCTTACAAATTATGATTGACCAATTTTAATTTAAATGTATATATTAGCTCCTATGAGAGCAAATGTAAACAAACAAAAACTTCGATATCAAAAAAACACTTAACGAGTAAAAACGATCGCACCTCAACATACAAAGTTGATATCAACATTGGACGAAAATTATACACTCGTCATTAAAATTCTAATATTTTCTCATTCGGCACGCTGCAATAGAAAATGCCTGTGAAGGAAAAAGCTTGAATAGTTTGCTAGGGCGGGCGGAATGAGAAAATATTAGAAAGTCTATTTAATGACGAGTGTAATAATTTTTCGTCACAAATGTTGATATCAGAACTTTTGTATGTTGAAGGTGCGATCGTCACTAGTTTTTGACCTCGTTAAGAGGTGTTTTTATTTGATACATATTACCGCCATTAGTGGACCATAAGTTAACTGTCAATTAGCCCGGTCCGGTTAAAGCCGTCGGCCCAACTTTGTCGCCGGCTCAATTGTGAGATTACCAAGACGCCAAGTTGGTCTTTCGGCATTATTACCGCATCGCTGGCACAACCAGACGTCGTCGTTTGATCCACTTTCGCGACTGCTCTCTGCATTTCGCACATTTAATGCGATTTTGCGCATTTGCGCGTTTGAAATTAAGCGAGTGACGAAATGGTACCAAAGTGGATCACGCATTCGGCGGGGGGGAAAATAGATTTTCCGAGCTTGCAACAAACTCGCCTGTCCATCGGCCCGCTTGATTGAGTCCATGCGAAAATTAAAATGAAAAAGCAAAAGAAAATGAAAATGAAAACGAGATCGAAATTGAATCATAGTTGCAGTCGGGCTAAAAACGCACAGGCTTCACCAGGCTGGCCGATATATGCTTGTATATATCGTATGTAGATATATCCACTTGACGTGAATGTTGATGTTGTGGTTGCGTAAAGAGAGCCCCTTTGCCCCCCTCTATAACCCCAATGAACTGGGGACATAAGCTCGCTAGATATTTCAATTAGCGATTTATTTAGATTTCTTACTCTTTCGGCACAGGAGTTTCGGGATTATGCAAAGATTTCGCACTTAAGGCGGCATTAAGTTGTTTACTTTGAGATTTATGAAGGATATATAGTACGTAGTTAAATATAATAAACTCGCTTTTAATTCATTAGATTTTATGAGTATGGTTAATGGCTAGTTTTCATACACCAAAAATCTTTAAACAAAAAATGGTAATGTTTTTAAAAATATTTTTTTGTAAAATTTTTTAAAGATTATTGTGGTTTGAAAATTAGTAATAATGTATATTTAAATAAATTTAATGTCTTTGCTGCTTATCTTTCATATTGGCTATAAAATATAATTATTTTCGATATTTTATTTTGTTTATTTTGGTATGAGTATGGATTTGAGTATTAATCATTGTTAAATTAAGTATTTTGAATACAAAAGTGTAATACAATACAGATATTATAAATTTTTTTAGTTTTTTTGCTGCTTACCCATTCATTTGGTTTTCCTTAATAAGTACATATTTATAATATTTATTATAGATATTTTATATGGTTTATTTTGGTATTATCACAATAAATCAAGATTAATTAATTAAAACGTATTTTAATACTCTTTTCAGTTTTAGATGCCCACCTAGTAATCCTCGTCGCTGACCTCCTCCTGCTGACTGTGAGCATCCGCTTCGACGTATCCCTCCTCGCTGCTGCCCTCGTACTCCTGGTGACCTCCTCCCTCCCCTTCCTCCTCCCCGTCCTCCTCCCCCCCTTCGTCCTTGCCCTCGTCGTAATCCTCGTGCACCTTGTACTGCCCATTTCCCTGGTGAGGTGATGCTCCTCCTCCGCGAGGCGCCTCCTCCTCCTCGCCCTCCTCCTCCTCCTGCGCTTCTTGGGCCTCGGAGCTGTCGTGCCTCACCTGGTTGTCCACCGTTCCGCCACCGCCACCCGCATCGCCCTCGGCTCCATGGCCGTGCAGCGTTTTCACACCGTTCGTAATAACCTCCGCCTGAAAGCCGTTGGCATCGTCGGCCGTGTATTTAACCACACGCAAGGTGCCATCCGGATCGACTACGCTGAAAAAGAAATAAAATTAATTCAAAGTGCGCTTGAAAGCGTGTTCGAAGGTGTGTAATTGGTGTTTAGTTGGTTTTTATTAGCATTTGACATTAGCAAGTCATTAAGTGAATTTTTGATGATGTGAAATTGTTGAAACGAGTCGATTAGCTAGCGGTTATTGTAAGTGAATATTTATATTTTTAATTTTATTGTGTTCTGCGGTTTCTAATTATTTGTATAATTTAAATAAATTGTTTATTTTTATTTGGTTTTTCATATTTTTAAACCAATTATTGTTTTATAATATTTATTTAAATATTTTCGTGTTTGCGATTCTAGGTTTGTTTTATAAATTTTAAAAATGTATATCTTTTATTCTTAATACATTAAACTAATTCTAATTATTATTTGGGAAATTCCTATTTGAAAAACATAAAAAGATCTTGTATGAATACTTTTTATTTTTTATCTTTTATAATTTCTGAGTTTGGAAATAATATTTTCCATTTGAGGGTCAATTTGCTTTTATTTTTAATTTGTAAATCAAATATATATTTATTTTTAAGGTCAAATATCCATTTCTTAAGTAATATTTGAGTAATATTTAATGGCTCTCAATGCTTGCATATTACCATTATAATTCAAGCTTGTTTCTGATACAAAGTGGTAGCAAAGTGGTAGCAAAGTGGCCACGATGCCATATCAATTTCAGCTCAGTGTGACGTTAATGAATGCGTTGACAAGTTGTCCCCATCCCATGCGATCCCCATCTCGTACCATCCCATCAAAACTCACCTGTAGACGCCGCGCACCTCGTCGCCGTTCCGCGTCTCCTTGCGATTCTGAAGCACACGCGTCTTGCCATCCTCGACGCCATAGGCGAAGCTGTACTCTGGCCGGGCCACATAGTCCACGGTGCCGCGTCCGTCGTGGACGGTGATCAGGTGCTCCGGTCCCGCCACCGGACCCTCGAATCTCGTATAGGAGTAGCCAACCGCTGCGCATGCGCCGATCATTCCGAATCCAACAATTAGCGCCGCCAGCAGAGGCAGCAAATCTTTGAAGAGCCGCTGCGCGTGGCAAACGTGTGCCTCTTCTCTTCGCAATTCAATGCGGAAGCCCAAACGAGTTGGAATCGGAATCCTCTGTTCCTCGGTTCCATACTCATCTATATCTCCCGCTAAGCTGGTTATGCGTCGCTTCTTCATGGTTTTTTTAACTCACTGGCAATTGTGGACTTGCGATTGGGACCCTGCGTTCCCCCGGTTCTCGCATACTAAGCGTTAAATGTCGCACTTGCCGACTATTTATATAGCCATGGAGATTTTTTGGGGAGGCATTTCCCTTTCGGTCTTTTGGCCGCAAGCATTTCCGTGAAATTATGCGCTTCAATGGAAAGCAGCCGAGTGGAACTTCAGTTTGGCTGGGATGTGGTCAACCGATGACGTTGGGCCTGGCCACAGATTGCACCATTCCCGCAGGGTTTACACAATGCCTGCCCCTCAGACTGACGTCATCGATTGGCCATGGGTTCACAGAAAAAAGGGGTAGGTAGTTGCAAAGAAAATCTCTTAAATGCCACGATCCCTGATTGACCATCGCACGTCGCGGCGCAATTTGTTCGGCCTGAAAATCGCTTTAAGTGCGTTCAGGCTCCCAGTTAGTTAGCCACACAGAGAGAAATGATTACTTTGATATTTAATTTAATTTCATAAGACTTAATAATTACGTAAGAAGTTACCTTCACCACAAATACATTTTTTCGTATTTTATTTAATATGTTTAATTTAATTTTTTGTTAAAAAAGGATCTGAATACTAAGCTTCTTATTTATTTACTATTTATTACATTTTTAATTTCCTAATATTTACCAATTACGTAAAAATTTATCTACACTACAAATAAATTTATTTTGATAAATATAATCAACTTATCTTTTGTAAGAAACCCAACAATAAAATCAAAATACTAAGTTACTTATTTAATAAATGATTTTAATCGTCTTTACATCGTTATTATTTTATCATATTGCTTTGCTCTTAGATTATTTCTAGAGATATTAAAATACGTACATGGGTAATTAAAAACCTGTAGATGCCAACTGATTAGGTTTTTTTCCCCTGTGCAAATGGCCAAAAAAAATCGAACATGGAACTACAGCCGATGGCCAAGATAAACCACCTCCACGGGCCAGCGACAAGCGCAGCTGCATTCGTTGAAGCTTTGACCTTTTTCTGAGGGTCTGGTAGAAGCAGGAAAATATCAAAAATAAAAGAAGGAAAACCAAAAACCAAAATCGGCGAAAAGCAGCCAAAATATGGCTATTATTTCGGTTGCTTCTAATTTATAAGCAACGCGCGCAGAGGCAGCCATTGTTGGCTATGCCTGAAAAATGCATATATCATTGGCCTCTGGTACTCGAAGGCAGTTTGTTGTGCGCACAGTAGTCGCCAGTTTTGGTGGGGATAAAGATTGGGACTCCATTGGCCATCGTGGGAAAACTTGTTGCTAACTGCATTGGTGTATGTGGTATGTGCGCAGAAAGCGTCGCTTAATTACCCACATTACACAAATGCTCATAAGGCTGCTCATGAGTTAGCTGCTGAGGCAACGAGAATCTCTTTTTTGGCTGCCATTAACGTAATTAAGACGCAGCTCGGCTCGTTTGCCCTTTAGCGGCCGCCTGACACGCAACAAATGTGTCACTGCATTATGACTCCGGAATGGCGCAATGCAAATGCCTGTCGGTCGGCGCTATTAAAGCGAAACTAAGCCACATGCCAGCGAGTCATGTTGCTATTGCTGCTACTACTGCTGCTGCTGCTACTGCTGCTACTGCCTCTGCATCTGAATCCGCATATGTTACTTTTAGCTCTTTTCTGCGGCTGACATCGGCCCACTAACTGGGGTATCCTAGCCAGCCAGGAAAGATCTCTGCGGCCAGATAAATTGCACATGCCACTGTGCTATTACACTCGAAAAAGTGTAGGAGCTTAAACCAAAAGAGCAGAGAATTTTTTGAATAAAATTCTTATAAGAGTTTAAGGAATTTAATCATGTTTGTCAATTTTCTATAAAACAATTATTATAATTAAAAAAAAAAGAATTGCAGGCTTAATTAGCGTCGTTGTTTTAGATTTTTTTTATTTTTTACTATTTAAGATCTATTCATATTTTTCTGATACATCAATTTAGTTTTTATTTCACTGTTAAAGTTATATATTCCAAATCTACTTAAATATTTTCTAAGCACATACACAGAAAAGTGGGATTTTTTCTAATAAGCAACTCCGTACCTTTAAAAGGTGTAGTATTATAAACACATTTTAAATATCAAATTAAGTTCTTATTTTTTTATTTATAGCATTTATTTCTGACATCCCACTAAACTTTCTAAAATATTTGCAAGTAAAAAATCGCATTTAATTAAATAATTGTATTTGTGTAATGTTATTCTGCATGAATTAGTACTTTATGACTACAAAAATATTTATTATTTAAATCTTAAAAAAGAAGGGAGTAAAAGATCACATAATTTCGCTAAGTGCACAAGTGTGCTTTTCTATGGCCGGTTATGTAAGGCATCGCTGTGCCGGCTTCTGCCCCATTTCGAGTGAAACCCGCTTTGGCTTCGTTTTCCATTTCATTTGCACCAACCGAGTCACAGAAGGGGATGGTGCTGATGGCGATGGAAATGGATGTGGGGATGGCGATGAGGGAGGGGCGATGGTAGACGGGAACCGAGATCTCGATCTGGAACGAGTCTCAGCCTGGTCAGCTTCTCTCCACTCTCGATTGCAAAACTCACACGCGTTTAATGAAAAGCGAAGCGGGAAAAGTTTACTCAATCAGTTGGCCGTAGCATTTTCATTCAGTTGCCTTCTTTCACACATACACAAATCAAAACACAACACGATAGCTGAAACGAAGATTATTGGAAAAATTTTAATAGTAATTTTTCTTATGTTTTCCTAGTTTTTCTTTTGCAATGATTTGCCTATCACGTCTGGTCGTAATAAACTTGCCCAGTGTCTGGCCATCGACACGATCTGAAAAGAAGGACTCCAAAGGTAAGTTAGGATTATATTTATTTCCAGAAATTGGTAAACTAAAATCTACAATTTCATTTCAGCTTCTAAAGCTTGTGCCCCACCAACTGGACTGAGGGATTTCCAGAGACCTTTGCAGTTCCACACAAAAAGAGGCTATATCAAGTGGTTCAGCAAACTGAGTCGCTGCCAGAGAACTCGTTATATTCCGGGTAGAATGCATCCCAGATTGTAGAACCGAACTTGCAACATCCCAGGCAGGATGCATCCCAGATTGTAGAACCGAACTCGTAACATTTCCAACAGAATGAATCCAGGAATTAAAGCTTTTAGTTTTTCTATTGAAGATTGGCAATTAGGATTGCATCTGGTGCATGGATTGGCTCACAGCGGTGACCCATATTCGGAGTGGCTCAGCTGGGAGCCGGTTGTTGGTTATGGCCACAAAAGTTGGTCAGTGGTGCGATTGCCAGCGGCTGAGACACCATGACACGGCAAATGGCCAACACACAGAGAAAATTAAGCTAGAAAAATGACGCACTCAATTTGAGTGTTTATATTCTCAATTTGAGTACAAATTTCAGGAAAAAAAACTTTAACTTAATGCAAATTTAACCCATTGCCCTTTTTGAAGAAAATATGCTCTATAAAGTAGACATTGAAAAAATATCGAAATTTCTTGATATTTAATATCCGTTTTCTTTTGAAAACACCGATATTATCGAATTGATGTTGTGAAAATATCGAAATTATCGATCATTTTTAAGCTCTCTTATAAAGACTCAATTTTGGTATATGTTGTTTTTACAAATTTCTACTGAAAGTGAGTATTTTGCACTGAAAGTCCGCATTTATGAACTAGATAATATTTTGAGTACAAAAACTTTTTGTCAAAAAGTGATTAATTCTCTCTGTGTAGATCTGAGCCCCTTTTTTCGCGCCTTTCCAGAGCCGCTTTCCTCTCTCGTTTACTTCGTTTTATTCGCTCGGCTTTTGGCTGGCCAGAGGCAAATTAGTCAAATGGTAACAATTATGTAATAATCTAGTTTTATACTTGGTCACCGAATGTCCCGGTGAGAAGTGGGCGTTGCATGTTTGCCTTTCACTTTTGTTTTCTGGATCCAGCGGCCAGCAGCAGCAGCTGTGCCAGGATATATATCAAACGAACTGGCACGATTATACAATAGACCCGACAATCGACAATCAACCGATCGGCACGTAATTAGTCGCCTTAAAATGCGGCAAACAATTGCAAACAGTTTGCCAGCAATGTTTGAATGTTCTCCAAACTCCAAACGCCGAGCTTTGCAATTGAGACATTATTCAATTTGTGACAATCGCGAGAAAAGCGAAACCGAAACTAAAACCGTATAACAAGAGCTAAAAAAAAAAATTAACTGCATTTTGGCGATTTCCCAAAGCGATGTTCTAATTTTGCAACCGAAAGCGAGCGAAAAAAAAAAAACAAGAAAATACCTGGGCCCAAAGTTGTGAACATTTAATGAGCACCAAAATCGTAAATTTAATTTATATCGTTTTCTAAGCTTTTTGTCAGACGACAAATTTCGTAATTTTTTTCGCTTTTTGTTGGTTTGCCGCTGCCGCTGATTCGAATTCGTGTAAACTGTGCCGACTCGGCATGGAGCTTTGGATTTGGATTTGCTTTGCGTTTTTGTTTGGACCCTGGTTGCATGTCAAAGGCGCATGAAACGCCGCCAGGCTGCCACAAGAATCGAATGACACTCGGCCTGGTCCATTTTGGCCTGCTAAAAGAGCTCAAAGCAAGGCAAAAAAAATTATCCATGCAGTGCAGTATGTATGATATGGTCAAAGTACCCAGCAGTGTGTGTAGCCTTAATTGGCATCTCGACACTTAGCCAGGACCGAATCGAATCGAATGCTGCTGCACAGAAAGAAAATTGTCAAAAGATCAGATTGATATGTGCAATTTAATTTAATATTTTTTAAAGATCAAGATCATTTTGATATGAATAATATGTTTACCATTATCATTTAATATTATTTAATAAAAAAATAATACATTTGGTATTTTAAAACAGTATTATTTGAAATGATAAAATATCAATTTGATATGATTGGATCGTAAATTTGACATTAATCATATCGGCTTTTTATTGATTTGAAATAAGGTAGAAATAAATATTTTTCTGTTTGTGTACACGTTGTGTAGGTGCACTTGATGGCCGGCTCTGGTGTGAGATTTATGTTCTTTGGCTATTCATTGCCCAACTGGTCGACTGGTGCTCTTGGCTTCTGGGCAGTGGAAGCTGAAGCTTGGAAGTTGCAACTTGGCACTTTGGTAGCAGCGGTGCGGCTTTATGATAAAGTATCCCGGCCAATGGTCACGCAATAAATTTTGACATGACTTACGCACGTCCAAAATGGCCAATGGGGGGCATTAGATATGAGTGGGGACCATTGTGTAGATCTAAGTGATTAGAAACATCAAATAACACTCGTACGACTTTTATGTGAGACAGCAAAGGCCACACTGCGTATGCGTAATAAAGTGTCAAGCAACTCGAGCAAAAATAAAAGTCCCCAAAAAGTTCTTTAAAAAAACTTTTTTTTAACCATTGTTAAGTTTACAAGCAGTATTAAACATATTTATGTATATATAATTTTAAACATACATAAAACAATAGTTTAATAAATAAGCATAATTTTATAGCATCAATAAAAATATGAACTATTGCAAAATTAAATGTATAACATATTATTATTATTTTTACATTTATCTCTCCCTTGCGATGTCGCACCTTTAAAGGCATCTCTGCCCCAGAAATGTCGGCGATTAGCCAAGAATTTTATTTGGCTGCACCCTCGCCTCCAACATCGGCCAATTTCCATCTGCGTAATCGCTTTGCGAAGAATCGCCCACCTTGAATTGAAAACACATTTGCATGCAAATAACAGAAGTTCAATTTCCTTTAACTCAATTACACTTTACAAAAGCACTGACTGGCGGGCAGAAACATCTATAAATCGATTGATTCCAGTGGCCGGGCCTAAAGATCGTAATTACCGAGCAGTCAAACGGAGCTCGTTAATTAAACACACAATTGCACGAGGCGAGAGCAGCAATTATAATTGCAGTTGGCCAAGATTGGACGATAAAAGTCAGTGGTAATTGACATTTAAGGCAATTCATTAACGCGGCTAACACATGGGAGTCAAAAAGCCAAAGTTAAATACTTACTAAATACCAGCAGGTGGACTGCCAAAAAAACAAGAATAACATGGCTAATCATGCACTAGATTTCGGGATATGGGTTTTTCACAGGCCCGACTAAAAAAAATGTTGTCTCGATTTTTTGCGAGTTTTTCTCCCCGCATTTGCATACAAGTTGCGGCGCCACAATTCTCCTCGGTTCCCAGCCTCCAGTGTGTTAAGCTCGAAGATTTCGGAGCCCCGAGTTGTTAGCGGCAATTATTGTAACTTGCGGACGGGCCGCATAAATCAGCTTAATTGCTATATTTAAATTCTAAATTTGGAGCTTTTGGCCAAGTGCGCTGTCCAGTTGTGCAAGTGACACGGTCAGCATCCATCTGGGCCTGCAAACGTAATTTATGCATGGCTTTATTTTTTTGGCAGCAATTGTAATTTATGCAAATTAATATGTGCTCGGCGGTGGTCTATTGGGGTTATCTTGTTTTTAATATGCATATTAATTTTAGTTTAAGTAAATTAAAAAACAAGTAGTTTAGGACTTTTTTTTAGGTCAACTATTTTGGTTTAATTTCAATCCTTCCTAAAAAATATATGAAAAGTTCGAACATCTCCTTCTTCTAGTTTTTTTTCAATAATACTTAAATTTATAGCAATAAAAACATGACCTTAATGCATGTATATTTAAAAGTGTCGCCTCGTAATTAATTCAATTAAATTTACTAATTGTTCCAAAGTTTAAGGAAATATAAAAAAACCATATTATTATTTTTGAATTTGAATGACCCTTTAATTAGCTATTAGGAATGACAGGTGGGTGACATTGCTGGCTTATCGGTGTCACAAACCTCTCATTTCAATGAGTCCGTTGGTATATTTGAAACAACAAATTTGGTATATACTAAATTTTTTAAATGAAAAATACGGGCATTTTTCAATGACCACGGTCACTCTGCTACACTCCGCCATTTTACTGACAACTTTTTCGCAAGATTGGAAAAAATAGTTCGTGCTCGAGTAGAATGTAAATAGTTTTAGAATTCGCACAAACGGACGACAGCGTGCCAAGGCAATTGCACAATTAACGAGCCAATTGTTCAGCGGGAGCGATTCCCCCGGAAAAGCGAGGGGCAGCACGCCGGTTTCTGCTCCGGCTTGCTCTGAAAACTGTACGAGGCGCGGGTGCGAGTGCGAGAGAGACGGAACGAGTGCCGAGTGCGATTGTGTGCGTGCGAAAAGCGTTGGAAAAGCGGCGAAAAATCAGTAATTACGCCTAGGGAAAGCACTTTTTCCGGCTCAGCATGGCCGACGTGGTCTTGGATCTGTACGCAGAGGACCTGGACAAGGACTTTGCCGGGCAGGCTCAGGTAAGCCGCCGAAAAGAAGGAGTCGCTTGGCAAGGCGCGTGTGTATGTATACACTAGGGTGGATCGATGTGCGAAAGAAAAATGTTAGGGGGTGAAATCTCGGAATCTCGGGACGATTCAAACATACCCTCTTAGCTAGAGTTCCTAAAACTTGGCTATAGCATAACTAGTCTTGGAAGGATTCACACAAATTCTAGCTCAGATATCCTAAATCTTTCCTACTATGGTATAGTATAACATCTAATCTTGGGAGGATCAAAGCAAGGTATTCCAAAAACTAAGGGCTGTTTTCTCCTCCGCCTGTTAAATTTAAAGTAGGGTTAAATTTCTGATTTCCCATACGTTTTAAAGGTTTTAACCCTATTTTAAATTTAACAAGCGTTTGATAAAATGACCCTAAATGTTGATAATATTTCGGATTTAGAAAAAGAAATAAAGAAAAAATATTTTTCCTTATCTTTATAATATGACTCACGATCATTGTAAACCACAATCTAAGAATTGAAAAATTTTTGATTAACCCACTTTTAATGGTTTGTGTTCCTAAAAACACACTACAAACCCCAGAATTCACCCTTAATTATTAGAAACATTTACTGGCTATTTTAGAAAGCAATCGATCCATTTAACCTTATGTACTTGCAAAGCGGTCGATAACTTTTCGGAATTCACATAATAGTTTTCTTAAAACTTTAACCCCATTATAATATAACCCCAAATTTCCAGGACGAATTTGGAGGGGATGGCGTGGACCTATACGATGACATAGGCGGTCCCACCGAGGCGGCTGCTTCTGGTGGCGGGGGCGGGGGCACGCCCTCCGCCGATGGAGCCGCTGGCCCAGGCTCCGGGGAGTCCGGCGAACGGATCTCCGGCGGCCCGAATGGAGTTTACCATCAGAGCGGTGGTAGCCTCACTCCGACAATGAACCGGCGCTACCAGCTGTACGTGGGCAACCTCACCTGGTGGACCACCGACCAGGACATTGCCAATTCACTGCGAGACATCGGCGTGAGTGACCTGCAGGAGGTGAAGTTCTTTGAGAACCGGGCCAACGGGCAGTCGAAGGGCTTCAGCGTGATCTCTTTGGGTTCGGAGTCCAGTCTGCGCGCCGTGCTCGACCAGCTGCCCAAGAAGGAGATGCACGGTCAGGCGCCGGTGGTTACGTATCCCAGCAAGCAGGCGCTCACCCAGTTCGAGAGTCTGCAGAAGACGCGTCCGGTGCCGCCGCCGCAGCAGAATGGACCGCCGAGGGGCCCGGCACCGCCCAGCATGGGTGGCGGCCCAATGCCCAGCGGACATCCGGGTGGACCGCAGGGAGGCGGACCGCCAGGGCATCCACCGCGTGGAATGAACTCCATCATGCAGCCGGGCCAGTACCGGCCGCAGCACATGTCGCAGGTGCCCCAGGTGGGCGGACCCAACTCCGGACCTCCTCGCATGCAGGTGTGTTACCATTTCTCTTGCCCCCGCATTGCCCTAATAGGTCTCATTGTTCGTAGAAATACTGCTCGGCTCTATTTTGTTTTGTTTCCACATTCCTTCGCATTTTATTATTTTCCGATACCCATCAAAATTGTTCTGAATGCAAAATTCTCTTACTTAAGTAAAATTAGAAACCCTAAATATACGATTTTATGTATTACAAACGAGATTTTCTTAATTCTGTTGATCGATTTTAATATTTATTTTGTAAATTTATAAATTAAAATCCAGCCATCATACAAAATAAGTTTATAATATTAGAAAAAGTTAATATACAACTTGATTTGTATTTTTAAACGGAAGAGTTTCAAATCTGTTATTTGATTTGTAATTCTCGATTTTTCTTCTGTTTATTTAGTAACTAAACTTAAACTTTTGAACCAAACTATGTTTCTAAGTTTACTGTTGTTTATGATTTTAAGTGATATACCTACATATATTTTTATTTCGGTTTATTTACAAGTAATTTCAGAGCAATTTTTGTAGCACCTCTCAGCCTAAGACATTTTGAATTCTTCTTACTTTCTGTACCTTAGTTTTAGACCTTCAATCAAAAAAAAGAAACTGTAATTAATTGAAATTCAAAGTCAGAAAGGCATTAAATGCCCTCCTGTTATACTTTTGATTTAAATTCCGTAAATGTACATGCAACGAGTATTTGTAATTGTGAAAACCCCCAGCTAATGTTATACAAAATGTTTATGTATTACGATTTATGTTCTATTCCATGTCTTTGACAACGCTTACGCACACTTCTACCCCACAACAACAACTACTACTCCGACATAAAACGTAATACGTATTAATATAGCCGCCGATGCATCCGCAGGGCGGGCTCATGGGCAACCAACAGCCGCCACCCCGGTATCCGTCATCCCAGGGCCAATGGCCGGGTCAGCGGCCAGGCGGACCACGACCAGGTCCACCGAACGGACCGCCGCAGCGACCAATGGTAACGATTCCCAAAGCACTGAGTCCTCTTATAATCTATATGTCATGCTACTGTAAACTCTAACGAAGCAAGAAAAAGAGAGAGAGAGAAACGAAGACTAACCAAACTTAAGTTAACCTTAGTTAACTTAGTCTTAAGCGATGTATTCAGAACATTTAAAGTAATGCCACAGATCAGCCCATGCAACACCGACTCATTCCCTAGCCTAAAAACCCTACTTCCTGTGTGAGAATTGTAACTAATCCCTGATTTTCTGCATTGCAGTTCCAAGGAGGACCCATGGGCATGCCTGTTAGGGGGCCGCCGGGTCCCGACTGGCGTCGTCCGCCCATGCACGGCGGCTTCCCGCCGCAGGGTCCGCCCAGAGGCCTTCCCCCAGCGCCAGGTCCTGGCGGACCGCACGGTGCCCCCGCTCCCCACGTGAATCCGGCGTTCTTCAACCAGCCCGGCGGCCCTGCCCAGCATCCGGGCATGGGTGGTCCGCCGCACGGAGCCCCCGGTCCGCAGCCCGGCATGAATATGCCACCGCAACAGGGCATGAACATGCCGCCGCAGCACGGACCGCCGCCCCAGTTCGCCCAGCATGGACCACGCGGTCCATGGCCGCCACCGCAGGGTAAGCCACCGGGTCCCTTCCCCGATCCCCAGCAGATGGGTCCGCAGCTCACGGAGGTGGAGTTCGAGGAGGTGATGAGCAGGAATCGCACAGTCAGCAGTTCAGCGATCGCCAGGTGAGTGGAAAGTCTAAGAATTAAAATTAGTTTTAAGTTAAAGCTTTTAACTGCCGAATAGGGATGTCAAAAATATATCAATAGATCGATTTTTTTTGCGGAAAAATAATTATTTCTATCGTGATATTATTTTTAATAAATAATTATTAATGATTATTAATTTTGATTGGGGAACAACTTTGCATCAAAACATTTTTGTTTTAAGCCCCAGGAAAAGAGTGGAAAATTTGACTTTCACAAAATTTGCTCTCTTTTCAAAGGGGTTTTAATGGGTTAAGAACATTTTTGTGTCATTTAAACGGAATTGAAGTGCTCTTTCCATAGGTGTCAAAAGTTTATATTATAAATGCAAAATTTGAGTACAGTCAACATTAAATTTTGTGAAAATACTTTTGACCACCCCTGTATGTGAAAGATAAGCGCCGCTAAAATTTATTTTTCGGCAAGTGAAAATGCATAGCATAGCATTCAGAATCCAAGAAAACGCAGCTTAAAATTAATAAAAAAAATAATAATAAAACAAAACAAGAAAGGAAGCTACCTTCGGCCAGCCGAAGCTTATATACCCTTGCAGATTCAGCGTTTCTATTTTTGAATTTTGTTTTTAAAGAGTCAAGAATTAAAACGCCTACTTCCTACCAGGGCTGTGAACCCATATTATTTTGGCATGGGTTCGGTTCGGGGTTCAAACCTAATCGACAGATAATGTTCCGGTTCGCGAACCGGTTCATTAACAAGCCGGAGCTGGGTTCAGGTTCGAACCAGGGTTCAAAGAAATAAATTTTTTTTAATGAAATTATAAAGTCAACATTTATTTCCATGTATTTTCATTCAAATATATACCAAAACAATAGGACTTATAAGTAAGGCTACAAGATTAATGATTTATTTTATTTATTTATTATTCAGTTAAGGTTAACTAACATAATATCTTCCAAAATATCTTCATCAATGCTACCCCTGAGATCAGATAAAACAAATTTCAAAGTGGAAAACGCCCTTTCTACAGATACCTGTGTAGCAGGTACGGCATGAACAACATAAGCTAGTTTCCTTAAGTTTTCACATTGATAGACGTCCCAAAACTTTAAAATACCATCGTCTTTCATTCTAATTCTTTCTATGCCATCGAAAGAATTAATAAAATCACAAGCTGTTTTTCTGCCTTTAAGATTATAGTTAGTATCATATTGAGATAAAAGATTTTCATTTTCATCATCTATTGAACATGCAGAGAAAGCAGAGGCAGCAGAGGCATTGAGAACGGCATCATCACCCAAGGCAAGTTGCCTTTGATATATTTCACGTAGGTGTGCCTTAGCCTCATCTTTTGCTCTCTTAATAATACTACTTGATATCTAGGGTCAAGGAAAACGGATGATATAATAGGAACTGAATTCAATATGTGTGATCGCTTTTCTAAGCATTTTGACAATGCTACACTATATTTAGAGGACGATTTTAATGTCTTAGAGCGAAGAAAAACCACTGGAAATAGAAGTCACTTGGCAACAAATCCAGTTTCTGAAGTTTTAAAGAGAACTCATAAAGGGGTTTTAGCAAATCACACAAAATTTTCACTGCGTTCCATTCGGTGTTTTTAAATGAAGTTCTTTTATGTCATTTGAGCTTTTTAGACAAAATTCTTTTAGTGTAAGAACTCGGTCGCACATTAAATACGTGGAATTCCACCGGGTGGCGCAGTCTAATATGGGCTTGTTTAAATTTTCTAAATAAAGCAGATTTAGAATGGTTGGAGTTCTTAGTTTTTTACATAAAGTGCGTATTTTAGATAAATCAATCTTAATTTCTTTTAAAAAACAGAAACGACTAAATTTAAAGTGTGCGCTGCGCAACGCACTGTGGTGATTGAGTCCTGAGGTAAATCCACCTGAATTTGATCTATATCAATTTCTTCTGTAGAAATGCATTCGCATTCGGAGTGCTCTGCATCAAGGTCAACCCTACATAATTGGTTTAGTTTATTTCCCGCCAAAACCATATTGGCGCCATTGTCCACCGTGAGCGTATATATTTGTCGGAGCGAAACTTCAAAAGACTCCAGCACTTTTTGGATAATCGTGGTTAAGTTTACGCTTGTATGCTGCACGTGTATTTCTTTCATAGCTAATGTGTAGCACCTTACTTCCGAACCATTGTGAAGCTGAGCGTTTATACCGATGATAGCACGATCCAAACGGCTTACACAATCCACTTTTATAGATATAAGTCTAAAAAAAATATAAAACAAAATGTAATATCACCAAGTAACAGGGGTTCTGTAGGACTTACCGATTTTGTAAAACATTTTTAATGTGTAAGCGAATGCTACTAGCTTTTTCCTGAATTAAGTTTCGTATGTTAAAGCGATTGATTTTCAATGGCGGGCTAAATGCGTCACACATGGGCTTTAGAATTTTTAAAAAACCAGAATCTTCAACTATTTTTAATGGACGCCCATTTTTAGTGACTAGTTCCAGGCAAGCATCTAAAATTTCAGCTTTAGTTATTTTCACTTTCACATACGCCGGCGCTGTTTCCAAGAATTGCTTTATAGGTGGCTGGTCGGCGGGTACTTGCTTCTTACTTGTTTCAAGTTTTTGTGCCAACTCCTTGTGCTTTCTTTCAATATGCCGTTTTAAATTTGAGGCATGTTTGCCTGTCATTTCGAAATCGCAAAGTTTACACTTATTTTTATTATTTTCTTCATTATAAATGAAGAAGTCGTGAACTTTTGGCTTTCCATTGCTGCTGGTAAAAGAGTAATTTCGAAGAATTGGAACTGCCAACCGACAAAATCTTTTTCTTCCAAACATAGCCATAAAATGAAACGATGAAATGAAACAAAAATATTCGAAAGCGAAACATAAAACGAATTGTTTACACTTTCATGGATTTTTTGTTACATTCACATAATTAATTCAAGATGTTAAATATGTTTTTTTACTTTTCGCATAGAAAATCGTCTATAGCATTACTGGAAATCATCTACTATTTAGTATATACCAGTATACTACCATGAATTTAATCATGTAATTTTAATGTGCGCATACTGCAAAATATTTTGGAAGTTATATATTATTAGATTAACTAAACCGAACCGAATTTCAAAAATAATAGTTCCGGTTCGATTCCGGTTCAATAATACAAAAATTTGGCGCTCCGGTTTACGGTTCGGTTCGTTTTTAAAAAAATGTGAACCACTCCGGTTCGGAGTTGTTCAGCTCCGGAGTGGTTCACAGCCCTGCTTCCTACAAAGTAACAATGAATTTTCTTATATATCTTTGAATATTCCTATGGGAGCCAGATATAGTGGTCCGATTCGGCTCGCTCCGACATATGTACTACCTGCAATAGAAAGAAGACTTTCGGGAAAGTTTCATCGCGATATCTTTAAAACTGAGAGACTAGTTCGCATAGAAACGGACAGACGGACCGACGGACAGACGGACATGGCTAGATCGACTCGTCTAGTGATGCTGATCAAGAATATATATACTTTATGGGGTCGGACACGTCTCCTTCACTGCGTTGCAAACTTCTGACTGAAATCATAATACCCTCTGCAAGGGTATAAATATCTTCGATACGATTATTTTAAATATTTCGACATCCCTACTACCGAATCCGGAAACTAATCAGATCTTTTTTAAAAATATTACTTTAATATTTAATTAAATATTAACTCCTCCTATTTTCAATCCCGTTTTGAATGCAATTTTATTTATTCCTTTTCTTCAATTTCAGAGCTGTTTCTGATGCCGCCGCTGGAGAATATTCGAGCGCCATCGAGACGCTGGTCACGGCCATTTCACTGATCAAACAGTCCAAGGTAGCGCACGATGAGCGCTGCAAGATCCTGATCAGCTCGCTGCAGGACACGTTGCACGGCATCGAGGCCAAGAGCTACAACAGGCGCGAGAGGTCGCGGTCCAGGGAGCGATCCCATCGCAGTCGGCAGCGACGAGAGCGTTCCACGTCCAGGTATCGCGAGCGTTCTCGGGAAAGGGAGCGCGATCGGGATCGCGAGCGTGAAAGGGATGGCGGGTAAGTTATAAGATTCTTAACTATACATATGAAGTGCTTAATATTTGCTTTTTATTCCAGAAGCTATCGGGAGCGGTCACGAAGCAGAGAACGAGAACGTCAGGCTCCAGATCACTACAGGGATGACAGGTAAAATAACTTCAACTGCATTTAATTCGCTTCGCTGCCTCATTTAAAAGTTTACTAGAACTTATTCATTACTCTACATTCTATAACTTTGTTGTAATAATCATTTTTATCAGTCAAAATGTGTTTAAGATAAATTTTCCTATATATTTCTACCTTGCAGTAAAACTCAGTAATAAATTTAGTGTGTATATCATAATTCATTCTAACGAAACTAAGATAATTTACGAAATGTCAAAAGAAAATTAAATGAATACAAATGAGGTCGTTTTTTGCGTTCTTTGCATAGAACGTTCAATAATAAAAAGCCAAATTACCTTAAAAATTAAATATCATAGATAAGACTCTCCTCTGAAATATGTTAATTTAATTTGAACAAACTTTAATTACCGATACAAATATTTATGCTTTGTTTAAGCAAACAAGAAAGCAGTTAAGCGAATTACTCTCCAATTCAAAATGTGAACCTAAATTTAATTGCATCCCATTCTCCGACAACAGCCGATCGGTACGTCCGCGAAAGTCACCGGAGCCCGTTGTCGCCGAGGCTGCAGAGGCGCCGTCATCGAAGCGGTACTACGAGGACCGGGAAAGGTACCGCTCATCGGACCGGGAGCGACGCGACCGGGATCGGGACCGCGACCGTGAGCGGGAGCGCGATCGTGACAGGCGCGAGGAGCACCGTTCCCGGCATTGATTGCCGCAAGTGGAGGGTTGGAGCAGCGCCAGTGGATCGTAATCAAGAGTAAAGATGCAACACAGATATACTAAACACACACTCTATTAACAAACAATAAGCCGCAGCTTGGTGGGATTACAGGCTAGCCACAATTAACAGATTTTCGATTTGTATCTAACATTACCAATACGTAGGATATGAATATGGCATACAGCATAGTTCTCCTAGACATACTATAATAAGCCGAAATGCTGACAAGATTTTTACCAACGACGGACGGGGACTGTCCCTGGATCTCTTCAACTTCTCATCCCAGCATCCTGGCAGCAGTAAGACGGACAGCAAAGTTAGCAGTGGAGGAGGATCGAAGGAGGATGGAGCCAAAGGGACAGTCAGCGTGGGACATTTTAGACACTGATGGCCACTGGATCATCAAACAACAAACAGCAACTAGCAATCCTGCACCGCCGTCTTCGCAGCAGAATTTCAATATTATTGTACTCTAATATTTCGGTTTATTTAATAAAACATAAACGTATGAAAAAAGAATTGTTCCAGAAAAAAAAAACCTCCACCAAAACTGTCTTGCATTGTGTGTCTTTTTGTACTCTTATTATAAAAACCAAACCTAATCCTATTAGTTAATGAATTTATAATTGTACAACAAAATTGTATGTAAAAATGCCAAAATTATTGCACTTGTTCGTGCAATTAATATTGAAATTGTTATATTAACAAAATCATTTCGCCGACTGAGGCTGAAAATCGTTAGCCCAAATGTATTTTCAAAGATTACGCGATTCTTTTGTTGTAAACATTTTCCATGCATTTGTTTAATCTTGTTTTTATTTACCATATAAATTTAAGTCGATCATAATTGTGTGCCTGTGTGACTGAGTGTGAGTGGAAGAATTGTAGCACTTAAATGCCGACTGATCCCATCCGTAATAGCGGATGGGAAAACCATAGTGAAATATGTTTGTATAGAATAAGTCGATTGTGTGATTTTTTGCCCAAATACCATGATTCTTAGACTAAATTACTCTATAAACACGTCCATATCGCATTTAGCGTAGTTAACTTTACTAACGCTCGAAATTGTTAGTTCCTAACATAGGTTCCAAGAAACGAACTAAGTCATCCAGTTCCTCCCGAGATACTGTACTACTCGCGGCTCATTTAACACAACTTAGCCTTCCTATTGTATCATCTACATTTTACTTTCTTTAAATTATAGCTTTACTTTTTATTTGTACATACATTTTGTAAACGATGCTCGACTAAGATCATGTCGCACTAATCCTGAATTACAATTACACCTCTGTTAACGCAAGCCTACGATTTAAAAAGTACCTGTAACTCTCCGCAAAGCGAGAGCCTAGAGGTGTTATGAGTATTATGAGCTTAACGATGACTTGTACAATTTTAACTGTGATTGTGATCTTGATGAAACAAACTACATAATAATACAATCGAATACTGTCTGTTAAGTCAAGCCAAAGCAGGTAAAGTTGTCCCATTCGTATGGGACCTTATAGTTTGTAAACTGTCAAGATCCCTTGTTTTATGAACAACGGAGTATAGTCGCCAATTCCCCATAGTTTATGATTTACAAAATACATATTGCACAATGTTTTTAGAAAGTACGTCAATTGACTTGTTTGGATTTAGCGCGAAATAAAAATTCTATTTTTTTAGACGTTTCGAAACTTCGTTACTTTTCAAATGGAAAGTAGGTAGCGCGCGCAGCACTGACCACGTCATGTATGTAGATATCTGGAAAGTTCCGAAAATGATGCCGTTACCCAATACTAACACAGGTAAAAAATAGCCAAAACATTCCCTTATCACTAGTGATGGCAGTATCTTGCTTTTTTTTAACGAAATAAATGGAAAATAATTCCTGTAATAATATATAAGGGGGATTCCCTAAACTGCTGAATTGTTGAATTTTGGTCAGCTGTTAATCAACTGTTCCAACAAAGTAAACTTTCAGAAATTTCAGCAATTCAACAGCCTCGGGGCTGCTGAAAATGTTCCTGTTGAATTGCTAAAATTATTTGCTAGAGAAATTGTCACCTTATTTTAAATTAAAATTGATTTTTGTTACTGTCAAACTCTTTAACATTTTAAAAGTATCACCAGTACGCATTATATTATTTTAAAATCAAATTAGAAAGCGTACTTGTGGTACTAAAGTTTTACCTTGGTAATGCACTTTAGACATAATAAGTCAAATTTTACATGCTTTAAGTTCCGTAAAATTTTCAACAAATAACAGGCTGTTTGAAAATTCAACAGGAACCATTATGGGTCGTTCCCTTAATATGCTGAACATTTTTTGTTGACCAATTTTCAACAATTCAGCAATTCAACAGTTTAGGGAATCCCCCTTAAATGTTAATAGTTTTAAAATAGAAATGAACTATTAAACTTCCCCGTATTTAGTAATGTAAAAGAAAGAGTAGCCAAATTTAGCGGTAAAAAAGCCAAGAAATCAGCTCTAGTAGCAACGATTTTGGTGCGTTACCCAACAGTGGCCTGATAAAAAGAAACTTTTGTGAAATACAGAAAGAAAAGGGAGCCCAGTAGGCCCTACAAAGTAAACAGTCAGTTCAAAACTTCGACCCCCACAGTTCACATTCACTCCTCCGTTTGATCGGCAGACTGAAGTACAATATAACCGGAAAATAGGAACAGCAAGTGCGAAGAAAGAAAGACCACAATGGCAGACACTGCGAGTCACATCCACGACCGTTTCCAGACGTTTATGAACGGCCTCGGCGACCGTTAGTGAGTATTACGAGTATTACGATGGGTCACCCCCAAAGTCTGTAGTCCAAGTGCGTCGCACTGACGTGTTGTTTTGGTATCCAACTCCGACCACATCAACAGTTGGTCAGCGGATCGATGGGCCTTGAAACTATTGGTATACTCATGATTCCTCCTCCTCCTCTTCCTTCCACTCCCCAGTGAGCCCTACGTGCGCGAGCACCTGTCCAAGGTGTACATGGTCCTGGGCAGCACTGCGGCCGCCACGGCGATGGGAGCCCTGCTCCAGATGCGCGACTTCCTCGATCTCGGCGTCCTGGCGGCGGTGGCCACTCTGATCTTGGTTTTGGGCCTGCACTTCTACAAGGACGACGGCAAGAACTACTACACACGGCTAAGCATGCTCTATGCCTTCGGTTTCTGCTCGGGACAGACCCTGGGACCGCTCTTGGGCTACATTTGCAGCATCAATCCGGCCATCATCCTCTCGGCCCTCACTGGCACCTTCGTTACCTTCATCTCGCTTTCGCTGGCCGCTCTGCTGGCCGAGCAGGGCAAGTACCTTTACCTGGGCGGAATGCTGGTCAGCGTTATCAACACCATGGCCCTCCTGAGTCTCTTCAACATGGTCTTCAAGTCTTACTTCGTCCAAGTGGTGAGTGATGAAACTCTATACCCGTTACTCGGGCAAAAATATGTAACAGGGAGAAGGACGCGTTTCCGATCCCATAAAGTATATATCTGTCTGTCTGTATGTCCATATGCACGATGAGATCTCGAAAACTACAAAAGCTAGAAGGTTGGGATTAATTACACATATTCTTGGGCTTCCTGCACAGCGCAAGTTTGTTTCATCTGAGCGCCAAGCCTACTCGTTCGATTTAAATGACTTTTAGAAATCATCTTTACGGAATTTGTAAAAGTTTAAAAACCATTTTGTTGTGTTTATTAATACCTATAAAAAGTAGAAGATATTTTTCAAATTGGACAATCCATTAAAAAGATGAAATGGCCGCTAGATGGAGCCAGTGGCTTTAACGACTACTTAAGCCAAAGTTCTCGACTATCCTTTTTTTTTTTTATCTTTGGGGGCCAAATATTTCCCCCCTGCCCCCCCCCCCTTTATTTTTAAATATTTTTGGGGGGGGGTCAGGGGGTTTCCACTGAAAAACTAATTCGTTGTCATATGTAATGTTTTTAACAATGATTAAATTTAGTTAGATTTTTCTAGAATTAATTTATTATGCCCTTTTATACAAATGATTCATCGACGTTTAGTTTAATTTCGCTTTAGAAGAGTAACATTTCATAATTTATTTCCCCCTTATAGACTCAACTTTACGTGGGAGTTTTCGTGATGGCTGCTTTCATCGTCTACGACACCCAGAACATTGTGGAGAAGTGCCGGAATGGAAACCGCGATGTGGTGCAGCACGCCCTCGATCTGTTCTTCGATGTCCTCAGTATGTTCCGCCGTTTGCTGATTATCCTGACGCAAAAGGTAGGTTCTTGGGGGCGGGGGTTTTCATCCACCGATCAGCACCAGTTGCTATAAAAAAGCCACCTCACTCAGCTCAAGACCTTCATGGTTTAAGGCGATTAATGCCGAAACAAATCGGCCGAGCTGCCTCGATCAGATAATCCCCGATCACTTTGCAAAAGCTTTCCAATTTGAAATTCGCTGTGAAAGACCATTTCAAACGGTACTTTGTTTGGCCATGGCAATAAGTATACTTTCACAAAGTCCGGCTAGGATACTCAGGTCTTTTTTTGAACCACCTGTGGGAAGTATATTTATTTCCGGGAACTGCGAAAGAAACTTTTTGCAAGGTTTTCTAGCTGTTTGTGAAACTATATTTACGATGCTCTGGTATTTTTGGCAAAGCAATTAAGTAATGCTACTAATTATTTTTTACAGGAGGAGCGAAGACAGAATGAACGTCGCAAGAGAAACTAAACTAAATCCAGCTTTAATGAGTACCAACCACGAAACAAAAGAACATCTTACTAGGAAATGAAAGGTTGGCAGTTTTCTCTTTCTAAAAATTTAATAGCAACCAAAATAAACAATGCCGTGTACATTTGGCTTTAAATTTATATACAAATGTTCCACATACAAAACCCAGTCAAATTCCCCCTTTAATAAAAACCACAAAAAGACAGCTCATCCGCATTATGGACATAAATGGAGTTGGCGCAGTAGATAGACCATGTTGATAGTATCGATTTGGGGGGCTGGAGTGAAAATTAATTAGGCTAAGTGCAGGCTGCAGGTAATAGCTTAAAACGCTCCGGAGTTGCTCATTCGAAGTATTAGTTTCCAAGGGACAACATGGCGCAGACGGAGGATACGGTGCAACCGCTTTTGCAGCAGTTTCAGCAACTGTTCTTCGTATCCAAGTTAGCCGGAATTCTGCCGCAGGATCTGGAGAAGTTTCGCTCGAGGAATCTGCTGGAGAAATCGCGCAATGGCATGATCTACATGCTGTTCACCCTGCTGGTCTACGTGGTGCTCTACAACATTCTAATCTACTCCTTTGGGGAGGAGGACCGCACACTGAAGGCCTCGCAGAGTCAGTGAAGCATGAACATTAACCCTGCTTATCCAATTAATTTTTGATTCATATACAGGCACCTTGACCTTCGTGATTGGCTTGTTTCTGACCTACATTGGCCTCATCATGATGGCCACCGACCAGTTGACCGCCTTAAGAAACCAGGGCAGGATTGGCGAGCTCTACGAGAGGATTCGCCTGGTGGACGAGCGGCTGTACAAGGAGAAGTGTGTGATGGACAACAGCACAATTGGTAGGCGCATCAGGATTATGCTCGTCATGACGGTCATCTTTGAGCTGTCCATTTTACTGGCCACGTATCTAAAACTGGTGGATTATACCCAATGGATGTCTTTGCTTTGGATTGTCTCCGCCATTCCCACTTTCATCAACACGCTGGACAAGATCTGGTTTGCTGTATCGCTGTATGCGCTAAAGGAACGCTTCGAGGCCATTAACGCCACGCTGGAGGAGCTGGTAACCACGCACGAGAAGTACAAGCTGTGGCTGCGGGGCGATCAGGAGGTGGCAGCTCCTCTGGACAGCTCCCAGCCGCCGCAGTATGACAGCAATCTGGAGTATCTGTACAAGGAGCTGGGGGGCTTGGACATGGGTTCCATTGGCAAGGGTTCGGGAAAAAACAAGGTGGCCCCGGTGGCCCACTCCATGAACTCTTTTGGCGAGCCCATCGATGCGGTTTCCGGTAAACCTCCACCGCATCCGCTAGCCTCCAATATGGTCCACGAAAGCGAGCTGGGAAATGCCGCCAAAGTGGAGGAGAAGCTAAACAATCTGTGCCAGGTGCACGACGAGATTTGCGAGATCGGCAAGGCCATGAACGAGCTGTGGAGCTACCCCATCCTATCTCTGATGGCCTATGGATTCTTGATTTTCACGGCTCAATTGTATTTCCTCTACTGCGCCACCCAATTCCAGTCGATTCCATCGCTCTTTCGCTCCGCCAAGAATCCCTTTATCACGGTCATCGCTTTGAGTTACACCTCCGGCAAGTGTGTGTACCTCATCTATCTGAGTTGGAAGACATCGCAGGCCTCCAAGCGCACCGGAATCAGTCTGCACAAAATCGGAGTGGTGGCTGATGATAATTTGCTTTACGAAATTGTTAACCACCTGTCGCTGAAGCTGCTCAATCACTCGGTGGACTTCTCCGCCTGCGGCTTCTTTACTTTGGACATGGAGACGCTGTATGGCGTGAGTGGCGGCATCACCAGCTATCTGATCATCTTGATTCAGTTCAATTTGGCCGCCCAGCAGGCCAAGGAGGCCATCCAGACATTTAATTCGTTGAATGACACCGCTGGGTTGGTTGGTGCCGCCACCGAAATGGATAATGGCAGCTCCACGCTGCACGACCTGGTCACCACCACCATGTTGACTCCAGCGGGCTAAAGCTTTGGGTTTTTGGATGTTTTCTTCAGTACTTACAGCACCTTCTGGCACTTTTATTTCTGTATTTTTCACTCAATAAAACCTCACGAGGAAGTCCTGCGTTTGTACTCTTCGCGGGCGTCCTCTATTTCGCTGAGAAGATCAGTGAATGTGGCATTGGCTCCATCAAAGTCCAGGATGGCCACGCAGGAGATCTGTGCCCGCTTTTGGAGGGCGTAGGAAAGCTCCCTTCTGACGAGAGGAAAGCAGTAGGGCACCTTTTCTTGCTGGCACTGGAATTTTAGGGCTTCTATGGTTTCATCCAGGCCACCTACACAGAAAAAAAAGGTAATGGTCAATTTGATATAACTTAAAGATCAAATTACGATATTGACGGGGCATGTAAGTACAAAGATAAAGTTATTCATATCGTTTTGATATGAATGAAGATTATGTTAATCTTTTTTTATATTAATTTCTCCAAAAATACTAAATTTGGTATTTTTTATGATATGATAAAATATTATTTTGATATGTTTGAATCTTAAATTTGACATTAATCATATCGGCTTTTTATTGATATGAAATAAGGTAGAAATAATCCTATTTCATATCGTTTTTTCTTCGGTGTATAAAGAGTAATATTGTTCAGGAATGGCTTTCTTAACGACTGGACTACTCACTTTCACCCGGGCAGATCTCACAATCGGTGGCCAGGATCAGCAGTTTCACCTTGCTGATCCTCAACCTGGCCGAAGCCTCTCGGAAACCGAAAACCAGGCGGGGATGCGCCCGCGCCTTGATTTCGTTTTTGGCAAAGGCGCGTTTGTGGAAGCGATCCAGATCCTTGAGCAACTTTATGGTCAACTCCTTGAGCCGAGGTCGAGTGCAGTTGTCACAATAGCTGGAGGGGATTATAAGCGATAGTTTTACTTTCATATAAAGTACAAGTAAGATTAGCAAACCTTCTGAAACGCCGGGAGTGTATGGAGTGTACTTCCTTTGTCTGTGGACTGTCTTTATCTGTGCTTTCTTCTATGAGGGTTATCCTCTGGACTTGTTCCTCCACCTGGATAGCTTCCGGTGGGATATCTTCTTCAGGCTCTTGCTCCTCAACTTCCTGTTTCTCCTTTTTCAAGGAGCGATAGATCCGTACGGACTTCTTCAACTTGGTGATCTTCTTTTTGGGATCGAGTCGCGTTTTTCCCTTGGGTTTGGTCACTAGGTGATTGCTCCTTATGGTCAAATGTGGCCTCTGCAGTTTCCTGGCCTTGAGTTGCCTCTGTGTTTTCGGTCGCGGCATGACGAGGAAGTCCAGGAGCGAAGCCTGCTGCTCCGGCTTCCTGTGCTTGTTTTTGTACTTGGAGCTGCGCGGGGTAATCCTGGTCGCCGCATCCTTATCAGCCATGTCCCGGATAAACAAATATGTTTACTTCATCCGATATTATTGGTGGATTTCTAGAGCATATCTAAGAAAGAGTTGGCAGCGCGGTGGTGTGGTGTAAAACCGTTTTCACCACAGCTGATAACAAAGAATCAGTGATGGCAAGCCTCTGTTGGCGCGACATAAAAGGGGGGAACCCAGGAAAAGCCCGATCATTTGTTTCCAGAATTTTCTATCTCACAGTTGTACGTTTGCCGATCGCATAAAAATGAGTTTCGCTGAGCATACCCAAACTATTTTGGAAAAATTGTTAATTTCCGATAAAGATCGAGCGGTATACACAAAAGACGCTGAGGAAATTCAAAACTACGTGATTGACGAACTAAAACGGGTAGATGATAAATTTCGGCAAGTTTTCGACGGTCTTAGCCTGGGAGGTAAGTTTTTATATTATTATAATTTTGGTCAGAAGTTTGTAACACAGTGAAGGAGACGTTTCCGACCCCATAAAGTATATACATTCTTGATCAGGATCAATAGGGGGTCGATATAGCCGTGTCCGTCTGTTTCAATAGCGTTTGCGAGCTCAGTTTAAAAGCTAGCGACTTAAAACTTTTTAAAACATGTGTTTGCAGATCAAGTTTGAAAATCGACCCGACCGGAAAAAATTTAATTTTTTTAATTATGAAATATTTTTTTAATTAATTCATGTTGATATTGTAGTCAAAATTTTAATTCGTGAAATCGGCAAGGATATTAAACCTTTGGCTTGCCGAAGTTAGCTTCCGTCCTCGTTAATATTAAAGTGAAACCTTGAAAACCCACTGCGAAACTAAAAGTCCTGTTACAAAGAGTTTGTGTTCAGGAAGTCATAAAAATGTTTATGGAGAGGTGATAAGACAACTTTATACAATAACATGAGTAATAATTGATTATTGCTTGATAAACTATTAGCTTGTGTAACTATATTTTCTTAAGTATTAAATTTATATTTTTTTTGTAGGAAGTTACTTGGATCGCGTTAAGCTGAACGTTCCCGATGAATTTGACCTGCACATGAAACTCAAATTCCCCTTTGATATCACGCCAAAACCAATCGGCAGTGGGTTTGTCTATCTGGAGGGGGAATTGATTGCAATGGGTGTCTCTTCCCAACGAGTCCACCGTATTAAGCTTCAGGAATGGTTGCGCGATGCATTCCATAAGGTATTCAAGTCAACTCAGACAGTTACCAGCACCAGTGGCCAAGTCTACAATTTGAGATATACACTAGAAGGATATGGCTGTGCTCATACCATTGTCGCCAGTGGAAGTCGTTCGATATCTTTTGATTTTGTGCCGGCAATTGAATTTACTGGAAGCCAATGGCCGCTTGCTGCTCCCCCAGTTTCTGCTGAGGTACGCGAAAAATGGCCTTGGTTCGCCATTCCGCAACAGAGGAAGGGTAAAAATAAATCGAAAACCTCATTCATGGTTTGTGCTCCTCACTGGGAGCGCGAAATGATGAAGGATGCGGGCAATTTGAAGAACGTCCTACGTCTGATGAAGGGATTACGTGACGCCCACGCTGGTCAGTTGCCCCACTTGTCCAGTTACATGTTGAAAACCGTACTGCTCCATCGAATCGAAACGGTTGACTGGCAACAGGACCTTGGTACTCTTCTGATGGAGATGTGGAGTCATTTGGTGGATCATCTACGAGCTGGTAGGCTGGAGTTCTTTTTGGATAAGGGGCACAATGTATTCAGACGAATGCTACCGGGGGAAATGAAACAATGTCGACTCACCTCGGAGAACTTGCTCCTAAAAGCTTCGATATGCTAAGTCAGCAGGCAGCTATTCGAGTTTGGCAAATATTTTCCTTATTTAATAGAATTTAAGTTATTCCCAAAGAAAAATAGTTTGCCTGTGTTTTCCAAAAACAACTTTTCGAAGAGTAATTTCATTTAAAAATTTAATTTCCAAAGAAAATGAATTTGATTACGTTTTCTAAACTCCTTGAAGAGTTCGTTTCATTTAGAGATAAGAAAAAAGCTTATATATGCAAAATATCATCTTTGTTCAAGGGCAGCGCTTGTCTCCGATGTCGAATAAATAAACATTGACTCAATTGAAAAAGGAAAAAAATCGAATCAAAATTCATTCGAAAAAACTCACATTTTGTTAATTAAGATTGTGCCTGAATTATAGTATTGTTCATTGGATTAATATAATGCAAACTTAAATAAAGACATGCAGTCATTCGATTAACTCTCGTTTATTTCCTAGATTTAGATACAAATAAGAGTGTTAAATACCTTATGAAGAGACAACTTTGGACTTACGGGCTAGAGGAGAGCGGGTAGGCGGCCGCTTACCCTGGAATTATCAACGATAGGTACTAACTAACGATATAGTTCGGAGGCATTTTGCTATAATCGAATGCTGCTTTCGATGGACATGTGCAGGCTGTTGAATTCCCTCAAATGGGAGAGGATGACGTCCCGTTCCCTCTCGTAAATCTCCCAGAATTTGAGGTACTGGCTGACATGCTGAAGCACCAGGTTGCGTGCAAAATCGAGGCAGCTCCTCACGTTTCGCATTCGCCGCCTGCAGCTGGCCAGCACCGAACGCACCTGCTGCTCCGGCTCCAGTTGGGCGATCACAAAGGCGAAGACGCTTTGCACATCGATCCGCACATCGGTGGGAAAGACCACGGATTCCGAGGGCTTCGCCCGCGGGAAGACAATCAGCGAAGGGGACATCGGCATGGCCATTTCCCAGGGCAGATCGTTCGCCTGGCTATCGAAGCGCACGAAGTGCAACTCGGAGCTGCTGAGTAGCGCCGAAACCTGCAGGAATGCCTGCGACAGAACGGCGGATAGAGCGCAGTCAGGACGATACATAAACACCACATTGGTGGCATTTGGTTGCTGCAGCGCCTGCAGCATCATTTGCCTGTTGTATTTCCTGCTGAACCCGGAATCCATTGCCGCCGGCGCATTCTTGTGAAGCCTCGGTAGAGTTCTGGCATAGAATTGACGGATGAAATCCTTGAGTGCCACATACGAGAAGGTGTGTTGTTGCGGCATCACATAGAGCGACTCCTCCGCCGCATCTAAGATGAAAACCTGCACCTGCTGGTGGTTGTGATGCTGCTGAATGCCCAGCTGATGCAGATAGTCTCTGTACTTCACCGAATCGAAGATCACCACGCCCAGCGAGCGATTGTGGGCGGCATGCTCCGCGGAATGCTGCCAAATGAGCTGGCCGTACTTGGTTACCATCTTGGCAATGCCGATCTTCATGGCCGGCGTTCCGTGCTGCGAGTGAGCCAGGCAATGATTTCTAGAGTGCAGTTTCAGTAGGTGGGGCACTGTCCGCTTTCTGAAGTGATTCTGGTGGGAGTACTGCTTCCACAAATGGTTTAGGTACCTATTGATGCGGTAGTAGTTCTGAAAAGTGACTCGGTTTCTTTGCCAAGCGGGAAAGCAGCTCTGCTTTTGATGGGATTCCCTTAAAAGTTCCTTGGGAATTAGCATTAAGGAGGAGGACTCCTCTTCCTCTAAGCTCCAGTAATCCTCGCATCCCTCCGACTGTTTCCTCTGAGCGCTGGCCATCTCCTCGCTTAGGACACTCGCCTGGTGGTGCTGATTCATCCGCACACCCATGGCCAACACAGGAACATGTTGCGCCTTCATGGCGATGGTCATGGGAGTGCCGTAGCCATTGGAGAAGAGCGATGTGTTCTTGAGAGTGTTGCGTACCCAGCGGAGAATATCCATGGCCTTCCAGTCAGCGGAAGTGCTGTTAAAAGTATGCACTCCATTCCGGCTGTCGATGATTACAAACTGGGGAAGTTTGGCTTCCGGCGACTTGAGCATCTTCTTGGCACTCTCGCCAAAGTTGACGGTAAAGCGGATATTCCTCTCCGGATCCAGTTCCAGCCAGCGCAGCCCGGCGGCTAGGTATAGATTGTATGCCCGATCATCCGGCGAGTTTAGCAGGCCCAGAACCACTGCATCTGAGTGTTTTCTTATGGCGGCCAGTTCCTGACTGCTGTGCGCCCTATCCAGTGGCTGGAGCAGGTGGTTCATGAAGCGAGCCAGTTCCTCAAAGCTCCAGGCTCCTTGATACTGAAGCATTTGCTTCTGGCCGTAGCGCACCACCAGTGTGGGCCACTTGTCCGGATAGCCACCGGCTCCAACGACTCCCGGCGCCGGCATTAAAGTGCGACTGCAGTTGCACTGCAGGTGCCAGCAGTCGATGGCCCCGAAGAAGGCGTACTCCTGGTAGTAGTGGGCCAGGCCATTGTACACCAGGCGCGCCTGGCGAGCTTCGCTGGCCCAGGACACGTAGTAGAAAAGCAGCGAGATCTCCGAATCGGTGGCCTCTGCCCGGATCTGGGGCACACTGCGGCCGGGGCACTCTCGGATCGTCACCTGGTCGGATGTGCCGGTCTTCGAGGCGTCCAGCTGGGCGATGCAGAGGGCCGGAAGAACCAGGTAAGCGAGTATTTTCATTGCCGGTGGGAAGCTAATTAGTGGGCAAAAGCAACAACAACAAAAACAGCCACGAACAGATGACCGCTGGCAGGGGCTGGTCACACTGCGTTGACAGGGTAGTGTTGTTAAACAGGAAAAAGTGAAGTCACAGTTTGTGGTAGTCACTGGAAAAAGAGTGATTTTAAAATGTTTTCTGGTCTTAAATTGGGGAAAATATAATTTTTGTTTATGTAGTTTCGATTTTTAAAATAAAAAATCAAAATAGAAAAAAGTTACTTATATTTAATATAGAAATTTATTTTCTGGAATTAATTCAACTAATTTCAAAAACATTAAAATTAATTTAAAAAAAAATTAAATTTGCGACTAAAGCCTAATACTCAGTTCTAAGAGTTTTACTAGTCGAAAAATATTAATATTTTAGGGTGACCGAAGTTTGGAGTTCATCCGCAATGCAGAGAATGGTCTTACCTCAGCAAGCAAATAACTGGCGCCAATTTTGAAATATTACAAAAGATTAGCCGACCAGGTCGCAAGCTTAAATTGCTGTTGGAATGAGGATATGTATTGCGCAACTCCTATAGGCAGTTTCCATTGGTTTTGGGGTTTTCAATCTATTTATAATATGTTATGGCACACCGCTTCGCAAAACACACCCAAAAATCAAATTTTTTTTCTTTGGGCCGGGCTAAAGGCGTTCATCAGAATTCATCCGCTAAATCAGTATTTTAGTGGTATTTTCTTACTATTTCCTTAGCTCAACTGAGTACCGCGGTGAAAAAGTCCCCGGCTAAGGGCTTTAGCTACCTATTGCCTCTCGCTTACCCTATCTTAAGCAATTTTCGTCGTACTGAGTACTAGGCTTAATAATCAACGCTGTGCAACACCAAGAGTTTTACGGTCACACTGCCTTTTGGTATCGATAGCAGCGCAAGTCTATCGATTCCGAGTGATGTTAATTAATCACTTTTACTGTTTACTTTTTTAATTAAAACTGCGTTAATTAAATTAACCAAAACGGCTGTTCTCAGCCCATTGCGACGCGAAAACGAAGACGCGCCAGTCGTAGCGACGGCCAAAAGGAAACCAGCCAAGGGAAAACCACCAGGAAGCCAGCCAGCCAAACCCCCAAATAGAAAAAGAAACCCACTTGGCGAAGACAACAACAGTAATTAGGGTGTGTGTGTGAGTGTGTGAAGTGAATAGTTAAATCAGTGAATAATTTACCGTATGGCCTTCGCCTTCCCCTGGGGGAACAACAACAAAGCCTCACGTTCACTTACTCCCACACGCATACACACACGCACAGCCGATAACCTGTGTGTGAGGCAATCGCCGTCATCGCCCCGAAATCAAATCACTTATCGGGAGTAACAACAACAACCACACAGCAGCAGCTGCAGCATAATCAACAATTAAATATACAAGATGGGACTACTATTATCGCGGCTGTGGCGGATGTTTGGCAACGAGGAGCACAAGCTGGTGATGGTGGGCCTGGACAACGCGGGCAAGACGACCATCCTGTACCAGTTCCTCATGAACGAGGTCGTCCACACGAGTCCCACGATCGGTTCGAATGTGGAGGAGGTCGTCTGGCGGAACATTCACTTCCTGGTCTGGGATTTGGGCGGTCAGCAGAGCCTGCGCGCCGCCTGGAGCACCTACTACACGAACACAGAGCTGGTCATCATGGTCATAGACTCAACGGATCGGGAAAGGTTGGCTGTGACGCGGGAGGAGCTCTACCGGATGCTGCAGCACGAGGATCTCAGCAAGGCTAGCCTGCTGGTCTATGCCAATAAGCAGGACCTGAAGGGCTCCATGTCGGCAGCGGAGATATCGCGGCAACTGGACCTCACCTCCATCAAGAAGCACCAGTGGCACATCCAGGCCTGCTGCGCGCTCACCGGCGAGGGACTCTACCAAGGACTCGAGTGGATCGTTCAGCGCATCAAGAACAAATGACCCGCCGCTACGTACTAGCTAAAATTAATCATTAAACCCCTAGCTGTCTAGAGAAAGTAAACCAATTTTGATATACAAACAATTTTTGAAGCGTCGTTTCCAAATTGTTTGATAAAAAAAAGTTGTTGCCAAGCCAATTTTATTTAGTGTAAATTACGTCTGAACGGGAGATCCGTCGCCCTCAATGATTTAAATCTACGTGTATATGGATAATGTCTAGGAGCTAAGCCAATTAACTACGATACTTCCAATAAAATTACAAAATAAACGAGTTTATTTCGACACTGTCGCATAGCGCATCGCATATCAAATACAAATTACAAATTACAAATAGAGATGTGGACGTATTTGCCTCTCTGAGCATTGCCTTGTAATTGACATTGTTGGCTCGATTCGCTGATTCTGATGTGTGAGATTGTTTGTACTCTATCGTCTAAAATAAATACATGCTTGTGTAAAAGTTAGTGTCTAGGATAAGGTTAAAACATTAGCAAACTACAAAATATAGCCACAAGAACAATTTGATCACAAAAGTAAAAGCAAAAAAATAAGAAGAAAATCTAGGTGAGATTGCAGGAGCTGCTGCAGCTCTTCAAAGGCTTTCCCTGGCCCAAGGTGATGGTGTTCTCGGGCACCTCCTCCACATTGTTGGCATCGTGTTGGCGCTGTTTTTAAGGGAAAACAATCATTAATTTAGTTAACTTTAGGGGAACAATCCCTTACTTTAAGTTCATTGGCCAGGCAGCGAAAGGCGTCTTCCACGTTCATGTTCTCCTTCGCGGAGGTCTCCATCACGAACAGGATCTCAGGTATATATTGACACATCTGGCGCGCCTCCTCGAAGTCCACCTCGCGCTGCTCCTCCAGATCGCACTTGTTGCCCACCAGGATGATGAGGACATTGGAAGCCGTGTACCTGCGCACCTCCTCGATCCACTTTTGCAGGTTGGAGAAGGAAGACCGCTTGGTGATGTCGTAAACTGTGGGGGAAACAATGCTTGTAACACTGGGTAAACAAATTCCCCACTGATAAGGCGTTACGCTATTCAAATCAATTATTTAAAAGCATTCGCCTGCTATCAGTGGAACTTATTTGGCATGACAAATGGATGGGCGTAGGCCGCGAAACCGAAAGATACTGGACTCACCAATTAAGACCCCGTTGGCCGAGCGATAATAGCTCTGCGTAATGGTGCGAAATCTCTCCTGACCAGCAGTGTCCCAGATTTGCAGCTGAAAGGAGGAGAAAAGCACAGGATTTGAGTTAGCAGGAAAAGGATCTTAGGTAATCCCCTTATCGAACCTTTATTTGCTTGCCCTCCACCGCGATGGTCTTCATGGAAAAGTCCACGCCAATGGTGTTCCCATGTCGCTCGATGTAGTTGCCCGTCTTGAACCTGTCCACTATGCAGGTCTTCCCCGTCCCGCAGTCGCCAATGAGGACGATCTTGAACAGGAAGTCGAAGTGCTCCTCGTTGGGCAGTGCCATCAGCGTCTGGGGATTGCGGGCGGTCATCTCTTGGCCGCCGTTCTGGCCGTTAACTGGTCGCCTTTTGCCTGCCCCTGATTTTCCAATGAAATGACAACAAAGCGAAGTACAACTAATTTAATTGATACGCAATATCAGCTGGTGGCAATCGATAGTTGGACCCATCGATATAAAGGCGATTTATTTAAATATATATTTTAACAGAAAGTTTGCCTTAATTTATTTATTTTTAAATTAATTTAAAATATTTTAGTTTTTATATATTTTAAAATTCGATGGTCAAAAGTAAAAATTTACTGAACTCATATCGATATTTACTGTACAAATATGATATCGAAAACCGTTAGTTCTTCCCATCTCTTGTTAATATCGACAGTTAAACTTCAAAATAAATAACGAGTTTAAATGATCAACTTAATTTCATCATAGGATCCTGAAGAACCTTCTTAATTTGGTTCACTTTTTATGCAGCGTAGTTTTAAAATGTATGTTTTTTTTTTTTGTATTTCGTAGGTTTTCCCGTACTTAGACGTTCATATATTTACACCAAAAACCTTATCAATTTACGGAAATTCAGTATTGCATTTGTATTCAAAGGAGTAAACAAAATAAAAAATACCTTCGTACACAAAAAATGTTATAAAAAAATGTTTAGGCCAATTGATGGGAAAACCTTAATTTTTATGGGCTGGATTTTTATTGTTTTCTCTTTTACTAATTTAAAAGTTTTGGACTAAACCAATTTACACGATTTTCCAATACCGACATGCCAGCTCGCACTGGTCATTTGGAAATGGAAATCTATTTGCGTGGATTTAACCATTATGCAACCAAGCAGTAAATATGTTGACAACTTATTTAAATGACTCGCAAATGGAAAGCCCTCCTGTGCGCAAATCCATGTGAATCGGGGTACACGGCCCGATTAAAGCGGCGATCACGTAGGTCAGGCTTTCTGATAACGCATGGGACTCGAATAAATTTTCACCACGTACCTTGATGATGGCGCCATTTGACGCTAAAGAGTTCGCTTTATGGTATTGTTAAAATTTATGGTGTGTCTTCCGAGGAATTCCTCAAGTTTTCCCCCGTGGAAAAGGAAATCTCTGCCGAATAGAGACCTTGACCCACTAATCAACTTCTATCTCTAGACAGCGAAACGAGACTCACTTTCAAACCGCAGCGGAAGCGGCCGAGAAACATGTTCTACGTACATAAGTATCTCACCGAATCCGAATGCAAATAGCCTGGCCTGGCCAACTGCATCGATTGCCAACCGAATTGGAAACCGCATGCCAGATGCGCCTGCGCACACGCACTGTCGCATCCATTTCGCATTTCGCATTTCGCATGGAAAGTTTAATAAGACGATCTGGGGGCCAAAGTCTAGGCGAGAACTTGTCCCACGATTAGCCCCATGCTGATGGACGTCGTCCACACGGGAAAAAACCAGGTCTTTAATAGTGGCTATCACCGGTCGAATGTCTGATGTTCATTTACCATTCATTATTATCACTTTATTCACTACTCCTAACGTAACATCATGTTCTAAAATGTTTGACGCTCTCTGAAATTAAATATTCGTTTTTGGGAAGAGGTTTATCAATCTTTATCAAGACAAATTTCAAATATGCATTCCTTCAAAACGTATTTTCCTTTTCTTTATTCTATTTTGATTGTTAATTCGACTCCTTCAAAAATATTTTTAAATGTAATCTTATTACTATTTACTACAAATATTTCTAGCTAACTAAAATGAAATTTTAAATTATAATTTTTTCACAAGCTAAACCTTTTCTGAATGAGACGATGTTAAAAACCAGTAAAAATATGCAAGAAGTCTAAGTTTAGAGAGTGCAAGTGTAATGATATGTTATTAAAACTTCGCTTCGTCTTTTAGAAATATTAACCAAACATGAACTCGAGTTTAGCTCGCAAATAAACTATTCACCAAACTGGCCACCAAAGCCCATAGAAAATCAAATTTAGGAATTCTAAATTTATTTGAGTTTTAGTACCACCATTTGAAAGTTTTTGCAGTGTGCAGCGGCAAAGTGAAATTAATTGGCCGCCTTAGAAGCCCAAACCGCAACCTAGTTTCGAGGCAGGAAAGCCCTCGCGATGACGATGACTCACAGGAATGCTGGAAAATGCTCTCAGCTGGAGAGAACAGCTTCCTCCCTTGTATATTTTTCCACTCCCCCGCAGCTGAAAGATCTTCCTCGTTGGCAAAAGGAAATCAAACAGCGAATTGGCAACTTCACACAGCGCTCCTCGAAAACACGAAGACCAGATCAAATGAATTTTTTAGCAGGCCTGGCTGACTGGTTTGCCGTTTTGGCTGGCGGGTAGCTTCTGCCTGGGAGCCCCCCTCCTCCTGAATTCTCGGCCTCACTTTTGCATTGTAGTTTGGCCCGTTCGTCGTGGCTTTTTATCGCTCGCCTCGACCGCTGGCCGCTTTAGTTGAATTTCAAACGTTTGCGCGCGCGGTTGTCGGTTGTCCCGAAAAAAAAGAAGTCGTTAAGCCGAGATATAAAATCAATTGAGCAGCTCGACAAGCGCTTTTCCTTCAGACCAAAGGACCGTCAAGTCGAGCGGAGCTTGAAAAGTGAAAAACGTGCTGAAAGAAAAACCATACGCTTGATCTCCAGCTTTGAACTTGGAGGAAAATAAAGAGGAAGGAGAATTTCCCAGCGGAAATTAGGACACAGGAAGACCAACCAGTTTGGGCTGAGGATTTTATCCAGCCAAAAAAGATTATGTAAGCTGCAGACTACTTCCGAAAACTGTGCCAAAAATAAGAAATAAAAAACAGAAAACCCAATTACCTAATTGCCATGCATCCGGCGTTATCGCTTGTCAACTTTCTACCCCCGCTTATTTTGATTGATTTCTTCACTTATGCGAGGCACGAACATCCACATTCGAATTCAATTCGAATTGAAATCCGGCGGACACTTGCACTTTCCTCCATCGAAGTAAATTGTTTTGTTTGCCGCACTTCTGATTAATTATTCAGCACCATTTCTCTCGCAGTGCGGGTGCAACGTGCCCGCGTAAAACAAAAGACTTAAGCAACGAACATTTTTTTTAACGGCGTGTGTCAATTTGCCTGCGATCGGGTATGAAATAATCAAAATTATCATTCGAACTCACCTGCTGACCCAGTTTTCGGTTTCACTGCAAAAATTAAGTAAATTTCTTTATGTCGCCGTAAAAGCAAAACTCTCTGGGATTCTGACAGACGGACGTGGATACGTGGATGCGTCCATACTTAGCAGGCGCCAATTAAAGCTCAGCTGCACTAATTCGCCATAAGTTGTCGAGACTTTTCTCTGTCTCCGGCACTGTCTCTTTTTTTTTTTTTGTATTTCTCTGTCTGCATCTCCGTCTCCTTCTCGAATCACTTCTCTTACATTCCCAACTGACATTTGTTGCGTGTTTGTTGTTTGTTTGCTAGACAATGTTTTTTTTGCCAAAAGGGTAATTCCCCTGACACATGAAACTGGCTACCGAAAGTTGTAAATCTAATGCCCAAAATATGTAAACATATATTTGGCATTTAATGCACTTACCTTTAAAGTTATATCATGTGCGTTTGAGTGAACTCAGTGAACTGGGCAGGTCTACATAAGGAGACCTTATTGAACTTGCTCAAAAAGTAGGTCGTTAACAGATGAATAATAATTATAATAAAAATAAAAATACAATTTAATGTAAAATATATATACATTTTATTTTAATTACTAGTGAACTTATTTTATTATTTTGTTGTGTAAAAATCGTTGTAAAACCCCGTAATTATTCATGAGCATTTAAAAATTTCACCCAAATTCAGACCACAGTTGTTATTTTATTTCGCCTGAAAGGCATTTAAGTGTCGACTTAGTTTCCCGCATAGAAATCAAAGTGATCCTTGGCCAACATGTGTTTGGCCACCATTCATGGCCATAAGCGAGAGTCGCCGCCAAGGCGTCGCTGTCAACTGATGTGGATTGGATTGGTTTTGGCCAGGAGTGGAGCAGGGTGGAGTGGGGATAGTGGACGGGCCAGTTGTGGCGCTTCCTCAACGCACTTGCCCAGTTCTCCTCCCTGTCCAGCCTAGATAGCGACCCCATTTCGATTTCACGTCTATCACTGAGCTGCAATTAATCTCATCTGCATTTTTGGCTTTATGCACTGGCCACGCCCACCGGCTGTACGCCTGTCTGCCCAATGTGACGACTTGACACCGAGTTTGATTTAGGCCTAATTTCCTTGTACCGCTGTCATAGCGGAGAAACTCGGTTAAACCTTTGGTTAAGAGATTCGGAAAGAGGGGAAAAATAAATAAATGAAATTATAAACTAAAATAAATATATATCATTATAAAAAATAAATAAAAGATAAATAAAAATAAAAAAACAAATTAATAAATTATATAAACAAAATTATTAATTGAAAGAAAGTTAGAATACTATTTTCAATAGATCTCAATCCATTTAAATTATTTTCCTCAAGAACCAACCTATAACTTAACTTATTATTATCTAGATAGACACATTTTAAAACACCAGAATATCCCATAGAGTAAAGATCTTTCCACGCCCACCGTCGCGCTGAATATCTTGTTAATTTCGTTGTAACGCTGTCAAATTGGGAGAAACTCCGCCAAACCTTTGGGCAATTGAGTCGCTGAGTTTTGGGGAGGAGTGTGTGTGTGGAGTAGGCTGGAATGCCTTGGTCTAGATAGCAGGGGAACCTGCACCTCCCAGTTGGCCATCGCCATCAAATTGCAGCCTTTGGGAAAGTGCCGCCGCATCTGGCTGGGGCTCTAATGATCGCCCCGGATCGCTAACGGATCGCCAGCACTCCATCTATCTAGTAGATATATGAAACCAAACCAAACTGAACCGGCTGTGGCAAGTGGCAAGTTCTCCGCTCAGTTGCATCATTTATTGGTTACTGGTGGTGCGGTAAAAGTGCGTCTTGCTCCATTTCGATTATTTTCGGGGTGAAATCTACGACTGGTTTCGTTTAGAATTATAAATCAATTTGTTAACATGCTTTCACTGAATACACACGCATATTGCCAATTCTCCTTGCAACTGCGATGGATGGGAATTTATTTCTACAAGTCGTAATCAGAATTCAAGCTGCCAAGAGGCTAACGGTTTAAGCCAGTGCAGCTGGAACAATGCCAAGGAAAAGCTTTCCCAAAAAATCGACATGTGCTAAGACATAGAGCTCTGCGCAAAAAAAGAAACCAGTTGAAGAGATGAAAATCAGGGGGATGCTTCAGGGGGAAAGAAACTCTGGTTGAGAATGCAGAACGGGGTGGGCAGTGGTCCAGTGAATGAGTGAGTGCCATGTGTGCAGCACAATTGCTGTTATACAACTGTTGTATAATGATGGCCATTAGGCCAGTCTTTTGCCAACTCAATTTCTGGCTAGTTGAAATTGGAATGCAAGTCCGCGCGTCTAGTCGAGTTCGTTGCCTAAGTCTTTTGTTTGAGGTGAAAACTGGAGGAGTAAACAAATTAGTGGTAGAAAAGAGCAAACAAGTAAAGACGTTCGAACAATGATCAATCAATTTATCGATTCTAATTACTGTTATCATCATATAATCGTTATTTTGACTGTCTATTTTTAATGTAGTGATCACTGGAGGAGTAATCAAATTGGTGGTAGAAGCAAATAAAGCCATTCTTCTATTAAAATCATTCAAATAGGAATAGAATCCATATAATGATCGATCAATTTATCGAATCTAAACACTGTTATCATCATAAATTCGTTATTATGACAGTTTATTTTTGATAGGTGAACAACCTGTTTTTTCCGAGCCATAGAATCCACTTATTATTAAAAAGGAAGTGATTTTCGAGAGTTATGTTGATTTTATCTTTTAAAGCTGCTAAGTGATGATTTGCGAATTGGATATATATACATACTAACAAGCTGTTTATCCACTCTTTTAATAAAAAGAATTACCATCCCAGCACTCATCAATATCACTTCAGCCCACGATGGAGTTGGAGAACTCGTTGAGGCGCCACGGCCACCTGCTCCTCCTACTGCTACTGCCACTTGTCAGCTTATGTCCAACTGCATTGGCACTCAATCGACAGGCGGATGCTGGCCAGGATTTGGAGGTGGCCGCACAGCTGGCGGATGCGGAGGCCCAGGCGGGATCGGATTATGAAGCCGACTCCCCCGATACGCCGCACATACGAAAGAAGCGACTCATCTGGATCACGGACGACGGAAGATTGGCCCTGCCGCCGGGCACTTCGCTGACTTTTGTGCCGACCATTGCCATGCCCCTGGTGCGGCATCCGCCCGAGGGCTTCTTCTCCAACCTGACCATCAGCTTTCCCGTGACCAGTGAGTAGTCAGCTAGTCTGTTTTAAAAACGATTAATCAATTAACTTTGCATACACACAGTTGACTTTGACAAGCTGGGACTGACGGACAACCAAAATCCTCTGGGGGATCTGCCGCCGCTTTTTGCCCGCTCCTTTGGCCACGAGGCGGGTCACATGGTGGGTGAATATGTGGCCAGGTATCTGCATGTCCAGCGCCGGAAGCGGGATCTTAGCGAGCAGCGGAGCAGGAGCGACGAGGATCAGCCGTTCAGGGTGCACGAGGAGGGTCCCAAGTTCCCTGAACTGCCCAGCGGATTGCAGCACATTTTCCACGGCGGCGAAAGGGTTCTGCTGTACGGCGTGGTGGAGGACTTCCTGTCCACCTTCGGCATGGATGGCAAGGCCTGTCTGCTGCGGACCATCTGCGAGATGCACTCAAGAAGTCTGGAGAAGTTCGGGGTCTTTGGGGAAATGACAAAGCTGTTTCTAACGTAAGTAAATTAAACCATAAAAAATAAAAAAAACCATGGACAAATTACAATTAAGATCTGCAAATTTTTGAATTAAATATAATTTTGTAATTTTTGATACAAAACATATTAAAATATTTGATTGAATTGGAAAATATTTAAATCAAAGTAGAAAATATTAGATATGATGTTATTAATATTTACTTTACTTTTCCTTTTTTAAACAAATCAAAGTGGAAAATATTTAAAAGTGGCAAAGGATGAAAAACAAACGAAAAAATATTTTTAATTTTTCCATCGTTTTTCTATAAAAAATTAAGTGATATATTCAAATATATATTCAATATAACAAAATATATTAAATTAATAATAATCTCTCGCATTTTTAGGGTCACCAAATCGCCATTTTCCGACCTGGTTCCCGACTACGTCGAAGCCCAGGAAGTGGGCGAGGGAAAGCAGGCACCAGGGGAATGTTTTCCCTACTTCAAGGCCTGTCCCAAGAGCATTTTCAAGGCCCTGGCCAGCAAGTATAGCAAACCAGCGACGGCGGCTAAGACGAAAAGGACCAAGCCCACCGACAGACCCGTGGGCGAGTATCACGAGGAGCAGGTGATCCAGCTGCCGACCACTCGAGATCGGGACAACGACGTGTATATGTAGAAGCTCTTCCCCCATACAAAACTCCCATTGTTGACCTCGTCTAGTTCTTAGGATTACGTTTGAATTGAGCGCGCCCTCAAAGTCACTTGCTTGTAATTAACGTGTACTAATTAATTTATTATTATTTATTTTATTTACGCATTGTATTTATGGTTAGTCGTAGGCGTTGTTAACTGCTTAGATTCGTATCTCTGTTTGCCTAGTGGTCTGTAAATAATTGCAATTGTGGCATAGTCCTTCAACCTAAGTGAAGTTAATCCTTCGCATCCCCAAAACATTGTCGAATAAAAAGTAAATAAATTCAGAATAACAAATGTGTTTCAGGTGTTTTCTTAAAAAATAAATTAAAATTATAACTAGAGCCAAAAATAAGGCATTCTTTATAGAAAATACTTACCTTTGTTCATTGAACTTATAAATAATTTTAAAATGTAAACTTTAATTTAAGTTAGTCCAATGGTAACGCAGAACTTTTTAAAGTTTTTTGACGAATATAAAACAGTTTCACGGTAATTGTAAAATAAATCTAATTAAAAAGCTCTATTAAAATTTCAAACAAACAAAATTTGATATTTTCGTTTTTGATTTAAAAATCCAATTAGGTGGGTGACGACGCTAGCGCATCCAAGACACCCACCCTCAATTTTAGTGTGACCGCCCATGGATATCGATGTTATCGCTGCTCGACCACCTCTACTTTGTTTTGGTTTTTCGCAGCGAAAAAAAAAACATCAGCGTCGCGAGTCGCGAGTTCTTTTCGTTTATTTACCAAACTCTGCACAAACAAAGCGCGCATTACGTGTTGCACAGATGTTTGCGGATCGCTGGGGCAATCAATAAGCAAACGGTGAGTGTGGTGAGGGCGGCTAAACGCCTGCTGCCCCGGAGGAAACTTCCCCGAAAAGGCGGTGCTGTGAGTCAGGCGATTCGCTCGCGCTGATTGAATTGGATTATCACGATATGGGCCCCTTCAAACTGCCGGCACATTGTAGTTGTTTACACTGCGCGGACGTGGCGCAATGGCCATATATTTATAATCTTGTGCGGCAACCTGCTGATTAAGATACCCCCATACTGTATGTACAGATAACTTGGCAGTGGCAGTGGAACTCCGCAGCTGGCAGACGATGGACACAAACGCTGGGGAGTCCTCGGCTTCACCGCCTTCGAGCAACGAGGCGGCGGCGGGATCCCAGTCGCAGAGCGACGTCTCCGAGGAGGAGGAGTATCTGGACAACAGCATCGAGCTGCGGGGCTATCTCAGCAAGTGGACCAACTACATCTACGGCTGGCAGCCGCGCTACATTGTCCTCAAGGACGGCACCCTCTCCTACTACAAATCCGAGTCCGAGTCGGATTTCGGGTGCCGCGGAGCCATCAGCCTGACCAAGGCCACCATTAAGGTAGGTGGTTCAGAGGAGGGAGGAGCTCCTCCACCAAGTGCCTTCAATTGGACTAATAAAAAAGTAATGGGCGTGAGTGTGTGCGCATGTGTTTGGTAGACATTAACCACGACCCGAGGTCTCCATTCCCAAGCCAATACCCATTCCCCATTCCCATTCCGATTCCGAGCGACGCAATCAATGCAGCGCAATCAATTAACGTTGTGGCGACCAAAATAGACCAAATTGAAGTCATCAATGTAAGTGGAGAACGAACAAACCCCCGCTTTTTGGCCTTCTGTTGACAGGAGGGCGTGTTGTTCTAGTGTTTTTCTAGGAGGGTGTTTCGCCTCGAGTGTGTACTTATCTATTTATATTGTCCGGGCTGCAAAACCCGTATAAACAATGGTGACTCACGGGCAGCGTTTATTTCTCTAATTCGCTTGACTTTATAAGCACTGATCCTATCCAAAAATACTCGAGCTTACTCTGGTGATTCTAAGGTTTTTCCTCCAATTTGTACTTGAAGGAGTGAACCCATTCAAAAATATAACTTAATCTAAATTCCAAGTGTTTTAACTAATAATCGCTTTTTGTTTTATGACCGCTTTAATCGACCATAAACTATAGATTTGATTAAAGTACACTACAGTAGAACTTTCATAACTAAACATAAAATATAAATGATTTTCTAGCTCGAAGCTCCTTTAATAAATCTCTTTTGCTAGCAGTTAGTAGTTATATTTCTTGAGGTTCGACTGTTTATTCCATTTACACACATAAATTGAAGGTCAATCTTGTAATAGGGTTTTTCTTTTCTATTAGGTATTTGATGTTTAGCAGTGATTAGCGTTCCGCTATAATCAAGCATACAAAATTAGTTGCCTTATTCGTCAAATGTATTTAACTTCCTTTAAATAAGAGGATTGTGTGATATATAGCAACATTTCCGCATGAAATTCCCATTCAATCTTGCTTTACTTTGTGCATTCCAAAGTTTGTCATCAAATAAGTAACTCAACTATAAGAATCATTTGATAAGTAGTGTTAATATGAGTAATATTACGATACTAATTGGTTAATCTTTCATTGACAGGCCCATGAGTCGGACGAACTGCGCTTCGATGTGGTGGTGAACAACCTGAACAACTGGTGCCTGCGGGCGGAGACCAGCGAGGATCGCATGCACTGGGTGGAGGTGCTGCAGCTGTACAAGGAGGACACGGGCAGCACGGACACCACTTCCTTGCGGCGCCATGGCAGCACCATGAGCCTGCAGTCGAACACCATCTCGCTGACCAGCGGCGGAAGTCTGAAGAAGACGCAGCGCAATCTGCGCGAAAAGGTCGGGGAACTGGAGACCTTCAAGGACATTCTGTTCGGACAGATCGAGACGCTGCAGCGATACTTTGATGCCTGCTCGGAGGTGAACAAAAACAATGCCCAACCCCTGGACCTGGGCGACGGTCTCAAGTCCATCGATTTCAAGGTAAATTCAAGGCACTTATTGGCTGATACATATGTGCTAAGTACTTGATTTTCCTAGGGTGAATCCATCACGTTTCGGGCCACCACTTCGGGCGTGCTCACCACCCTGCAGCATTGCCTGGAAATCATCGCCGAAAGCGATGAGTCATGGAAACGGAAACTGGAGCGTGAAATAGATAAGCGCCGCCGTTCCGAGGACCAGAGCAAGTAGGTTGACCTAGTCGGACTAGATTTCCAAAAGGGAGAAGCCATTTAGACTGATTTTGTTGCATTTATTCATTATAAATACACCCTTTTTTATTCACTCAGCAAAAATGATTCAAAATTTCCCAAAAAACTAGACAAAATGTATTCCATTTAAATTTTGACTGATTTTGTTGCATTTATTCATCATACATTTTATTCACCTTACCAAAAATGTTTCAAAATTTCTTAAAAATCTTTTAAAAGTGTATTCCATTCAATATTGTACATGAATTTTTCAAATTTACCTTTTTAAAAAATGTTAAAGCTAAAGAACAATTCTTGTGGTTAATTTCTTGCAGAAAGTTCAAGGACGAAATCGAGAAAATGAAGCGTCTATCATATCCTGGCCCAGATTTCGAGGTGAGTCCAAGTTTACAGCCCGTAAAAGCAAAAACGTAATCGCATTCACGGTCATTGCTGACCGAATCGGGGCCAAACACGTTCCCACTGAAAAAGCAAACAATCGCCGAACGAGAGAGTGGCGCGAAATTCGTAAAAACGATTTGCGTGTGATTTGTCTGCGTCTTAAAATAAACTGCCTGGTTCGACGTTGTGTCAGAGATTTCATCATACGAATGTAAGGAAAGTAGAACACGCTGGACTATTATTATTTAAGCGGTTCCAATTGAATCGTGGAATGGTAATATTTGGTTCCAATTTTTGGCTGACACGAAATGACTGTGTTCTGTTCTTATCTCGAATAGGTCATGCAACGTACTTTTTTTTATAGCTGTTTGATTTCCGCCTTATTTTTGTTTGCTCATTCTATTACAATTTAATAGCACACGTCCATAATTGTTGGAAAGGTAACTGATCCTCTAATCAGAGTATCTTCCAACCACTGGCGACTACTCAAGCTGAAAGAGTGGGCGTCTAGGCGGTTTCTTCAGTCCAGATTGACAGCCTGAAGATTTACCTCGAGCCAATATTGCAGACATTGAGGTTGACAAATGATCCAACAGTTGGTCAGAATGCACTTGCTAGGGGTATATTTGATAAGATATGAAACGTTTATTTTTTAAAGCATATTTTTGGTAGAACAAATGAAATTTGATAAGATTTTATTTTAAGTATCTTGTTAGAGGAGTTGAAAAAATATAATTGATAAGAAATAACTTATTATAATAGTTTTGAAGTTAGTTTTTAGTTAGTTTAGAAATATAATTTTTTTAATTCAGTTGATTATATAATTTTTAAAAAGTTTTTAGTTAGTTTAAAAAAAGGATTTTTATGTTATATTATTATTATAATAGTAATGTTATTATGTTTTAATTTTGTACGTGTAAGTTCCAGTTAAGAGCATTTAGCATTCCACCTATTTTTTGAGCTCTCTCTTTTAGCCTGGCTTACAGCTGTCAGGCTTATGGCTTATGAGCTGGCTTGGTCAGTCGGCGGTCAGTGATCGAGTAGCCAACACGTACCAATCATAAACAAATTCGCTAGGCAAACAATTCAAAACGAAACTGTTTCGTTTTCATATTGTCGTGGCTTTTAATTGAGTGTGCAGATTGTGAAATTCTTTGCATCGCATTGAAAGAGCTATTATAAATACGTATATAAACAAGTGTACCGAGTGCTAGCTCATGTTGCAAATCTAAAATCGCCGCACGCACAACTATATAAAAATATACAAATTTTTAAATTTATAAACAACGTCATGCCCTCGGCGCGATTTCTTTGGCGCTCCGGCGGTTTTCAGAAGGGCAAAGTAAAGCAAATAAAGGTACACCCCAAGAAAATCATAAATAATGTATTTAAATATAGGGAGTGTGGATAAATGGAATACTACTTAGTTATTTTTTTGGGGTGGAACGTTTTAAAAATTTTTATATACTTTGATAAGCAGTTTATGAACTGAACATATGAGAATTTTTCCATAATCTTACCCAGTGTATAGAGCTTATCTTTACAAACAAAAATTATTTCACATATCAACAAAGTGTGTTATGTTTATTTTTAGAAAGCAATGTGGTAAAGATTTTTAGAGACTTATCGTTTTGACTTGTAAAGGCTTAAATTATAACTATAATTTCATAAATTCCGAATTCAAAAGATTACAATGATTGGAACCTAGATGAAAGCAATGTTTCTCTTAGTGTGGCTGATGTTGCTCGAAATGAGAGGGATAAAATGCTGGCGGTTGGTTTTTCCAACCAAATTGGCCTCATTTGTAGGCCACCCCCTCCTGAATGTTGAATGTTTGTAAGTTTCCAAGTGCGGTGACTAAAACCCCACGCATTGATTTATTATTTAAATGCGAGAAATCCCTTTCATTAAAGCTTTTCCTGGGCTTTACGCTTTTCACTCTCAGCCACCCGCTTTCTCCCGGTTCTCTCTTTCTGGCTTTCTCTCTCTTCTCCTCTCGTC